CACTCTTCGTTTCTTGACAGGGTTGACCGACGTCAGGTCATCATAGTCGAAAAGAGAGACATCAATTGAGTCGGACGAGATTGGTTCACGGTGGGAGGGACGTCGCGAGGGAAGCTGGTTGGTTGGCTGTTGCGACTGCGACGGTGGCCTCTTCGGACTCGGCGGGTCCGAGGAGACCAGATCAATGACATCGGGCATCTTGAGGTGATGCCGATGCCGCGACGGGCGAAGACTCACATGGAGAGGGAAAGATAGTGACACGACAAGAAAGAAGATGGGACGCGCGCGTGACGGTGACGCGGAGTCACGTGTGATAAGAGCACCAGAACTATACCGCTTTTTATAGTTCGTCGTGGACTGCATCACCGTCCTCATCTCCGTCTACAACGGTGAAAAGGATATTTGTATGTCAAGGGAGAGCAAAACAAATAATGGGTATAGCTTATATCAAAATTATCCACTCGATCTAAGCACCACTACAATTGTGATAGCAAAGATACCCCCAAAGACCAGCGCAATCATGTCAACAGCCCACTGCCACCCATTGAATGGACGCCTCTCCGCTGAGAGCATGGTCGATATCTCGTCTTCTAGACGATCGCCCATGGCGGTAAATGAGAACTCCTGCTGTGCTCGCGCCTTGCCAGCAGCAGCCATCTTGTCAACCTCCTCTGGCGTCATCCCATAGAGAACCTTGTTCATGACCGCGGTCCACTCATCGACCGCATGCGCGTCTCGGAGCCAGCCCGTTTCGCCCTCGACGATTGTCTCCAGCGGACCACCGGTGTTGGACGCTAGGACCGGGAGGCCGGCTTGCATCGCTTCGACGGGCACGATGCCGAAGTGCTCGTTGATCGGAGTGTAAAGAAGGAGTTTGGATTGCGCCAGCAGAGTATCTTTGAATGCGGTGGGGACAGAGAGTAGAAAGAGAACATCAATGGAGTCGGGGATAGACAAAGCGGAAACAACCGTCTTCGAGGTAGCTGTTTGCAAGCCAAGGCCGGATGCGAGGTCGTCTAGTTCTTGGTGATATTGGACGTTTTCTTGGACGCGATTATCGTAACCGCCTATGTCAAACCAGTTAGAAAAGACGGCATCTGAATGGACGCATACGAACTTACCAGCAATTACTAGCCGCGTCCCTTTCCTCTTCTCTGCCTCCAGCCCATGGTACGCGCGAATAGCCAACGCCATATCCTTCTTCCGCTCGAAACGATTAATGCTTAGCAAGATCTTCTTGCCGCCCCAGAGTGGCTTCTCTTTCGTTTTCGTCTTGGCCGGGTTGGCAGTGGACTCCATGGGAACACATGGGTAGATAACCTCGACATCACCCAGCTGCTTCGTGCCAAAAACTTGGCCCACAACTCCGCGTGAGAACTTGGAGTTGGCAACGACCCGATCCGATGCGCTCAGCGCCCATCCCTCGAACCAGTCAAACGGAATGCGATATAATAGCTTTACCAGACGGAGGAGTGAGCTCTTCTCATCTCGTCGCGCAAGCAATTGATCCGGGAAGTGGCAGTAGAAGAGGATGCGCTGGCGGCGAGATGGCCGTGGCTTGCCGAACGTTTTAAGGACGGGCACACAGGCGGGGAGCTGGTCGACAAGAAACACGTCGTCACGGACCTCGTCCTCCACCTCGTCATTATCCTTATCTTTTTTTGCGGCAGGGAAATCAGTCCTCCCGCGCGATCTAAGCTCGTTCAACAGCGACCACGTCAAATGCAGCTGACGCAGTGAAGCCATGAGGATATGAAGTCGGCCACAGATGTGAGCAGGAAAGATGGTGTTTCCGCGCACGCGGACGTCCAGCGTCCCGTCGCGCGCCTCTTCGAAGCAGTGTGTCTTGTCGCGGTGGGAGGTGTAGATGGTGACGCGGTGGCCGCGGCTCTGCAGGGCCAGGGCGGCGTCAATGATCAAGCGCTCGGCGCCGCCGATGCCCAGATCTGGGTGAATGACGATCACATTGGCGCGAGCGGGCATGACGGGCTGAAATTGAGGACGAGGTCCGACAGGAAGTTGCGGGAGCTTGAGCTTAATGAGGCCACGGGGCGGTCATGTGATGATCTATGAGATTTCAGACACCACCAAAACATAAATAATCAATCTGTCTCTCTATCTATCCTGTGTTTTCTGCTCGATATGTTCGTTTTGTTCTTCTAGTGCTTCGGTGAACTAGTTAGCGAGCGCAGCCACCCCAACTGCCGATGGATACTGCTTGATCCGGAAAGCAACAATCCCAACTGCCGGAGCGCGCAAAATCGCCGGGCTTCAAATAGTTAATAACCCCAGCCCCTGAATTCAACGAGCCCGAAATAGCTGTACCGGCACCTGTACTCGGGGCTAGAATCCGGGGATTCGATCAGATGGCAAACAGTGGAGAGCTAAAGTTAACTAACTAGACAAGCATTGCTTGATGGAGCCAGACTCGGATCTGGCAAGCTGCCCCGATGCCGAACACCCGTCCACCGCCAGTCGGGGTGTTACTTTGGCGCTAAATGTCTTTCTTTTCTCTTGCCAGAATATTTTCCCTCAATGATACTCACCATAGATGGCCATGGGAGACGAGGAGAAGAGCCCTCCCAGCACCGACGATGCCAGCGCCGCCCCGGCTGTAGAGAATAATGCTCCGACGCATCCTAAACCCACCAAACTGTAAGTCAGGTGTGATCTGCAGTATGGCATTCCCTCTGCAAAAATTCTCCGAACTGTATGCGCGCAATACTGATAATTCCTCCAGGCGCCAAGTCATGGTCGTCTGCGCCGGCTTCATCACCATGTTCATGACCTGCGGGCAGATCTTCTCGTTTGGTGTCTACCAAGCCATCTACGAAGAAATAGCCAAAGAACCCAACACGCCATTCACAGGCGCATCTTCCGCAATCATCAGTCTGATCGGCACGCTCTCCATCGCTCTCATGTCGATGGGCGGTCCGTTCATCATGAACTGGGCGAAGCTATACAGCCCCCAGCTGGTGATCATGGCCGGCGGAGTGGTCTTCGGCTTGGGATGCATCCTCGCCAGTCTGAGCGAGTACGTCTGGGAATTCGCTCTGACGCAGGGCCTGCTCATTGGGCTGGGCGTGTGCATGGTGTACGTGCCGACCATGTCCGTTGCCCCGACGTGGTTCGACAAGCGCCGCGGGCTGGCCATGGGCATCATCATCTCCGGCTCAGCCTGCGGCGCGATGATGTGGCCGCCCGTTGTGCGCGCCATCACCGCAAGCATCGGGTTCCGCAACGCTCTGCGCATCTCCGGGTGTCTGACTGTGTTGTTCGTGCCCCTGGCCGGGTTCACGCTGCGCTGGGAGCCGAGTTTCAAGGAGAAACTCCGCGGCCAGACGGCGGGTATGTCCAAGACCACGGGGTGGATCAAGGTCCCGCTCGTGAACTGGGAGGTCGCCCAGTCGAAGAAGTTCCTGGCGCAGGCGCTGGGCTGTTTCTTGCAGTCGGCGGGCTACTCTACGCCCGTGTTCTTCACTGCTGCGTATGCGCGCTCGCTGGGATACAGCCCTTCCATGGCGGATAACTTCATCACCTGCAGCAATGCCGCGAACTTTGTCTCACGTATTCTCATCGGATATATGGCAGACAAGTGCGGCAGACTGAATGTGCTCTACCTGACGACGATTATGAGCGCCGTCGCCGTGTTTGGCTTCTGGCTTCCGTCGACATTTGTCGGGTCCACCGTTTCCATGACCGCGGCCAATGGGCTGTTCATCTTTTTCGTCATTCTGTATGGCTCTTTTGGTAGCGCGTATATCTCTCTGTTTCCCGCGAGCTTGATTGAGTTGTTCGGCGTTCAACATTTCACTTCCGTGAACGGGGCGCTGTACCTCCTTCGGGGTGTGGGCGCCCTGTTGGGAACGCCGTTGACACTGCTACTGTTACCCAGTGCGTCGGCTTTGTCAGACCCGGGCAGCTACCTGCGAGTAACCATCACCGTTGGAGTGCTGATGTTTGCGGCAAGCATGGCGACTCTGTGGGTGCGGATCGAGGGCTCTGCTGGGAAACCGTGGACCTGGAAGCTGTAATAACAGTCTGTTACATGCGTAGCTGAGCTGGATTCTGTATATTTAGCATATTTGTCCATATACATTCGACATATTCATAACTTGGAGAGAAAAGTGGAATGAGTATTCGGAGAAAAAAAAAACCAAATGCATTGTGAGATACTTCTGCTGCTATTGATCTGAGTAAACCGTCAACTATGAACGAGAGAAAGGAAATTCCAGCGGGCGATAATTTGGAAGAATTAATCAAATTTAGAGACAATAGCATATGCATAAGATAATGTCTGCCGCCCTGTGACTTGCTCTTTCCGTTTTAGTGCTCAGCCCTCGCCCCCTGAGTAGAACCAAGCGCGGCGCTAAGCGCCCTGATCTGCTCATAGAGTTTGATATAATTAAAATGGCCTAACTAGTCTACTTTGAGATGATTAAGCCGTAAGTAATCCCTGATTAGACCCTAAGCGGTACCAAGGAATTAGTTAGCTAGTGTTATGTATCAAGTGATTGACCCGAGCATGATCACTGTGCCTAAGCCCGTTCTGAGATCTACATAGTGAGTAGGAGGCTAAGCGCCCTCACGAAATCGGCCGCAGCCCGGATAGGAAAGGCCTCACTGCCAGACATTATCCTGCGTATATAGGTGAATATTGAAAATGTACAAGTGACGATTTCTAGCGCAAGCTAAAGAAACTACCAGCCGTCAGGGAGTGTGTTCATGAAAAAGCAAGCAATGAACCAAAGGATATGTAAAACCAAGAGACAATAGATGTGCAAAGGAAAGAGAGCCACCATATGGCGCTGAAATGACAGAAAAGGTATTGCAGAATTGACAGCCTCAAGAAAAAAAAAATCATAATACAGGGAAATTGAGGGGTTATTTGACCGGGGGGAATCGCAAAAAGAAAGGGCAGGGTATGAAACAGGGGCCAAGAAGGGAAAGCGTATGAATACAGCGATAACGACAGACGAGATGATCGCTTTTTGTGGGAATTAGAAGCAGTTGAGCGTGCTCTTCTTCTTCTTTTTGTTGAGAGCGTTCATCCGCTCCTCCAGCTGAGCCCGGGCGGCTTCGGCCTCCTTCCGAGCGCTGCGCTCTTCCTCAACAGTCTGCAGAGAAAGTCGGGCGGAGTTGCGCTCCTTGCGCAGAGTGGACAGCTCATCCTCAAGTTGCCACGCCTTCTTCTTCCAGCCGTCGCAGTCAGACTTGACCTTGTTGCTCTGGGTCTCCAGGTCACCGAGGGCCTCCTCCAAGGTAGCAGTCAACTGCTTCTCGGCATACAGATGCTTTTCAATGGTTCGGATACGGGCTTCCTGATCCTCGACAAGCTGGGCATTCACCAGCTCCTTGCTAGCGTGCCGAGAGCTGGGCGGAGACACGCTGCCTGCGGTGCCGTTGGCAGTTGAGGCGATGGTCGGCAGAGGGGGAGGGGAATAGCTGGCGGAGGGGATGGAAGAGAGGCCGCCGATGTGCTCTTGCGGAGGTTGGATGTGAGAGAGCTGCTGCGATCATGCGAGCCATCCTGGTTTCCACTGTTCTTGATTTGAAGCTAGAAAAACGAGGTTAGCTTATCATTCAAAACTGGTATTCAGAGAAACTCTCACCTCAAGTTGCTCAATCCGCAGGCGGTAATTTTCAATGTCCTTCTCGTAGATGGCGATCTTGGCCTTCGCATCCTCCAAAGCGTGATCCCGCTCCTGCTGGATGACGGACAGACGGTTGTTATGCTGGTCGAAGCTGTTGGTGATCTGCTCCTCCAGCTCCTCCACGAGACGAACACTCTTCTCCTTCTCGACTGTGATCTCCTGGACCAAAGCCTCCTTCTTCTTCACCAGGTCGTCCTTCTGCACAAGGGTTTCTTCCAGGGTGGCAACCAAGAGAGCCAGCTCATTCACCTTGGCGTTCTGGGTGGCGTTCTTCTTCTCCAGATCCGCAACAACAGCGTCATTATTGCTGGCTTCAAGCTGTTTGCGAAGATCGCCATTCGTATCCATCAGCTCGGCGTACTTGTCGGAGAAGTGTTGCTTCTGAGCCAAGACGTCCTGGATCTGATCGGCCAACGTCTCTGCCGTGACGTCGGAGTTGAGCAGACCAGACACAGCCTGGAGCAGCTTCACCAACTCGTCGCGAGATTCACGAATCTCCTTCTGCAGAGCAGCCATGGACTGGTCGTACTTGGCATCCTTCTCGGCAAGACGCGACTCATGCTCACTCTGAGCGGCAGCGCGAGTGCGCTCCTCCAACTCCGCCAATTGACGCGTGTGCGACTCTTGCAGCGACTCCAAGTCAGTCTTGTGCGAGTCAATGGCAGACTTTTGGGTAGAAATTTCCTGCTCGAGCTCGGCGATACGGGAGCGATGGGCGTCGGCAGCATCTCCGTCGCCTCCCTTGGAAGCCAGTTGCGCAGACAGTTCTGCCTGGGCGGCAGTATGCGACTTCTCCAAGTTGGCAATCTGTTCCAATTGGGAGGAAATGGTGGACTTGTGCCCATCAATTTCCGCGTTCAAGCCATTCACAAGCTCTTGCTGCTTGACGCGCTCGGCCTCAAGCTCCTTGGCGATGGCCTCCTTGTCAGCTGAGCTGCCTGCAGCAGCGCGCTCGGCCCGCATAGCCTCTACCGAAGCAAGTGCGGTCTCAAGCTCAGCGAGGGTGGAGGTGAGCTGCGTCTGGGAGGACTGCAGATTGCCCACGGCACTCTGGTGCTTGCCCTTCCACTCGGTCAGTTCACCCTCGAGAGCGCCAATCTTCTTCTGCTGCTCCTCCGCACCCGCGTCCAGGGCCTCGGCGGCAGCCTCCTGCGACTTCAGGAGACCGTTGAGAGTCTCAATCTCGGCCAGCAACGACTTCTCACGGTTCTCGTGGGCCATGCGGAGTTCATTGATCTGGCTCTCCTGCTGCATAACTTGCTCGCGGAGTTGCGAAACCACGGCCATATCCATGGACGAAGCGCCGGACAAGCTTGTCCGTTCGCGTGTGAGCCCAGAGATGATAGTAGACTTCATCTCCATCTCTCTCTTCACGCTCTGGTTCTCAGCCTCCAAGGCTTGAAGACGCTCGACGCGGCTGTGGATTTCATGCATAGTAGAATCCAGATGAAGCTCAAAATTTTGCATGAGCTCCGGTCGGTCCGAGAATTCCTGGATTCCAATGTTTCGCAGGGCTCCAAGCGACCGGTGAGCGCGGTCCACGCCGGACAGAAGGCTGTTGTTGGTGATACGGGTTTGGCTGGTCATGCGGCGGATCATAGGGCTCTTGAAACCAGGTGTTGTGGGAGAGCTGGCCTTGGGGCGCTGGACCTCGGCTTTGAGCCTGTCAACAAGGCTGAGAATCTCCTCGTGCTCAGACTGCAGCTGGGCGTACTTCTCAGACATGAGGTCAGCACTCTCCTGGTGGTCCGCAATCATCTTGCGCATGCTGTCAACATCGGCGGCATCTGGCGCAACCACACTCGATGCCGGTGGTGTGGTAGCGTCATCTGAAGTGTCGATCCTAGAATCTTCAAATGCTCCGCGCGAAGCAGCTGACGCCTCTGCCGAGGACAACTCCGAGGAGAGCGATTGCGAGAATGAGTGTTGTGCTCCAGACTTCGAGGTCGGAGCGCTGCCCATGTCTAAAAAAGAGACTGGACGCGAGGAATCATTCTGGGTATGAGGCGCCGGGCGGCGGCTCTCGTCCATCTTGTCCTGTCGGAGCTCGGCGAGGGCTTTCAGAGCCTCCTCGTACTTGGTCTCGAGCAGTTCGTAGTCAGTGACGGTGGTCTCATGCTGGAGACGCAGATCGAAAAGCTCCTGGGAGACAGTCTCGAGCTTGTCGGCAACAAATTTGCTCTGGGCGGGGCTGGACACTGGTTCTTCACGAACCGATACCGAGCGTCGCGCCTCCAGCTGGGTGGTCGCATCCTCCAGTGCCTTGAGATCCTCACCAGGAGCGGTCTGCTCAAGTTCCGCCGTCGACTCATCCTCGGTCTCAGGGATCGGGTCAATCAGGCCCTCATCAGACTCGGGAATAGCCGTCTCGGCAGCTTCATTAAGAACGTCCAGCGATGGGGTGTGCCTATGGTACTTGACTGGCACGGGCGACGATGTGGTCTCGGTGCCGTTCGGCCCGTCGTGCTCCTCCTCACCGTTCTGGTGCAGGTTGTCCAGCTCATTCAGCAGGTTGTCGAGCTTTCCAAGGCCGCGCTGGCGCTCAATCACATGCTCCAGGCGCATCACCTCGCGTTGCATCAGTTCCATATCTTGGTCAGCCTCCGCGAGACGCTCTTCCAAGGTCGAGATGTATTCCTCGCAGCCAATTTCGCCATCGCGGGCACGGATCAACTCCTTGCGGAGCTCAGAAATGATTGCAGCATGCTTTTCTTCGCCGGTCGAGTGACCATCAATCTTAGACTCCAATTCATGGAGGTAGGCCTCACTGCTGGCTTCGCGATCCAATAGCTTCTGAACGCGCGACTGGAGCTGTTGATTGACAGTCTCGACGTAGGCACACCTGGTCTCACGCTCCAAAAGAGTGCTCTCGGTAGTGGACAGAGACGAGCGGGTGTTGGAAAGCGAAGTCTCCAAGGTTTGGATGGTCTTCTCGTATTCAAGGACCACCTGTTCCACAGATTCGGCGAAAGATTTCGAGCGCTGCATGCGCTCAATGGAGCTCTTGCCGATGTCGCTGGTTGCATCATCCAGGTCTCCATTTGCAGTGCTATCGTCGTTGGCCATCGCCGAGATCAGCTTAGCATGCCGCTGGCTGAGCGCGTTGTAGCTTTCCTGGACGTCGAGTAGCTGGTTCTGCAGGTTGATCTCCCGTTCGTTCTTGCGTTCGCTTCGCTCCGGAGATCCTGCCTCGCGACGTCCGGAACCCTCCGAATTCCGGATCTGTTGGCGCAGGAAGGCCACTTCGGCCTTGAGCCGTTCGATCAATGCCTGCTTGTCGCCCTCGTCGGCGATCTGTTGGATGCGGGGCTTGCTCTGGATAGCTCTGGCTCGCTGCGCGTACTGGACTGTGTTCAGAGTCTCGCTGAGATGGAACTCCGCAGGGGTCACACAGGCAATCATGTATGTGATGGCGTTCCCGCCCAATGAGTCTTGCAGGAGGCGGGTCAGGCGGGAGTCACGATATGAGACGTGAGAGCCAGACTGGCGCGAAGACAGCTGCGAGATGACCTTGCCCAGTGCAGCCAGACCCGCGTTGATAGAGATACCTTCGCGAGCCCGCTCACCAGAGGCACCGGTATTCTTCAGACGTTCGCTACCGGCCAAATCAACAAAGTGGAGCTTGCTGTCCACGGTGACGGTCTCTCCGCTGGGCAACGAGTCCACTGGCATGGACATGCGCTTCTCCTTGGGGGAGCTGGTCGGATTTGAGGCCGACTTGCGCACCAGGTTCAAACTGAAGACTGCATGCGACCGAGAGGACTTGGCGTTAATTGCGGTAGAATCAGTTTGACGGATGGTGGAGCCAAAGTTGAGAGCCCCGATCAGGTCTTCGAAGCAGTTGATGTTCACTTGGTGGAGGCCAGTCAGGAGGATGCGGCCTTTGGCATCCTCACGGATGGTGACCGTGCTGCGATCGCTGACGGGAGTAGATTCTGGCAGAAGCAGGTCACGGAGTTGTTCGTTGTAGATCTAGACGTCCGATTAGCATCCTGCATTAGCCGGTGCGCCTGGTGGGAAAGGTACCTCCACATAAGTAGCCTTGAGCTGCCAGTTCTTCTCCGCATTCAACTTCCCAAAACTTGTGGCAGAGCTCATGGAATATCGCTGCGGAGTACGGAGGCCCGTTGAGCTGGAGCCATTGCGGTTGTGCTTGGGGGATCCATCCAGTTTATCAAAGAGGGCCTGGGCGGCACGGGGAATGATACCTAGACGTTGGATATTAAATTAGCCTGGGATCGGTACTAACAAGGTGCATGGCCACCCCTACCCATTGCCTCTGAATTATTTTGTTCATTGGGGCCCGAGGTGCCCATGGTGTATGATTTGCCCGCGCCGGACTGCCCGTAGGCCAGGATGGAGACATTGTATCCCTGAACAAAAGAGTTCACACTGTCACTGAGATACTCCCAGACGCCCTCCTGCTCAATGGTCTCGGGGAAAACGCGGTCGAAAACAAACAGCTTGCGGCCCTGAGGCACATCCACGGCTAGGCTGGTCGAAGCCGTGACATGCACCATGGACCGCTGGAAGCGCTGGGGAATTAACTCGTAACCAGGATCGGTGGGATTGAGCGGAGGTCGCACACGGACAGCTGCAGAACTGCAAGTTAGTGAACCGATCACACAGAGTCCTTGGGCGCATCGTCGGTGTGCGTGCGACTGTGCGACTTGCGACGCGCGATAGCAGAGGCACACACACCAAGCGATCGCGTCCAGGGGGCGGGGCCGATAAGAGAAATGTAGACATACCGACTTTGACCGCTGTCTTGCCATCTTCATCAGACGCGCGACTTCCCCCGTGTTTACTGCTGACACTCATGCGACTGGTGCTGCGCGGCGTGCGCATCATGGAACTCATGGGCCGTTGGGGCAGGCCCGTCGGTGACCCTGGAGGTGAGAGAGTCATCTCCCCGAAGTCAAAAGCCACGCCGGGTGGATGTTGGGGATGAGAAAGGTTATGCAAAGGGGAGAAGGGTAGGCATGAGGCGTGGATGGGAGAGAAGGAAGCGGGTGGTCTGGAATAATAATTGTGGAGAGGGAAAAGAGTTGGCCCCTATTCGATTTTGCCGGGATGGCAGCGGGTGTCAAATGTCAGGCACTTGGCGATGCTTCCAGCCTAGGAGAAGCAAAGCGACCAGATCAGGGGAGAGAAGGCAATCAGCAACATCCGAGGAATTACACCGAAGACTCAATGGCATTAATTGTTCCCAGAACACTTGAATCGAGAACTCTCCTTATGGTGGAGCTCTGGCCAAGCGAAGTGTTTTTGTTCCCCTGAATTGTACATCGGTGGTACAGACAAGCCATGGTTCCTTCCTCCCCACATCCACTCCTAGCCACGCCCACCACCACCATTTCATCCGTTCGTTTCAGATGCTCCTTTAGGTTATCACTAACCAGGAACGCCTGTCTCCATCATGGCCCTGAATTTACCCTCCTACGAACCCCTCCCCCCTGAGTGTATAACGGCACTAACTCCCATCATTGACAAGTCCACCGGCCGCTGCCGATCGCTTACCTATCCCAGCTAGGGACGGGCCATCCAGCCAATCCGGCAAGCCTCGCTTCCGTCTCGCTCCTTAATCCCTGCTCCCGAACGAAATGCTGATTGTCCTGCGTGAAACGCTCGAACCGGCTCCGAATCCACTTCTACCCTAACGTCTGGACTCAAAAGTCCAGAACTTGAGATCCGGTGGAGCCGAATGGATCACAGCTGCTCGTGGGCTGGACTACTGATGGACAATGGTCCTTTCTTGACCATGATCGTGAGCACCTCATAGAGCACGTCGGCGGCCGCCCTAAAGGAGTTAGCCAATGTGATCGGACAGAAATCACCCGGGTAAAAAAGAAAAGAAAAACATACATGGTGGACAGTTCGGCATTGGTGTCATATGCCGGGGCCACCTCAACAATGTCCGCTCCGATGAAGTTCAATCCATCCAGTCCACGGATAATCGTCCGTAGCTCCCGCGTAGACCAGCCGCCAGTCTCCGGAGTACCAGTGGCCGGCGCAACTATGGATTCCAAATGTTAGACATGAACGCGCCACAAGCGACACAACACGACCACTTACACGCAGGGTCCAGAGTGTCGATATCGATCGAGAGATAAACCGGATTCTCGCTCCCCACCCGGTCACGGATCTTCTTGATGATACCGTCCGTGCCAATGGTATCGATTTCGCGGGCCTCGACGATCTCAAATCCACAGTACCCATCGTTCTCATAGTCCGACGGTCCAGACAGCGTCGTGCGGATACCCGCGTGGATGTTGGTGTCGTTTTTAAGTAGGCCTTCCATCGCAGCATGATAGAAGTACGTGCCGTGGTTGATCGCGGCCACCTGGCTGGGCGAACCACCGAACACCTTGGGTTTCCAGGTGTCTCTGTGTGGGATCGGATCAGTTTTCTGAAACTCGATCTGAGTTGCACAATTTTTCTTACAGGTGACTATCAAAGTGGATCACCGTCACGGGTCCGTAGGCCTTGTTGATACTGCGTAGCAGCGGCAGAGTGATGGTGTGGTCTCCCCCCAAAGTGATAATCCGGGGAAGGGTCTTCCCAGCCCGGGACAGACCATACTGGTCGGCATCGGTGAACGGCTTGCGCATAAGCACACTGTTGTGGCCTTCTTCAATCTGCTGGATGGCCCAAGCGTTGTCATATCTGCGTTATCATTTCCCCCTCCATCAGCCGTTATCCATCAGATTGTCGATAGAGATAGATCACATACGAAGTCACCGGGATATCCCCACAATCCAAGATCCGCATATCGCTACTAAACGGATTCGCCTCCAACGGGACATTGTAGCCCCCGCTGAATCCCAATTTGCGTGAGCCTTGATGGTTCCAGACGTGACCCGACGTAAGCAATTCTGCCCGCCATAGAGAAGCAACATACTAAAGATTGAGACGGCGAGAACCTTGTCTGATCCCACTGGGTCCGAACCGTGCTCCCGGTCTGTACGAGGTACCCGTGTCAAAGGGAGCTCCTATGAACGCAATGTCGTATCTTTCAGCTTCGCTGGACAGGCATGGGAAATAGGGCAGTCGGCCGAAGGTTGAGATGCCAGAGAACACCGAGTCGGCCTGGGTGCCTCCGTCTCCGGGGAGTGTGTTGTACCACAATCCCTGGTGCGGGCCCAGCGCGATCTGGCTGTGGTCCCCATGCGCCGCGGCGAGGGTGGATAGGGCAAGAATGCCAATTGTCGAAGAAAACATTTCAGACAATGAGAGGTTCAAAGGGTTCGATTGTTAAAAAAAAATTCAATGGGCAGAGCACCAGAGCTTGAATATAGCCTGCAAGGGTCTTTATCTGGGGTATATGTAGGTCCGTTGAACTAAGGCAAGGCTCAACGATCTTCGCTGCAGATGCTTGCCCGGCAATTTCCAATACGCAATCTCTTCTCGTTACCCAAATCCGGAGGCTGATATACATTTGCCTTGCCCGCTTGATTGCAGGCTCTTGGGTCGGTATGGCCCCGGGCGCTCCGCTCGCCTTCCTAATGGAGGATCCATGTCAGGGCGCGGAATGACGACAGACAGTTGCGAAACGGAGCTTGAATCCCTAATGTCCCAAAAGGGAAGGCCGTTTGAGAGAAAACTCTCGAACGAGCTGAGCGCGCAGATAAGATAGGGCAGTTGGTGATGTTCCGACAGAAGCTTATCAGCTGGAGATGATTGGCGAAAACACCATGTATAGCTCTGTTATCTCCAATGCTCCGACAGCGGAGTGGACAATGGACTATGCAATACTCCGAGGAAAAGCGAAAACATACTTCGAATTCTGGGGCTTGATTCCGTAACGGCGGATTATATGCAGGATTCCCACTATCTGCTCCGTCATAGCTGTATTCGTAGTCCCGCATCAACTGGGCTGCCACCGAGTATTGACGATTCCGCGGTCGTCGCTAATACATACAAAAGTAGAAATCCATATCTTTCGAGGGCTTTGGTTTGTCCATCTACATTCGCGTGCGATAGTTTCCCACCTACCGACACAGGCAAGATGACAGATTCGAGTGGCTCGGCGCCAGACGAGTATACTTCATTACTTCCCAAGCTCCCAGACCATGATCCGGCATGGAATCAACACGAAAGTGACTGCGAGAGGACCAACAAATCCTCTAGGGGTCTTTTTCTCTCCGAGTTCTGGCTGTTACTGAAGAGTTCAATTCCGGTAATCCTGGCATACACTCTCCAGAACAGCCTCCAAACCGTCTCCGTGCTCATTATCGGCCGCTCCTCTCCCGAGAACCTAGCCGTCAGCGCATTCTCCCAAATGTTCGCCATGGTCACAGCGTGGATGATTGGGCTAGGCGGCACGACAGCCCTCGATACACTAGCCTCTTCGACGTTCACGGGGAGTTCCAACAAACATGACTTGGGGATCTTGCTCCAGAGGGGATTCTTGGTTCTGGGCCTTTTTTATGTCCCAGTGGCTATCCTATGGGCGTGCTCGGAGCCGGTATTTCTCTTTCTCGGACAGGATCCGCAATTGTCGCGCGATAGTGCGAGGTTTCTCACTTGTCTTATCCCGGGAGGGCTGGGGTATATATATTTCGAGCTGATGAAAAAGTATCTGCAAGCACAGGGTATGGGATCTAGCCGATCATCAATTGACACTGCTAACGACGAACTAAACCCAGGCATCATGAGAGCAGGAACGTACGTCCTCTTGGTCACCTCCCCGCTCAACGCTGGCCTCAACTATCTATTCTGCTACACGTTCAAGATCGGCCTCTTAGGCGCTCCCCTTGCAACCGGTCTCTCGTACTGGATATCCTTTGCACTGCTGGTGCTATACTCAAAGCTAGTCGCCGGATCCGAGTGCTGGGGCGGCTGGTCGCGAGATGCATTCCAGAACCTGGGCACATTTGCCCGGCTCGCGCTCCTTGGATTCGTACACGTCGGCACGGAGTGGTGGGCCTTTGAGATCGTAGCACTGGCAGCGGGCCGACTGGGCACGATCCCCCTTGCGGCGCAGAGTGTCATCATGACGGCTGACCAGGTGCTCAACACGATTCCGTTCGGTATCGGCGTCGCGACGTCCACTCGCGTTGGTAATTTGCTGGGATTGCGGAATGGCGTTGCAGCATCACGCGCGGCGCATACGTCTGCTGTTCTCAGTATGGTTGTTGGCGGTGCTGTGCTGGCATTGCTGATGGGCACGCGACACGATTTTGCAAAGATCTTCAACGATGATGCCGGCGTTGTGAAGCTGACTGCTGAGGTTCTGCCCTATGTGGCTCTGTTCCAGATTGCAGATGGGCTGAATGGAAGTTGTGGGGGGAGTCTGCGTGGGATGGGGAGACAGCATGTCGGCGCGCTGGTCAATATCGTGAGTTACTATTGCGGTGCGCTGCCGCTGGGTATATGGTTGGCGTTTCATGGTTGGGGACTGAAGGGGCTGTGGGTGGGACAGTGTATTGCTCTTTATCTGGTAGGGTTCCTGGAGTGGATTATCGTGGCTCGTAGTCAGTGGGAGGTCGAGGTGCGCAAGGCATTTTTACGGATGGATGTTCATGACAGTTTGGAAGCTGGCTTTGAGACATAGAGGAAGTCCCTACTGTAGGGTACCTACTTTGACGCAACGATGCATAAAGTTTGTACACTTCGGGCGCTGGAAGTTGGGATACGGATACGAAAAGCTTTTCAACTACACTAGAGATAGGTAGAAATGCGGCTGTTGATGGTCTCAAAACCAATTATTTCGGTCTCAATTTCTCATAACCTCACATTCCATACGACAATCTTCTTGATCACTGGTTGAATCCTATTGTTGTTCAGTTTTAGGCTAGACCAAATGTAGAAGGACATAACTGAGCCAACAGGCCAGTTTGTTACATCATTGCAGTATAAAGTCAATTACCTTATCGTTTAACTACTATGCTTAATAAAGCATAAACGAATTGTTAGTTGGTTATCAATTGTTGCAGGGATCTTATCAGGACTAGCGGGGAAGACAAGGGCCGATGAGAAGGTTCTCCAGATATTGACCAAATTCGGAAGGTTGATAGAGTCAAGTCTGAAGCCATTTTGCTGACGGCAAAAGAGCTACAGATAGTTCAAGATAGAGAAAGTTGTTACAAGTTTCATTCTCCTTATGAATTTGTTCACAAATCGTTATCATTCCGCCAAGCAGGATCTTGGTCTGTTTTTGGAGAGAGAGAGCTACTTGATGAGACCACAAAATGGAAGCTGACCAGCGGCAAACTTAACATAAATCCCTTGTTTTGCGTAATCAACTATGCACGACAATCTATTCTGAAAACCTAGGAATTTCTACTATGTCATGGCTGTTGCTGGCTTCGAACATAACACGGATCTAGACCTTTACCCCAGAACTGGTCTCGATACCCCAGCATACCGTTATCAACGCCCCGGAAAATAACCAAAACAGTCGACGTGACTGTTATCGGTCTCACGATCCTGCTTACCCCTGCTGAACCTAGGAGGGCACTTGGGTCTTATCTTCAAGCCCTTATCGCCGTTGTATGCCTGCTGATTGGTGCAATCTAGCCTGCAGTAAGTGGCTCTAGCTCGGACCCCTGCAACTCTGATAAGCCGCGTCTTTAACCTGCAGGTCCGTCGATGATGCATTTGGCTCGGAGTTGTGGTACTTGGAAGTTGCAGTGGTTGGATCTACTCGCCATCAGTCATTCAAAAGAGACGTAAATGCTCCAATAATCGAAAAATGGACATGTAGAGATTTGTGCAAAATGCAATAGGAATACAAATATCTTGTGAGATAAATAGAATTATTTTAAGCTATGACGCACATGCGTTCCGCCGCCAAAGATTCTCGACTGATAAGCCTCGCACTGGCATCTGCACTCCGCGGGATATTTAGGAAACAGGGATACGCGTAGCTTGCATGGATATATCCGAGTAATGACCCTTCTTGGTATAAGCATTGCGTACTTCGCTCTCTTAAGCTTAGGTTTGGTTGCATCGTCACGCAAACCGGACCGTCTCTCCAACAATGGAGGAAACAGATATGAGTGAGAAACAGAGCACTGATGAGAAAAGCCGCCAAAGCAATGGCCTTTCCACACCCAAGGATGAGACATCCACCCCAATTGAGGGTATCCAGATTGCCTGTCATGCTGTCGACAAGAATGGAATCAAGCTCCATCCCCAGCCAACTTCTGATCCACTAGACCCATTGAATTGGTCAACTCTTCAAAAACATGCTATATTGTCGGCAGTTATGCTCAAGTGAGTGTTAAAAAGCACAGCTAGAATTTTATGTCGCAAGAATCAGTTCATTGGTATACTAACTCACCCTTTCATCAGGTATTTTCTATTTACATATCTGACAACGACCACTGTCTCATCGTTTCCAGAAATCCAAACTCAATATGATATCAACTACTCCCAAGTAAACTGGACTGTCGCCGTGCCGGCTTTAGGGCTAGCAGTCGGCCCACTCGTGTGGTCATCCCTCGGTGACATTTATGGTCGCCGGATCATTTTCATCATTGGGACCACAATTGCTCTAGTCTCAACAATTGGCGCAGCGGTTGCTGATACATATTCCGGATATATGGCTGCTCGATTCTTTCAAGGGTTCGGGGTGAGCCCTGCTTCGACGGTTGGAATGGCAGTTGGTATGTTTGCGTCTGGAGCAGAATAGACGAAGCTTAGCTGACGATCCATCATGGCACAGTCAATGATTTATTTTTTGATTATGAGCGTGGTCAAAAGCTCGGCCTGTGGGTGCTGGCATTGGATTCTGGACTTCTTCTTGGTCCGACCTGTGAGTTATTAACTGCCGGCAGAAACAGAACTGTATTGAACGTAGATTGACACTCCATCGCAGTTGGTGGCTTTTTGAATCTTGTCAGTGCCGCGTGGATCAATTGGTTCAACGCCATTCTTTTCGCCGCTTTGCTAGTTCTGGAGCTTGCCTTCATGCCGGAGACACTATACCCACGAAACAAGATGCTGCAGCATATGCCACGTCTTGACAACAACAAGACAGTCACAGTGGATATTGAAAAGCTTCCTGGTCAAGATAGCAGATTTACAGTACAGGACACTCTCGCCGACATGCCTCGGACAAAAAAGCTGCCTTTCCTAAACGTGCGACCAGTGCCTGGCATGCGTCACCCGAAGCCTTGGGACTATATCACCCGTTTCTTCCTCACATTCCAGCTCCCCGTTGTCGCAATTGCGGTCCTTGGATACGGCTTCGTGTGGTACTGGTGGGTTCTCTCGGTCATCACAATGGTACCTGCCGCATACGCAAGCTACTCTCCTCTGATCCAGGGCCTCTTGTTCCTGGGATTACTGATGGGAACCGTTCTGTCAGAAATTTGTTGCTCTGGTAGACTGAGTGACTATATTGTTAAGAAGTTGAGCAAACACAATGGAAATGTGCGCGTGGCCGAGATGCGACTGTGGCTGGCATATCCGGCGATATTGATCACGGCCAGTGAGTTTTCCGCTTGTGATTACTTGTTGACTAGACTGACAAATATTGCAGTCGGGTTGATTCTTTGGGGAGTCAGCATTGACAAGAATTATCACTGGATGGTGGGCCAGGTCGCCTTCTTCCTATGTACGTGCTCGCGGGACGATATGAACCCACGAAGAGTTACTGACCAGCTTCCAGTTGCTGCAGGAATCCAGATCGGCAATACGGTGACTAGCAGCTATATCGTGGATTGCTATCCATTGCAATCAACCAGCGTCATTACGTTCTATGCCGTCTTCCTTAATCTGAGCGCGTTTATCAACCCGGTAGGATATACCCCTGTATAAAAGTTGCGGAGTGTTGCTGACTCTTGTTGGTTTTCAGTTCTTTATTGCCTCTTGGGAAGCATCTTCGGGCTGGACCTGGACATTTACTGCGCAGGCGCTCATCGTCCTGGCTGGTGGTGGTCTGTTGTTTGGGCTTCTACACCGATACGGTGCCTGGATGCGGGCCAAGGCACCACAGCCCTCGTGGGTCAACTCGGAGTTTGACTCGGAGCTTTGACTTTGCTACGAATGGTTTTACACATTTTCCTTGCGGTAATATGGCTTGATAATATACCCTCTCTATTCAAAAAACTCCACACCCACGGAGTCTTGTACAAGACATGTTGGTCTATTGTGAATTCTGCTACTTCCAGGAATGTGGACGTCTAATGACCGATTCCACAGCGCTCACTGTCAAAATATCATAAGAATAGAAATGCAAGTCTATCAACGAAAGAAGATGTGTGAAACAATGTGCTTAAAATGCCAAGGAAGAAGGATAACCGAAAAGATTTTGGGCAATTAATGCCAGAAGAAAGCAAAAAGGTATAATAAATAAGCAAGCGGGCATGCGTGGATACTTAAGCCTTTTCACTTGTCTCACCCAGAATTTGCGACACACTGGGCGTGTCCGCACCCTTGAGGTAGTTCTCGATCTCGCCGATCTGTTTGCCGCCCTGAATCCAACGCTCACGGTAGGCGTTACGGCGCTGCTCGGCCAGTGCATTCAGAGCAGGCCAGTAGGTAGCATGATCGTACCGAAATTCGACATCACCGCCCACGTTCTTCATGAGCTGGCTCGGCGGGACGTGCTGAGTGAGGTCCTCATTAAACTTGAGCTTTGTTCGGGTTAACGGGTCGATGAACGGGGTGATCAGCTTGAAGAACCCCCAGATAAGCCACGGCACTGATTGATTATAAAGTTAGTCAAGCAAGCCGATTGGAATCTATGCCCACTACTCACCATTGATGACTAGCGCACGACCGAGTCTCTCTGGGTAATGATTTTGCAGAATATGGAGGGTCTGTTTCCCTTGGCCCACCGAGGCATTTTGGCCCGAGCTGGTCTCACTGAAATTCACCAGCAGCGCGAGGGTCTCCTGGTCAGGGCCCATGAGATCAATGACCCGCTCCAGCATGAACACGAGATGCTCCACCTGGCGATCACTCTTCTCCGTGTTCTGCTTACTCGGCAAGAGGTACAGACAGGGCCGGCCGTGAATGTCAAAGCCCAGAATAACTTGCTTGCCCGTCTCGTTTTCGACCGAGATATAGTCCGGTGTCAATTTCTGGATCCCGTATTCTCGGCGCCACGTCAGTGTGCGCTGGAGGCGGGCCTCGGCCTCGGCCACGCTCCACTTGGTTGCGCGCAGATATCGAAGGAGACATTCGCGGGTCAACCACATGCGTTCGTCGTCAGTGATCGGGGCGGTTGCGGAATTCTTCTCGGAGGTTGTCGGGACCGTAGTCCATGACTTGACTGTCTTGAGCACAGCGTCATATTTGGATTGCTGATCGGGGGTCAATTGCGCTGGTGCTTCCGGTTTGGCGTTGTCCAGTGGTTTGAGGAACGGCTTCTGAATGAGACCGTCGGCGGCGGAGGTTGGAAGGTTCAATTCGGCGGGGTCCGCAGTCTGCTTCGTCGCAGCCGCAGTCGCAGCAGTTTCGGCCTCGGCGTTGTCACCTTTGGTGTATGGTGGAGGCGCCGCAGCGTCAGGGGCATCGACAGTCATTGCGATCTCGGTGTATGTACAGATTTAAGAGTGAGATCGAATTGACTGGATCGGCACACCCTGACCCACCGGCTTGACTAATCGGCTCTACGCGTGGTGGTCACGCGCGTCGCGTCAACCCTCTTCAGTCAATTAATCAAATCAATTAATTCACTCTTCGATCCTCGTTGAGCAACCATGGCCGACACAGCCGCAGAGCTCAAGGAGCTATTCGCAGCTTCCGCTCCCGGTGGCCTGCCTGACGATGTCCTCGCCGAGCTCCAGTCGATTCTGCGCGTGCACTCGATCACCGCGGAGGAACTCTTCTACAAATGGGAGTCCTACAGTATCAAGATGGGCGAGGAGGTCAAGTTGAACTTGGAGACAGTGCGTGCATTCAAGCAGGATGTGCAAGAGGCCCTGGAGCGTGAGACTCGCGGCAAGACCGGCCGCCAGGACCAAAAAAGGAGTACTGTCACGGCGACCCCGCGTGCTGGCGCGGGCTCTGATATGTTTGGGATGTATGTAGTAGTTATACAGGTGCTGTCGGATTCGCGGAGCTGACTCTATCCTATAGGCTGGACCAACTCACGCCCAATGCCGCGAATGGTCGCGCCCTGAACGGAGCCAATGGTTCTGTGAAGCGCAAGGCCGATTTCTCCTCCCCCGCCACCCCGAGGGTAGGTAAGGTGACGAAGAATGAATCACCAATTGGGGTGAAAACCCCAGGTTCTGCAGTCAATGGTGATGCCGGAGGTGGAATGAAGTATGTCATACCCTGGCTATACGGGGCAAGAATACTAACAGATGTTGAAGACCGGTGTCGTTTGCCGAACGGACAAATCCCGGTCAGACATTGGAAACCCTGAATGCGCATTTACCGCTCCCAGAAGCTCCTATCGCTCCATTCTCGGAGGCGCGCATTCGACCCACGGCGAACACGGACCTCAAAAAATTCGGATATAAGCCCATGGGAATGCGATTATCGGAGGCATCTGAGATTCTGGACGACCGAATCGATGAGTTCGCCGCGATCCTGCAAAAACAATACGACTCGGATGACATCAACTTCGGAAGCGCTGCCACCCAGAGCACGAGCGAGATCATTGCAGTGGGACGTATTGCTTCGGATAGTCTAGAGGGCAAACTGAACCCGGCTTCAATGGTTCTCGAGACATCGCGCCGAACGGGGGCAGGGAGACGTGTTCCTCTGAAAGTCGACTCGGTGCCCTCGGTGAACTTCTTTCCCGGGCAAATTGTGGCTCTTCGTGGCATCAACCCCTCGGGTGACTACTTTACCGTCAAAGAGGTCCTTCCCATGCCTCTCTTACCGCCAGCAGCATCCTCAGCCGTGGCTTTGGATGGCATCAATGAACGTCTGGATGGAGACGCCAACCCGCCACTAAACGTCACGGTGGCAGCTGGGCCGTTTACGGCAGACGATAACCTGGACTTTGAGCCGTTGCAGGAGCTCTGCCAAAAGGCAGCAGATAACTACGCGGACAGTCTGGTGTTGCTAGGTCCGTTCCTAGACATTGAACACCCGCTGCTCTCAACGGGTGATTTTGACCTTCCAGATATCAAGGGTCTCGACCCGGACACGGCCACTCTCGCCACTGTCTTCCGGCATCTCATTTCGGCACCACTATCACGGCTTGCCGCGGCAGTGCCCAGCATCACGATCGTCCTGGTGCCATCCGTGCGCGACGCCTTAAGTCGGCACGTATCCTGGCCGCAGGAGCAACTCCTCAAGAAAGAGCTCGGTCTGCCCAAGCAGGTCCGCATGGTCTCCAACCCGGTTACACTGTCATTTAACGAGGTTGTCGTCGGCATGTGCTCCCACGACGTGCTCTCCGAGCTGCGCCGCGAGGAAGTCCTGCACGGCCGGCCCGTCGAGGGCAACCTGCTCACGCGTCTGCCCAAATACCTCATTGAACAACGGCACTTCTTTCCCTTGTTCCCACCAAGTGCACGCTCGAACCTGCCCAAGCCTACCACCGACGCCGGCCTGGCTACCGGCGCGATGCTGGATCTGCCCTACATGAAACTGGGAGAGTGGTGGAATGTCCGGCCGGACGTATTGATTGTACCGAGCATGCTGCCACCGTTTGTCAAGGTATGTGTCTTCCCCCCCCCTCCCTTTCTCTCTTTTTCAATCGACATTTCTTGCTAACACCTTCTCAAGGTCGTCGATAGCGTCTTGGTCATCAACCCGGGCACTCTATCCAAACGCCGCGCTGCAGGGACCTTCGCGCAAATGGCTGTCCACCCACGGCTGGTCGGCGAGGATGAACGCGAGCAGAAACAACTGGGCCATAAGCTCTACGAACGGGCCCGGGTGGACGTCAACCGGATCTAGTTCTGGCTAATGTGACATGTACGTATCTCTTTTTCGCATTATGCTGGGCGTTGGTGGCGCAAGGCAATTTGCGGCGGTATCACAGTCAGACTGAATTTGGATCCGATCTGAATTCCTAGTAAAGTGAAATGAAAATGAATCACGAACTCGATCCTAGTCCCTCTACTAGTAATCCAGCGGGTATCTGATATGGAGTAAACACGCAACCCCACAACCTAAAGACTCCGATAATGCAAACCAACCCCAATAAAAAGGAAAAAGAAAGTCGAGTCATCGAAGACAAATAGTCCTCCGGCCACCCATCCTCCTCCCAGCACTCCTCACTCTCACAGCAGGTGCAGCAGCCGACGCCGCACCACCACCACTCCCACGCAGCGTAGCCCCAGGCCCTGACCCAGCACCAGTAGTAGTATTATTATTCCCACCACCAGGACCACCAATAGCCGCCCCGCCACCATGCCCCTGCCCCCTCACAAGAGCCTCAAGGCCCAAATCCCTCCAGACAGCCTCCCTCCTCCGTTCCATCGCGCGCGTGATTCCAAACGCAGCATGCTGATCAGGCACGACATCATCCTCATCTTCTGGGTTAGGTGGCTGGTATTGCGGCGGGACATAGATTTCTTCAACTGGTAGGAAGGAGGGGATTGTTGCGGGTGAGGACGAGCCGTAGGTTGCGCTGTTTGCTGCTGCCGCTGCGGCGGCGGCGGCAGCGACGGCGGCGGCTTGCGCGGTGGACGTAGTTGAATTGAGATTGTGTGAGGATGCGGCCGCGGCTAGGGAGGCTGGGGAGGCGTGGGGGCGTGTAAATTCTTCGAAGAGGTCTGCTAGGCGGGGCTGGTGCATGTGAAGGTGGGTGGCGGAGGAGTCTTTGCTCTGTGTAAAGGTTAGTTATGGGTACAGGATGGTTTTGGGATGGACTGATGGAGGGAAGGCACCATTTTGAATGTCTGGAGGGGATGAGTTGTGGGAGAATGTAGAGTTGAAGAGAGAAGTGAAAGTCGACGTCTTTGTTTATCTTTCGATTCTAGCCAGCAGAATTTCCTCGCCGCCCTCAATTCCGCCCACCAACCATCGCTCGGTCTATATGTACTCTACCTGTGAGAGTCTTCGGGCGAGCCCTTGACAAATCAGGCTCGCACGGTGGACCAAATCGCCGCTGTAGGCTAGACAACGACATCCCATGTTATAGAACCTAGGGTACCGTTGAGAGGAAACGGTTATTCTCATTTGAGTAATAATGTTGGTGTTGAACTTCACGCAAGTCCAGCGAGATCTATGTATCTTGCTCACGATAGATTTTGGCGTGTAGTACCTCCAGTGGAGCATTTACACGGTAGTCCATGACTTCGTTTAGATCGCCCAAGAAGTAGCAAGCAACACAAGCGACGACACCGAAGGGCGCTGCAATAATAAATACAACTCTTAGACCATCGGCATATGCCTGCTTCAAGGCGTGAAATCCTGCCTCGATAACAGTGGGATTCACCCCACCAACCTTCTGCAGGGCTGCTGTATTTTGGGAAGAGAGCGCTTCAACGAAACCGCCGAGAGAAGACTTCGGAAGACCCGCTTGTAAAGCTGCCTCAGCGACATAGCTCGGGATATACTTCTCAAGACGGGCATTGAGGGCGACAGAGGCAACAGCAGTGAAAAAAGCGGCGGCAATTGCTCTAGAACATGTTGTCGCCGCAGTTGCTGTCGCTATAAGATGGTGTGGGGTGGAAAGCTGGACGCCAGCAATGACAAGAACCAGCGGTGCACCGAAGCCAATCCCAGCCAGCCCGGCGAAGACCAATGCGGTCGTGCTGTCATTGGGCTGGACCGTTGCTAGTCCAACAACACCGCCAGTGAGGATAAGGAACCCGACGAATAGTGGGAGTCGAATGGTTTTGAATCTACTGCTCGTATAGCCATAAGCGACGGTAGCGAAGCCGCCAGCAACCCAGAAAGGTAGTTCCCGGACAGTTTCTAGGAATGGGTCCGTCTCAAAGAGAGTAGATGTCCTAATTAACAGTTTATTAGCAAAATTGGTCGAGGCAAGGACAGGGATCCAAAGGGCAAAAACACATAAGAAAGATAAAGACTTACAAAACAGGGTAGAAAATTATGTAGGCGAAAAGCAGAACGCCCTCGATGAAGATTAGGCCTACGCAAATGGCAAAGGTAAGTCCGCCATTCTTTCCACCTCGGAAAAGATCATGGTGGAGGATCCCAGTCTTAGTAAACTTCCACTCGTATATCCCGAAAGCGATGAGTGACACGATGCCGATGATCAGTGTCGCGAGAACGGGAGGAGCAGCCCATTCATAGATGCCACCCCCTAAATTGAGTCCAGTCAATAGCAGCGAGAGCCCCGCAGTAAGAAAAAGGAATCCAGGGAGGTCGAGTCGACCAATCTTTTGCCAGAAGGACAAGTGGTCCAACCGTGTGTGTCTCTTCGGCGGTCTATAGCCGAACAATAGCCCGAAAGCTGACATTCCCCAAAGAGCCATTTGGATCCACTAAAATAGGAATAGGTCGGCACTATATCTCAAGTTGAAGAGCAAGGAGGCTCACATAGAAATTACGCCAACCAGTATGGGGATTCGCTTTTGTGAGAGCGCCGATGATAAGTGGGCCGGTGCAAGCGCCAATGGCGGCCGCAATATTGATGAATGCTTGGACCACTATAAAGTATTTGCATTAGTTTCTCTGGTATTATCTTTCAACTTGACTGTATGCTCACTAGGCCTCCATTTCCTCGGCACGATTTCGCTAGGAATGCAATATGCCAAGGGAACTGTGGCAAAGCCAAAGCCAATTAAGGTTTGGGCAACAATAAGCCGGTAGATGCTTTGGGATCCGGGAGCAATTGATGCGCCAATGAAGGAAATTATAGCAGGGCCGACAAGGAGCGCCTTTCGAGCCTGAAATGTGTCGGACGCGGAGGAGATAAGGGGCGCAAGGACGGCTTGCACGAGGGAAAGTGAATTAGGCACCCATGTACCAACGACCGTGTTGTTGAGATCTTTCTCGATGTAAGAAAGCTAAAGAGTGTAAGAGTCAGTCTAGCGGCTGGGTAGGGTAAGCTTCCAACGTACTCCCGCTGGCGGCCCTAGAAGTCCAAAAACCTGGACTAGATTCAAAAGAAACATTGCGGCTAGAGCGACATACGTCCGCGCATGGAGCTCAGGTTCCTCATCAGTATCGTATTCAATGTTCGCTTCAACAGAATCGGCGGTGTTTTCCAAATGTTCGATCCTCTGGGGAGACTTTTCGTCGCCTGGTAGACTGAAATCCCCAGAGTTGACTGTGGAAGCCATTATAAGGTACTGGCTCGAATGGCACGGTAAATTGAGTGGGCTATTATGTCTGAAATTAGATAATTGGGCTTGATGAGGAAGAGTCATCCCTTTATAGTTCTCTCTCGATCGCCCAGGTTTTTGGCAGCTATCAGGAGCTTCCCCGGGCCTTCCCCGCAAATTGTACGTCCCACACTTTCCCCGCATATAAAATTAGACCTTTTGGCATACACTGATTCATTCCCATCCTAGATGAGTCTACGATGAATTTCCTTATGGTAGTGATCTGGCTGTGCTTTTTTAGGATTACATCCTATCTCGATCGATAGCGCTACCGCGTCCCACAGTCTAAATTTAATTCGTATCCGAGCTCAGGCACAACTGATGGTTAGGTCTTTCGATGTAGATTTTCAGCGGTCCCGCTATTCCTACCCTCCTCAGCGTATGCAAAGTATGTCAGGCCATGCAGAAAGTTTCACTTTGGCAAAACCTGTCATCAGTTCTAATAAATATGAAAAATTGTATTATAGCCAATGGGTTCTACTCTTTACTTGTTGCCAATTCAGTCCTCGTCCGGTAGATAACTGTAAGTCGCCTTGTAAAAAGCGCCGGTTACGTTCCTTTTTCTCAAATAAGAAGTTCCAGTACCATACATTCTCATGTTTCTAGCATGATGTCCCGCATCATATTTTGGCCCACGGCGTAGTGGCGAGTATGGTACCGAATCCATGTAAGGATCAACAACAAGCAGGCTGAGTATGAGAGATTAGATCTGTCCAGTGATATGATACGAGATAAATGAAATAGCCCTTACGCCTTCACTATTTCAACTAAGATGCGGACATTTAAGTGATCCGCTGTCTCGTCCTCTCCCCTATCCTTCCCCGCACACCCGGACGCCTCTCTCCAGAGGCACCACAAACCAGTGTGCGGGACCTATGACTGTAGTACATAATTAGTTGGAATGGAATAATTTGTCTCACGACCCTCACCCCATAGAGGATCAGGTTTAAGAATCACGACCTAGGAACCTCTATAGTCCGAATCGAGGTGCGGTTCGTCAGGCTGACCCACGCTCCATGGCGAGGCTAGATTATTTAGGATAGGTTAGCTAAAAAATTCTAGTTCAACTAGGATACATGTATCACTACGATAGCAACCAAATTCGGCCTCACTAAGCGCACTAGGTTCACCGTAAACAATATAGAAGAATTGAAGCCGTACGAAGGTTAAGCTTCTCTAGAAGGAATTCACCTATACCAATAGAAGGCTAGGTCTATCAACTACCCAACTGCGATGACTAGGATCCTGGTGAAAAGGGCCCTGAAAATGGCCTCCAAGATAGCCCTTTTTGATGCCCGATTTACCATCGCCTAGCGTTGTGGTGTACTTAGTTGGCATTGTAAATAAATATTACTGTGTTGAATGGCCAATATCTATGCTGATGATACCATTGGGTTGAATAATAGCTAGCTCATTCATTCATTTGCCACCTCTAAAAGTCCCGCGCGTATATCCCGAACCCAGACACCTCCGAAAAAAGAAAAAGTGAGATATCAAGTCGAGGCCGTTATACTTTTTTTTAGGAAAACGTTGATTCATATGGAGCTTCCCGGAAAAAACCAGTGCGATAGCATCACATATTCGTACTCATGCGGTGCACAATAGGAACAGCACTGGGCGGCAAGCTGCCCATCTCCGTGACGACCATGTCGACGTACTCTGCCGGAGTGACGTCGTACATGATATTCAGCAGCTGAAGATTGGGAGTGTCCTTCCACTTGGTGAGAGGCGAGTCGGAGGAGGCAGCAGGGGTATCAGAGGATGGATTGGGAGGCGCACGATTGGCGCCCTTCTTGTTGGAGTCGGACTGGGCAGTAGCGGCAGCAGCAGCCGGGTCTGGGAGGTCGGTGACCTGTTGCGGGGGCGAAGGAGAGACGAGCTCGTCGGCGTCGGCAATCTCGTTGACGACGATGCTGTCTAGAGCGACGCGGTCTGTGAACTTGACCGTCTCGCAGCAAACGATCACAGGAACCTCAACGCCACCGGCACGCTCCTTAGCGGACATGGCGACCAGCGCAGTGCCGACGCGAGAATACAGCCGGCCGTTACTGGTCATAGCATGCGCGCCCAGGAAGACCTTGGTCGCATCTTTGATCGCGTGGCTGACGGCGTGGACGAGCGAGTACTGCACGTCCAATCCGGCATTGGCCAGTGCACGGGCCATATTCTTGCCTTCGAACAACGGCCGCGAGTCGATGATCGATACCCGGAACCGCTTGCCTTGCCTGTGTGCCTCCAGAAGTGTCTCCTTAACGATCGAGCTACCTGCAAAGGTCACAATCACGTCGCCATCTGAGATCTTTTGGGCTGCGCTGTCGGCAATAACCTTGTCGGCGATGGTAATTTTCTCACGGATGAAGCTGTCAATAAAGTCGCACAGCGTCGCCTTGGCACTTATCTCCGGTGTGGACGGGTCAATGGAGGCAATGGTTAGCTTCAGCGCCCGAATGGCGTTGCCCTGGCTGATCGAGAGCGGGCGGCATGTCGAGAGATAGGTGATCTGATGCGAGAGGTGGGCCGTCAAATGGCGCGACAGAGAGGTACCCAGAGGAGTTGTATAGGATTCAACCACCTGCCGGTAGCTTGTCAGTAGACATACAAACAATAATGAATTAGGAATAAACTCACCCGTTTGAAAGCAAGCAGCGTGGCCACACACCGCGCACTGCTCCCACACACTACATAGTCTCGCATCTGGAGCCCGAGGGCCAGGACTGCAGGGTGTACCTCCTTGCCAGCTCCGGCGATAGTCGTTCTTCGCTGCTGGCCATACAAATGCCCAAAGACCGCAACGCTCTTATCCTCTTTCTTCTTTTTCTGCTGCTCCGCCGGGCCAGTGTGCGCAACCGCCCCAGAACCCCTCCGTGGCGGGGGAGCCCTCTGGCCCTTCTGCGACCCTCCAGGGGCACCGTCCTTCTTAGGTGTAGCCGAGGGACGAGCCTGGCTCCCGCCAGCGCCGGCAGCTGGTGCTCCGCCCACAGCAGGCGCTGGCCCTTCCCGTTCGATCCTCTCCTTCGCGCGTCGGGCCGCCTTTTCGGCCTTGGCCTTTTTCTTCAGCTCAGCGGGCGTGAGCGACTTGTCTCCCGCACCGTCGCCGCCTGCCGCAGGACCGGACGCAGTGGAATCTTTTCCCTTGGGTGGAGCTGTGACTGAATTCGTTGCCTTTGCGTCTTTTGAATCGCGGATGGGGAGGGTTTGCGTCTGCTGAAGGTTTTCGGCGGTGGATTGCTGGACCGGGCCCGGCGCGGAAGACGAGGACGCGGAGGGCATCGTCGGCGCTGGGTGCACAGATTCCGCCATTGTCGAAGCACTGGCGATGTGTTTGTCGGGCCGATTGATGTGCGTGGTGGGGAAGAAAGAGGCCGGCCGTGACTCAAGGGAAAAATGACATGATGCCTAAGCAGCCCACCGCGCAACCCTAACTAACCGCTTCATATTGTTAATTTCTACATGTCGTCGGATTACCGCCAGTTATAAGAGCAATGGCCTCCAAGAGACAAGAAACATGTATCGCATCAAGTTTCATTATTCGTCACAGGTTATCCGCTACTTCTTTAAACAAAAAAGACTATCCAGGCGAATGCCAAGTTCAATCCATCCAAGACGGACTGGCAGTCTCACGATTCCACTTTGAACAAAAAGAAAGAAAGAAGGAAGACTTTGTCCCAAAACGCCAGATCCCTGTACACCTGTACACCCGGTCATCAAAGTACCTAGCGGTTGTTGGCCATAATTGCTCCCAGTGCGCGACGTCGCCTCAGAGTTCCCGATCTCTCAACAGGACGGAATCGCTCGTGGTCCGATGCAAGCTTTCGCTTGAAAACGCTGAGGTCACCCAAGAGATCGGCCATGCGGTCCTGCATTTGCTGTGCTTCGCGCTCGCTAACATCGTCCATTGTGAAGCTATCCTCGTCCTCCCACACCTGCGGTTCGGGGTCTGCATCCAAGGGAGGAGAACCTTCGCGGTTCTCTTGGTCGTGGCTCGGGGGCTGGTCTGCATCCGCCAAGGTCGCGAGGCTGGGCTGTTGCTCATCCACGGTGACAGGAGGAATGGGGTTCTTCAAGCTCTCTAGGGCGAGCTTCAAGTGCATGCGCAAGGCTTCATTCTCGGTCTGAAGCTGCCGGATCTTGCACTCGCCGACCATCTTCGTTTCTTCCATGAGGCGCTGCATCTTCTCGACTTTCTGCTGATACTCCTCCAGTCGTTCATCCTGGGCCTCAGTGGCGCGCTGGTTTGCTGTTGCCTGGCTCACGCTGAGCTGGAGCGTGCGAATGGTCTCCGCCATTTCCGCAATCTGCGCGTCGCGTTCTGCCGCCGACACATGATCCTGGTTCACCCGGGCCCGAGTTCGGATACGCTTCGCCTGGTCCGCATAGCGCAACGTGGATAAGGTCTCTTCGTAGTCTGCAGGCGCGATACACGCAATCATTGCCGTCTTAGAATTCCCGCCCAGACTGTCCTTGAGCAGCCAGGTGAGAATGGAGTCGCGATATGGCACTAGGTCCTTTCCTTTCCGGACTCCACGGGCCTTCTTGGGTTCTGCCAATGCGGCAATGACTCGTCCCAAAGTAGTGAGTGATTTGTTGATATTCGCTCCCTCGCGCAGTCGTTGGCCCGTTGCTTCGGTTGACTTGGCACGCTCAGAGCCCGCCAGATCTACCAGCCGAATGCGCGCAGTGCGCTCCGTGGTTTCGTCGGTAGAGAGGTCGTGGTGGATCTGTTTCAATGTGATGGTAAAGACCGCGTGCGACCGAGAAGAGGTGTCATTCATCTTCGTGCTCGCCGTCGTCCGAGACATGTCACCCTTCCGCATGAATTTCATTAGCTCGGTATAGTTCCTTGCTGTCACCTCCGTCAGATCTTTGACATATGGGCCTTCCGATGGAGACTCGCGGATGCGAAGGTAGTGCGGGGGATCTGTTCGAGGCACTAAGAGGTCGCGAACGTGCTCGTTGTAGACTTCAAAGTAAGAGACCCGGACATTGTAGCTGATGTCGGGAGAGGGCGAATTCTCGATGCGCTGGAAAAGGTCCTCGCAGGTCCGAGGGATCAACCCTGGCTGGTCTGGGGAGCCCATCATCGTGTAACTCTTGCCCGATCCGGTCTGCCCGTACGCAAAGATGCATGTGTGGTATCCCTCGAAGTTGTGGTCCAGGAACTCCTCGCCGAGAGAGTTGTACACGTCCTCTTGCTGTGCATAATGCTCATCCTCCTCGTTGTGGGACCAGAAGGAATTGTCAAATGTAAATGATTTGTCCTCCAGAACCTTGCCTCGAGCCTGCGACTTGGGCTTTCCTTGGTCTCCTGGGCTGGGTTTGGGTGCTAGGAGTTTGGTCATTTGCGTGTTGGGGTCCATCTCGATAAGGCATTCGGCTCCGCGTTGGGTCTCTGAGGCGACCATGAATTAGCCCTTCCTTTGTTCTCTAGAGCTGGGCCACTTACCTCGAGGGAGGAATTTGCGCACGCGCACCACGACGCGCACATTTCCTGCTGGCGTCGGACTGGCGATTCCATCTTGACGGCCGACCGATACGCTCTCCCTTGCTCGCAGGGAAGGACTGGATGCGGTGGACCTGAGGGTGGCGGCGGAGGCGGTCGTCGAGACAACACTCGGCGCAGTGATTCCCGTGACGGCAGACGAGTCGGAGGAGGAGGAGGCTGAAGAGATCGAACCAGGCCCGGAGGGCTGGCCGAGGTGGTGGTAGAAGCGCGGATCCAGCGCCATGTCCCTGCTGTGGTCGCTCAGTAACTGTACACAGAGCGCAACGGCCTCACGGCGACGGTAGAGAAGATGATGGTACATGCAATGAATAATACAAAAGAAATCAGGGGAGAGAAAAGAGTGCGTGTGTTGGGGAAGAAGAAGGGAAGGAGAGAGAAAGGAAGGGAGATACTTACGGGTGTGGTTTCCTCAGAAGCACGAGGGCATCGCCATCAACAAACAATCGGAGTGAAGTAGCGCGGCGTAGCGAAACAGGTCAAATCAGAAATGAACGATACTAACGGCAGAATCAGAATTGTGATCGGAGTTGTCGTAGTACAAGAAGTTGTGGTTTTGCCCCATTGGGGCTGACCGTGTCGCGGTGTTGCCATGGCAATGGCACTAGCACATATACCACCGCTGCACACACAGCTAGTGACGGTGTTGCTGTTTGAACAATTATATCTATACCGACTAGCTGGATCTTCGATCGTATTCAATACGATATTACTCTCACATCCTGAAGCATTCAAAGGGCTTTTGTCTGAATTGCAGGATATGGCTCTGGAGTTCTCGTCGCCTTGAACGGTATGACGGAGTTGACTATACACAGTACGATCCTATGGAAAATGATCACATCACCGTGTCAGGATAAAAGCCCGATGATGACTGTCAAAGCAGATGCAGATTTCCATGTGGCATGTACGACAACCTCAAGTTCAATTTTCCACTGCCGACTATCATACAATGTAGCCAACTAATCAAACTCCGCAGTCATCGCCTCGAACAGATCCGCATCCTCGTCCGTCACCTTGTTTTTCTTTGCCTTGGATCCGTTGCCAAAGGACACCGGGTCAGGCACCGGGTCGCCCGAGGAGTTCATGTGAGTACTCAGCAGCTGTTCAGGGCCCCAAGTGGTGCTGCTCTCGGATTTCTGCTGGCCGGTCTGGGTCTGGGCCTGCGAGCGTGCGGCCGATTTCTGGTCCTGGGTGACGTTACGCAGGCGACGCTTCTGCTCGTCGGCTTCCGGGAAGCGCAGCGAGGTGTCAGTTTTTGAGGAAGGCATTCTGGATGGAATCCTATTCATTACAAAATGAGAACTGAGAGTTAGTATGACTTTATCGTAAGTAGGGCTTTGGATGGACGACTATCCATCCACACTCTCCTCTCTCTCGCCTCTCCTCTGGTTCTCTCTGTCTTTCCACTTCCAGCACGGGGTTGAAGATGAGAATGAGGGTGAGGATGAAGAGGGGAGGACATACCAAATATATTCAAGTGTGCGATCTGTTATCAGTAGAAAGTTAGGGAATATTGAACAAGCGAATTGTTCTACATTTATGATTGTCGGACCGTGGGTGGCCAAATGATACGGGTATGACGACGACATTCACCATCGCCATGGGTACTTCTCCGTGCTCGCCATTAGGGTACGTTGATCGGTGCCACTGCTTCTATTTTCTTCTCTTTGGGCTAGATTCGGTTGGTCGGCCACGGGTAAGGTGCCCAGGGTGGGCAGTATGATGATACATGAATACCCGAAGCGGACCTCGCGAGGCTGATGTTTGGCCACAACCATTCGCGTGACCTCTATGACCTCTATCCCTACTTGAAGAATAATGCGTCTCGGGGCACTCTGTCAGTCCATCCGGTGGTAATGGCTCGCCGGGATTATTCTAGACCAGGGAAATTGTGCTAGGATCTGACGAAAAGGAAAATAAATATCTGAAGAGATTCAGCATACGTCAACATAGTACCAAAAGAGATGTAAAACAATAGAAACAATGACAAGAATATCGAATCGAGTCCCAAGTGAGAGTGGATTATGCATCACCGTATGGTTGGCCACTGTTTATCCGCCTTGCCGTGCTTATTTCAGCCCTATCTATGGACTCACTCCACTTGCAGATTGCGTGATGGGTTGAACAGGCTAAACGGGACTTGGGCAGCACAATTGAGCGGGTGTGATTATTCCGCGGTAAACAAGACGGGTAAGGCATAGATCGGGAAGATTTTGAGGGAAAGCAGTTCCTGTTCTGGGTATAGCGTGGGGTGATTGCCGAGCCGGGTGCAGATTTGTCTCGCCGATAAGAAAAAAAACTAGAGCGGGTGTCGGCCAGGGCCGCACCTTGCCAATTCTCACTTCCTCCTTCCTTGTCTACCTCTCGCTCACTCTCCCTTGCGGCTCACATTTTTCGCTGTGCCCACGTGCTTGGCAATCATGGATAAGCCGGCAGAGTCTTTACAGGCAGAGCCCGATCTCGAGGCCAGTCCTTCGCCCGACTTGCTGGCTAAGAATCACCAGTCGACGGTGACGCTGCGGTGGAAGGAGAACCTGGACACCGCCCATACCGACCTGGTGTGTCTGCTGCTCTGTTTCCTGACGGGCCTGTGCGATAGCAGCGCCTACAATGCGTGGTCCTGTTTCCTGGGAATGCAGACCGGTATGCTTCGACGATGAGTCAGATCCTTGTCTTGAGGCTCAACACTAACATTCCCTGTTTGGCAGGAAACACCATTTTCCTCGGCCTGGGTGCATCCAATCAGCCCGTGAGCAAGCCATGGGGGTGGCTCAAGTCCCTGGTGTCGATTGTGTTCTTCTTTGCAGGGGCGATGATCTTCTCAACCGTGATGCGGAAGATCGGCGCCCTCCGACGCGGCACGCTATTCGTCTCCTTCCAAATCCAAACGATCCTAATTATCATCGCGGTCGCCCTGATCGAGGCAGACCTCATCCCACACACATCCGCCGATGCGAGCCTTGACGGCGGCCCGCTGTTCCTTGAACTGATCCCCATCGCCCTGCTCGCCTTCCAGTCCGCCGGATCTATGACCTGCAGCCGATCGCTGGGCTACAACGAAATCCCTACCGTCGTCCTGACCAGCGTCTACTTTGATATTGCCTCGGATCCTGCGATCACCGATAAACCTACGGCAAATGTCAAGCGTAATCGCCGTATCGGCGGTGTTGTGTCGCTGCTCATCGGCGCCATTGTTGGCGGCTGGTTGAGCAAGAGCAGCGGTGGGATGGAGTCGGCATTGTGGATGGCTGCCGGACTCAAGTTCGTCGCTGGCTGTGGCTGGCTGTTCTGGAAGGCAGCGGCACCAAAATAGAGAAAGAGGGAGAGAAATACCAAGAGGAAGACGGAGAGAGACCGAGATAGACTTAAACGGTGAGAGTACATACATACACCTAGACTCGATGTATATAGACAGAGACTTGTGAATAGATACACTTTAATACTATACAGCATATGCAATATCCCAGTCTGTTAGAGTCCTGCATTATGTCTTCTTATCGATGACTTCCAACCCAGCTATTGCTGCTGCATGAGCGGTGCAGAAAATAATTGGATTCGCGCCATGGTGCACGGTTAGGGTTGTCACGATACTTATGCTCGACTGCCCACCCAATTTTTCTGCTTCCCCAAGTTTCTCGTTCAGGAGCTCACCTAAATAATCTAAACTCGCACTCTGGCCCAGAAAGGCTACAGCAACAGCGTAGATCCTATTGCGATTTCGACCGACGGCCATCTCCGATGCCTGTTAAAGGTTGTTGTAAGCCAAAAGATCGGATTGAACTAGGAAAGGTTGAAACGGCAGTCAATCCCGAAGCGCAATTGTGAGCAGTGTAGGGCTGCGTGTAGGTATATATTTCCGCCGTAGCTCCTGTCACAATCCTGGGAGAAGGGGAAATAGACGTAGAGATAGACATCTGCCTATTTTTTATAAATCAAACATGTAGGATATTATCGACTTCCCCTTCCACCGTCAGCACCAATGTATCCAACGAGCCTGACTCTGCGAGAGGAAGCAATTCATTTGTTCGTTGGCATCCTGGCTGCATCGGCTCTCCGTTCATTCTCTTCTCTAACCAGGCAATGGGCTCTAGGAATCCGTCCAGTTGTAGGAGGATGTGCTCATGTGTCAAAACGTCCTTATAATTTACTGTTGCTCCGGAAGCACAGTACTTGGACACAATAGTCTCCGTGCCACTAGATGGGCTGACTTCATCCAGATAACCCTTGTAAGCGAATATAGGCATAGACGGGGTCCGCGACCCCAGGTTGTTGTCCTTGAACGCCTGCTGGAACTGAGGATATCCTAGGATGTTTCTGTCCTTGAAATACGAGAAGCAGTCCTCAAAGGCGTATTCTAGCAGGTTGGCAATGAAACAGTTGTGGTTTGCGTCCTCAAACTTCGCCCTCTTCGTGGCATCATCCACCAACTGCTCTTGGATTAATGTTGCGATGTTGGGATACTCGTTCGCAATACCATGAAACCCACCGAAATTTAGTCCGACAAAGGGCCCGTTGTTAACGGTATATGTCACTGTCTCGATATCCCCGATCACGCCGCCTAACACAGCTCCAACAATCATGTCTAGGTCGGGTGCGTAGGATTGTTGCAACTCCGCGGCAAATCCAGTCGCAAGGCTCCCGCCGGAATACCCCCACATGGAAACGGAGGCATAAGGGGAGATCCCTGTGAAGTCGGTAGTGTTAAGGACAGCCCTAATGCCGTCTAAAACCGCATGCCCTGCTCGCCGATTGGCCAGGAATGCAGCGTGAGGACCTTCGAAGTCCGGCAGCGATACGATCCAGCCTTTCTTTAGGGCCGCCTCGAAGAGGATTGTGTGGGTTTGATAACCCAGCGCGGATAGAATGTCGCTGCTTGTCGTGCCGATTTGAAGGACGTGGGACGGAGCACAGTTGGAGAACGCCGAATCCTCCGGGATCTGGTAGGAGAGGAGCTTGGAGGGGTCGGCATTTTCTGGTACGAGGACTGTGGTGATGGTCGCTGTAGGATTGCCGAAGTTGTCGCTAGACCGGTACAATACCTGGTATGAACCCGCTAAGTTGAGCACGACTGGTTCTATTGCGGCGATAGGATGGGGAACCTTTCTGTGTCGTAGGATAGTTCCTGGTGCTGTGTCTTCGTACCCTTGAGGAGGGACATAGAAGGGGTCCGCTATAGGAGGAATGACGGAGGCCCTATTACCCAGGGCGCTTGGGTATCCAATGCATGATCCGAAGAGAGAAGAGAGTAATAAGACGGAGCGTAGTCCAATCATGTTCTTCATGTTTGGATCCGAAACCCTGAAGTCCTAAGAAAAAGACGAAATAGGAAAGGCGAGAGAGCGCAAATATGTACATAGTATACAGCACGAAGTACACATCGGATGAAAGAAGAATGTTAGATCTTCTATGCAACGAAATGTTGTTACTGATACTTTGCCTTCCGTGGAATGTGGGGATTTGGCGGTTCATCCTATAGACATGTGTATCACCGTTGCGACGAATAGTTTAGACCGGGCTAAAAAGGTTAAAGAATACAAACAATTTGATGCTAGTTTATCATCTGTGATACTCATCTCTAGTAAGCCAACCTACGTGTGCCCATGTTGGACCACGCTGCTCAACACATCCCATTTCATCAAACCCTCACTTCTGATCAATTTACCAACTTCCATGATAGCTCAATTGCGCATCGCACTTGAAGGCCTATACTGCGTCTTTCGGTCGCGGAATTCTAAAGTCACCGAGTTGGCAGGAAAATTTAACACGCCCGATCATCGGCTTCGTGGTGGGAATCCAGGGATGTTATGTTTCTACCTTTTTGGCCGTTCGATATCACGTGGGATTTACAGCTAGTTAGTATGTGGTCTGAGAACCTGGACGTGTCGAATAGTTAGTTAAAGGGAGTCTCTAGTAGATACTAGAGGGTGCGGGATAGCCTACGTTAAAAATAATCTCAGAGAAAGATAGCCACCACCTCAACGTACACGCAGGCATAACTACGATGAGACTCAAAATGCACAGCCTCCTTGTGTCCTTCATATAATCTACGAGTCGCTATCATGTCTGCTAGCACTGTTTCCACGGCGCATTCCCATTCATTAACCACAAGCTTGAGCAGCTCGACAGCCTTGCGAATCTGGCCAAGGGCCTGATATACCCCGGCGAGCGCATGCCGGGACACCACTCGAGAGAGGCGCTCTTCAGCCAACGTCCTCCCTTCCGCTTTGACTACATACTATGCTTGCCGCCATAGTCGCCGGATTTCAGCCCTATCGAGGAATCCTTTGCCGAATTGAACACTTATAATAAGAAGGCTTGGCCGGCGTATGAAGAGTCTCCCGACTAGAGTTTTCATATCTTCCTTCGGGGTATGTTCACGATGTTGGTACGAAACAGCAGAGCGCTAAGGGTCATGTTTGCATGCAGGTATAACAATCGAGAAGGTATGAGCAGCTATCATACTAGAAAGCGGTGTATGCAAATAGCAGTGCAGGCCTGACCGCTTGGCATACCCCTCTCATGATCTAATATTGCGCTTTGCCCGTCGCGGCCAAAACCTAAGTGGTTCCCAGCAGAACGGTTCAACCCCACAGGCCTCGCTAGCCATGGGCCAAGGATTGCTAGGATTACCACGCATTGACGACTTTCCTCCCGACCATATTCCTTTCCTCAACATAGCCCTCTCTAGCAGATAGCACATACTTTCCTGACCAGAGCGAGTGGGGTTGAGATCCCATAGCGCAGAATTTCCGCCCCGCGCTCGTATAAGTGTGCCTGAGGCTGCCTGCCTACTTCAGACCACACGCCATCAGCTCCGTCCGGTCCGCAAAAATTTACGTGTTGTCTTCAAGCCCGTTTCAACTTCGGGCCACTCTTTTCTCGCCACCTCACTATACTCGCTTTCCCTGATGGTCAACATTCATGGCTATCCCGTCGACGAGCTATTGGTCGATGTGGTAATAAAAGAATCGCCGGGGCAAGAGATGTGCGGTCTGCTAATGACAAATCCTAGGATCCGGCTTTCTGTGAGAATGATAGTGCCTATGGTGGCGATGATTGGCAATCGTAGGTCGCTCGCACTAGATGTTGATCTGTGACTCAATGTTAGGTCCAGGGAAACCACTTCGATCAAGTCTTCAATTTATAGAGGTATGATGGATAATGGCAGACGGTAAGGACAGGATTGGATCCAGTGGCAAGAATCGGTCTCTGATGGACATATTTTCCGGGGCATGAAGATATCAAAGTCTCCGGGATAAAGAATACTGGTAAGCAGGAAAGCTAGGCCAGGCGAAAATGGACAATTGGACTCATTCTCTGGCACAGCATTCCCTCCGATGAACAACAATTTGAGACCTACGAAGCAGGGTATTTATCGCCGTGCTCCATAGTACCCTGACATTCCTTCTAAAAAGTCCCTAGGCATCTTGTGGACCTCGTCTTAGACTCAGACCAAGACAACCCGCTTTTCCGGGCGCCGATTGGGCACGACCGAGAGGAAACTTTGCACATTTTGGACATCGGGACCGGAATGGGTACCTGGGCTATGTACATGACATAAGAACCGCCCCAGAGATCCGGATGCTAATATTTCCCTCTAGTGATGTCGCCGATATGCTTCCGAACAGTGAGATTTGCTCTTATACGCGACTCCTCAGAAGCCATGTCACTCACCAGCTGTAGGTATTGTTCGCGGAGTTGATCTTTATCCACCACCTGTTGGCTTGATGCCGCCGAATTGCACTATCGAGGTCGATGATGTACTGCAAGAGTGGACATGGCGCGAACCGTTCGATCTGATTCGAATGCGTAACATGATCGGATCTTTTGATCAAAACGAATGGGCCCGTGTTTACCAACAATGCTACAAGTGAGTTTCTTTGTGCTGTTTCTAAGGTTTTTTACTAGTAGCACCCCTTTTGACAAATCTCCAATAGCCAATTGCGACCAGGCGGGTGGATTGAGCAGTTAGAATGTGGTCCTTTCATTGAAAGCGACGACGGCAGCCTACCTCCTGACAGCGCCTTGGCTAACTGGGGCCCGTACATGGAAGATTGTGGCGCACGTGCTGGCCGCCCCTGTGATCTGATCCATACCATGTCCTCAAGTATTCGGGACGTGGGCTTCGTGGATATGCACGAGCAGGTGTACAAATGGCCTATTGGCCCATGGCCCAAACACCAAAAGTACAAAGAGGCGGGTAGACTCAACTACGAACACTGGATGTCAGGCATGGAGGGTTGGTGCATGTGGTTGCTCACGAAATTCGGTGCTCCTAAGCCATGGTCTAAAGAAGAAGTCTACGTATATTGCGCTAAACTGCGGAGTGAGATTAAAAACCCCAACTACCACGTATATCATACGGCGTAAGTCCTTATGTTTGGGCCTTTTTTTTTTTTTTTTTTTTTTTTTTTTTTGCCGGGAGACTGACTTTCTTCACAGGCGAAGAGTATGGGCGCGGAAACCGCTGGCTGGTGAGGTCCCGCAAGAATCGACTGAACCCAGCTCGGTATCTAAAAACAGTGGGTGACTGCGGGTGGGTGCCACTTCAAATGATTCACGTGCAAACTCGTGTTGGCCCTTGATCCATGTATATACACCATATCCATTCCAGCTCCCGCTCTTTGCGAATAGAAGCCTCTTGTGTTGAAAACTTGCTGTCGACGTCCACGATACGGGTCACCCGATTCGTCTACTTGATACATCCAGCACTAGGGCCATTATTAGTAGACTTGTTTCTTCACAAATAGTGGTAGATTTAGTTTACAGAATTCGAATCCTAAATGACGGCGATATTACGGGATGCGGTGTTGCGTATATCTTCTCTGTCATTTTTGTTCAAAGCGCTGAGATAATACCTATGCTAGCCCTTGATTTTTTATTTTTTGAAAATTTAGTAACTAAATTCAATTTGTTGACTATAACCCTCAGCCGTAATTCAGGTCTATTTTGAGAGAATGTCAAGCTTGCGTTTACTTCTCTGCGACACACTGCTATTCCCCTCAATTGTCTCCGTAGCTTTCTTCATATCCAGGAAAGCCCCACAGTTGACAAAATCCACATTGCGTAACTACTATGAGGCTCAAAATGCACAGCCTCGTTGTGTACCTCATATAATAACCTCAGTTCTCACCTGTACAACTCACACAGCCACTAAAAATGACCACCAACATCCCTGAGATCATTTTGCTCTGCCAGGACGCAGACTTCATCGCGGCATTCAAAACAGCGCAGCAGGAGCACTGGCCCGACCTACCAACCAAACTCAAGGTCACCCCAATCCACTCGCGGCTCAACCGCCTCGACCCCTCAGTGACTTTCGACCTAGTCGTCTCGCCTGCCAACTCCTACGGCCGTCTAGATGGAGCCTTTGACGACGCCATCTCGCGAGCCTTCAGCCCGCGCGATGACTACAATGCCCTGACACGCGCAGTGCAGCTTGTTCTGTACGAGAACTGGCGCGGCTTCGCGCCGCCAGGCACATGCACACTTGTGCAGTTTCCTGCGTCTTTGAAGCAGAATTCTCGAAACTGTACCTGGGTGGCTATCTGTCCCACTATGCGGGAACCGACGAATGTCTCCTGGGACCGGGAGGTTGTCTATGAGTGTGTCTGGAGTCTGTTCTGTCAGGTCGAACGCTATAATCGGACCTCAGATCAGAAAATCAATAGTCTGTTGATGACGCCCCTGGCTGCTGGTGTTGGGAGGGTCAGTAAGGAGCGCTGGGCGGCGCAGACAGTGCTTGCAATGAAACATTTTATTAATGCGGTTGAGCAGCCGGAGAGGTGGAGTCAGCTGGAATGGAATCAGATTTTCGACGACTGCAGTGAGGTTACGCTGACGTGGAAGACGAAGGAGCAGAAGAATTGAAGTAAAAGTGATTATATGGCAGATTGAAATGCATCGTAATTGCAGGCCACCACAGCTGGGGTATATCAAAGAAGAGGGGGATAAAAAACCCAAAATATATAAAAATACACAAGGTGTAAGACAAGACAATTCTACATCTAGTATAGCTCGAGAAAAAGATCCTCAAGTATCCTCCTCGATCAAACCAAGATCGCTCTCCTTCTCCAAGGTAGGCTTCTCTGCCTCATCCGCGTCTTTCCCGCGGCGCGCAGCACGTTTCGTTTCCTGCGTCGACACATATCGAATAAGACTCTCGCACAGGCGATCTAGAACCCACTCGGGCTCTGTCTGCTTCGCCAGCATGGGACTGTTCTCGCCGATCCAGTCCCAATTAAACACGCCGAACTCGTCTTCTTCCTCTTCGATGGGTCCGCCGTCTGCTCCAGGTATCTGTCGACTCCCCGCTGACGAGGAAGTAGGCGGCCGGATGCGCGGATCCGTGAACTGGATCAGCCGGGTGAACTCGACCCATTCCTCGTAGTTGTACCGTTTGCGCTCTCCGGCGACCGCATCTTGGGTTGTCCGCCGGATGGCAAAGGCGAGCTGCTGTGCTAACTCGAATGACGAAGGCTTGGCCTTGGCTAGCTCCTCGATGGTGCGGTGTGGGTGATTCGGGTCGTGATTAGGGCGGGCGCGACCATTGGACCGATTATTGCCTTGACGCTCTTGTGTCGAAGTGGGCCGATTTCCAATCTCGGCCTCCTCATCTTCGTCGGTGTCGGCGTCCGCGCCAAGCGGGAATCCGCGCTGCACGCGCTTTTTCTCTTCGTGCTTCTCCATGAACCCCAGGATACACGGAAAGTGCGCGAAAAAATTCTTGTATTGGCCCGACTGCGGAAGAACAAGCCAATCCCCAATCTTTTCAGTGCCATGCTTGAAGCTTGCTACAACCGTGTCGCTCATTTTGGAGATGAGCATAGTCATAGTCGGGATGGCGATGAGCGACCACATCACGAAAAACGGCCGCCCGGCATTCGATTTGGGCGTGATGTCACCGTATCCAATTGTCAGCAGGGAGCAGAAGCAGAAATAAAGTCCCTCAAAATAGGTCAGGTCGTCCTCCAAACACCAGAATACCAAGGCACCAATGGTCCACACGATGGCGAACACGATGATACTGACAAGCAGGTCGTTCCACCGGCGGAAACGCATGGTCTCGTACTGAATTGCGCGCATGGCGTCGAATCGATCCTTCTCCTCGCGCATGACCAAAAGCTTGGGGCGCCGGCCTGTTGCCAGTGCACTGATAGTGTCGCGGATGGGCACATCTTGGGTTTGATGAGACGTGCTATCCGACCCTCGGAGAAGTGCTGCCGGTAGGACATCTTTTAGATGGACATTGGGGTCCCGTTCTGCGGCTTCTATTACTGAAAAAGTAACTGAGCGCTCAAAGGTCGACTGCCGTTTCTGCTCGATGTGTTTCCGGACCACGTTGTCGTAGTGGACTTCACTGGCAAACCGGTGGATACTGCTGACGACCAAACCCAAAGTGATGACTCCAATCACCGCGTATGGCCAGACCAGACCTCTTCCAACCGCGGTCATGGCAACCACGTCGCCAAACCCAAGTGTCAAAACGGTAATATCGCAGAAATATAGAGCATCCGCAAATGATATTCCCAAGACGCGTTGGAAGATGGCAGCACCAATCAGCAGCCACAGTACGAGCGCAGTCATCTGCAGAATCAGGGTGCGCTGGTCGTCTGTGAGTGCGAAATGTTGTGGGTATCGGCCCAAGAAATATCCCAACATGTTGATCATCAGCATGATAGCCAGTATAAAGTAAAGACATGCGGCGATGACGGCGCTCCAATACGCCTGTGAGTAGACATCGTTCGGTCCAAGTGGTGGGGCATATATAGACACGGCGGTCGTAAGTCCGACCAACTGTGACAGACAAAAGCAGTTAGTGCGCTGTCATATAGGACATATCGGGGCCGTGCCTCAGGAACTTACAATTCCCGTTGCCAGAAACCATAGAACGATGGAGACCGGCAATGCGATAATATACCGAATAGACTGAGTGAAGTTGAAGAGAAGAAACACGTTGCCCACAACACCACAAACTACCGAAATGGCGTTCGATGCCGTGACCCTGATTGTTCCAAGTCAGTCCCGACATCCGATAATTGTAACAAGCACTCACCAGTGAGGATCCGGGTAGCCATGCTGGATCGCATTCCCTGCAGGCCCTTCCTTATAAGAGATCACCTCACTTCTCCAAGGCATAACTAGGGCGACGATGGACATGACATTCGCCAGCGGGCCGGCGGCGGCTGCCGCCAAAGGGATAGCAGTCGAGGCGATCCACCACGACTGAGGCTCATCGTCGTCTGGCGGCCTCATGTGGAAGCAACCCTGGAATCGGTCCCATAGCGACGGGCGCTCAGCCGCCGCGGAGGGCGTCTGTAACGCGACAGATCCATTCTGCATGGCTTCACTTGGCACGTCCAGGCATTCTAAGGAAGGCGTAGGGCTGAAGAAAAAGTTGGATATAAAAGTATAATAATGAAACTTGAGCAAGACCACAGGAGAAAAGAGATTTCAGGGTGACGGATAACAATGATAATCTCCCACAGACGCGCCTTGTGGAGTCACCCTGAACCAGAAGACTGAGTCCCCGTCTTCCTCGAGGTGCAGATCGCAATATCAGCCGGGAACAAGGCGAGTCTGGTGGGCGCTCTGAGGTATCCCAATAGATCGGGTTAGAGGATCTAGAGAGGCCAGATTTGTTCTCTTCACGCAAAAGAAACAACCTCACGGCTTGCACCAATGATGTCAGTTTAGTCGGTCAAAGCCCTTTTCCCCTTGGCCGATCCAACCTTTTCAGGTCACGTGGTTCACTAACCCCCACATGCGTCATCAGTCTCGGAGTGATGTATCTGCCGAGACAGACTTTCCAAGTCCTCGACATGGTTGATAGCACTAGCCGATGGGGGAGCTTCGAGCTCAGCCACGTGGATACCCCGTCAGAGAGGAGGGGGAATGAGTGGTCTGTGACGAGCGTGCAGAATCGACCAGTTAGTCCCATACTAGAGCATGTGAGCGATTGGCTACTGTCGGAGAATGCACCCTTTGGGGAGTGAGGCATGAGGGGAAAGGCTTGCAGTGTCCCCCAATCGAGCCAGCATCACACCCCCAGCGTGTCGGCAGCTCCGGTCACTCTACTCTCGTGGATTGGGGCGCGTAGGGTTCCAAGCATCATCCATTCTGCACCCCCACTAGGAAATGATAGGCGCGCCACCAGAATTGAGTGTCCAACCACTAACAAGGATTCACTAGCCGCCGGCCCCCCTTTTGGGAAGCCGGTCATCACCCATGCGGGTTTTCTGCATGCCATGCATGCATTGCCCGGGCAGATGTGGCGGGTGACATCAGCCGTTGCCGTCATTTTGTACCTGCTTCCGCGGGGCACAGGCGAAATCGACGTAGCTACTATGCAGAGCAGAGCACAGGCAACCGATCCAAGCGCCGGCGTTCACACATCACTTCCTACTTAGGGAGCAGGTGGCCATTAAGAAGTCGACGTGGAAATAATGAGATAGCAGAGAGAAAGTGAAAGATCAGTGTAAAGTAAATAACGGTTCTATCGAATGGCGCGGAGGTCGAGGGTGCTGCTATGTACAACGTGGTTCCTCCTCGGGCCGGGAGAAAAAGAAACAAGAAAAGCAAACAGGAAAAGATAAAAGACATCAAAGAAATCGCAGGATGGTATCACCAAGGCAGAACGACACGAACTGCAACGACACGAGAAAAAAGGACTTGACGACCCAGAAAAGATGCATCAAGAAAGGACGCCAGATGGGGAAAAAAGACGCCGCCCCAGAATAGAAACGAAATAAAAAGTAAAAGAGGCGCCGAAACCATGAACGAACTTTTGGGATCCTTCGCAAAGGATCAAACAAAGCAGAAAATGCAACGAGCAAACCCAGCCGAAGCCAAACCCAACGCGCTCCAACATGCAGTTCAACGAGTGTCAAAATGCTCCAGGGTGCAGATAAAAAAAGGGAATCTGTCTCTGTCGGTGTCACTCGTATGTCTTCTTCTTCTTACATGGCTGATGGACGGCGCAAGATGTCTTCGCAGTTAGCATCAAAGCGCATATTCCACAGTCGGATGCTGTTCATCAGCTTCTCCGTATTTTCGAGCTCACGATCGCGGCCGAAGATCGATTCGACGAATTCGCAGCCCGCGTTGCGGCCCATCGACACCGCCGCCCCCTTGCCACTTTCTCGCTTAGCGGCCTTCCACATGTAATGTTCACATGCCTTGAGAAGCTTCTTGAACCGCGCCCACAGCCGCTCGCCACTTTCGAGGAAGTCTTCGACCACTTCCTGGGCGTCCACACTCTGGATGCGCGGGAGACATTCGTCTGCTCGCTTGACCTTGCCCGCGAGCTTGATCAGCAACAGCCACAGCTCACCAGCGACGTCGGCCATTGGCGTTGCGGCGCCGTGGTGGAAAACGGTCCAGTCGTAGATCCATTTGCCGAGCGAGTTGGCGTCGAAAACACTACCCAGAAGCATGATCGGGGCCTCGGTAGGATCCCAGTTCTTAATCGAATAACCTGCCGGAATACCGGCTCGCGCAGCATCCGCATCCGTGGCATTGAGGGTTGGTTTCGAGGCGGGAGCCGGCTTGGGCTTGTTGGGGGTTCGGGTTGACGTGGATTGGCGCCGGGCGCGGGATCGTCGAGCTGATTCAATGTCCTCGTAGTTGGGAACCTGGTGGTAGGGAAAGTAAGAATCAGCGGCTGGTTTTTTAGATGTCGACGCGGTCCGACGAGGCTGGCTCGAGTTCGGCTGGGGACGGTCCGGGCGACAGGATTGAGGCTTGTAATAGGCGGAACACGGTGCATCGAATGCGTCGTCAACCACAGTCACGAAGATCTTGGGTTGTTTCTGCGCCGCGGATCCGTTGCCGAGGCCATCCCCCGCGAAACGGCCGGTGCCACCATTCATGGAGTATCGGTGGTATTTGGGCTGGGCCGCAAAGGAAGCACTTACATGATCGTGCTTGCGCGGCGGCATGCCATAGTCTGGCGTGGCGTCATAGAAGCCGTTTGGGTAGCCCGAATACCATCCTGATGTATCCTTGGTGGCCGAGTAGCTGGCCTTGCGGGTGTGTCGACGCGAGGTACCCCGGGGTGAAGAGTAGGTGTTGGCAAACTGAGAGGCGTAGTAGGCGTAGTGTGGCGAGGTTGGAGGCGACTGTGAGTAGTCGTAGGCAGACCACCCGGGCGGTGGACTGGAGTAATGATACATTATCGGACGAGCATAGGCAACGGCCGACGTGACAGCAAACGAACCGAAAACAAAAACAGAAAACAGACTATATTATACAGAGCACCCAGAGCAAATCGACGCCGGTTGCGAGCAGGTCAAACAGGGGGGGGTTGAGTAGGACCGTCACCGTGGTACGGTTTCTGATCGGAGAGAGGAGGGTTGACAGTGGACGTGCCGAGCGTGCATTTGAACGTTGTGTGGCGGGTCGACCGACAAAAGTGTTGTCAGACTGAAGGTACTTGGGTTGGATCCTTCCGTGATGGGATGGGATCCAGACGACTTCCTCGTAGTTGGCGAGGCGGTCGATTTCACGAAATCTCTCTTGATGTACCGGGACTAGCCAAAGCCCGGCAAAGACAAGTTGAGTAGAGTGGAGAGAGAGAGCGCGACAGAACAGAGAGGTGGACTTGGGAAAGAGGAGAAAGAAAGGGAGAAGAGGAAAAGGGAGGGAAAAGGTAAGAGAGATACCGGGGGCGTGCGAGTTGGGCTGTGGCGTTTAGTTTAGGGGCCACGGGGTAAATACGGTATTGCCGTATTATTCGTGAGCACTAGGACTGGGCACGTAGGACGGGAAGAGAGCACTACGATTCCCCGGAATAGCAGCAGTCAATAAGAAGCAGAAGCCTCGAAGATCGTCTTCCTTTGTCCTGTCGCTAAACCCTTAGTCCCGAACCCCCCTCCAACTAGTCTGTCTGCGAGCGTGCCCCTCATCGCTCGGAGAGGCGCATAGTTGCCTTCAGAGATGCTCAAATCGATACCTAAGAAGATACCCAAACAACCCAGAACAGAACACTCCAGCCTCGTTCCCAGCCCGGAGATCCCAGCCAGACCGGTATATCGAGATCGATTCCAGTAGACCATGTGCTGGACTTCCAGAACCGACCCAAGATGGCCAACGCATCTGCATGAACCCATGCACCAGCATCCTTCCGGAGCTACTGTCATAACCCACGGTCTTGCGATCGCGGACCCTCCCGTCTCATCCAGTGGTTCGGACTCCACTGACCCAGACTAACTGATCTAGCAACGTACGACAAAGAAATGACTGGATAGACCGATAGCAAGAAGAATTGAATCACACACTCGGTCGGGAAAGCATGCATGTCCTTTCCCGCTGGAACCCACTCGCTGGGCAGCAAACTCACCCTTTGGGCAAAAACGGTTGGAAATACTACTTACACAACACAGCCCATCACAGACCGCAACTTCCGCCTGCTCGCAAGAAGGATTATACGTTCGACCAACAGCCTGAGCATGATGGCATGGTGCTGGCAGAGTCCGAAACCACATCGCTGGCCCCTGTCCATCGGTGACTTGACTCGGCAAGCGATCCAACGGCTGGTGACATCGTCGTCGTTGTTTTTGTTATTGTTTGTTTCTATTCTATTTCAATGAACCCAGATCAATCCCACTGTAGCTGAAACAGGCGGCCCACCTCTCTCTCTATTTCTTGCTGTTACATAGATGTAAAACCAAAACAATAAAAAACACCAGCCACCTCCTCCACATTCATTTATGCTCACGCACCGCGGTTTCGAAGAAAGGGATAGGGGAGATCAACAGACCTAGAATTTCCCACATCCTTACCGCGGATTCCAGGGCTGTCCTTGATTTGTTTTTGTCTTTTTTTTTTTTTTTTTTTTTTTTTTCCCTGGCTCGGAGGCCTCCCTTGTTTTACTGCTGTGCGCCATATGTACTGTACAGAGCGTCCAGCTGTAGGTCAGCGCCGATCGCCCAGGGTCACACATGGCTTTTGGATTTACCGAGCAAGAAGGCAAAAAACAGACGCAGTGCATATATCCCGTGGCGCATTAATATGACCAAGATGACGCAGCTTAGGAATGTTCCGTACGAATTCTCTCCAGCCACCCTCTTTGTTGATCAGCTGAAATTTCAGCTACAACTCACCCAGCACCAGGCCGCCTAACCAAAGAGACTACGTACCCAAAAAAAAACTGGGCCGTGGTTCACGGGTCGGGCCAAGGAATCCGGGCATCCGCACCCGCTGCAAGGCTGCAGGGGATTACTTGGTTGTGCGTGTGCCTCTGTAGGAACAGAACCTTGACGGCGCACGGGCATGGCTTGCCCTCCTGTGTACTGTAGAATGCATCCTGGGGCGTAGAATTATTAATTCCTCCGGTCCCCTTGTGCTACTCGCCCGTAAGCTTACTGTGGTGCGCACTAGGGTGGGTGGCGTCCAACGGGAACATTTAGAGGCGCATATACCAAAGGAGTGGTTAGTTACCGACACCGTTGAATGAACCATAGAGCTCAACGCAGTGGCATCTCAGATTCCGCATCTCACAGGGCTATAGATGAGTCAGTTCGACACAGATCACTAACTAGCAATGTGGCAAGGCCAATCAAATGACCTGCCCGGTGAAACTCGATGGATCATTTAGTTAACTATCCCTTGCACAACCTGACTCAGATGACTGAATCAAAACAATCCTCAGGGGGTGCTTATCAGGGGCTTTTTCTCTTGAGAAAAATCAATTAATTATTACTTCCGAATTATTTGTGGATTGTGTATCGATAACATCATGCCCCGTGCACTTCGTTGCGCATTGATCACATATTGCCCAGCATTGTAGGGCTGCTTGCCCTAGTTAAATACCGAGCACGAATCTGGATGGTATCAGAGACGACTAATCGAGTCAATTCTGCTAGCGGGCCAAAAGTAAGATAAGTGAATATCCGAGTATATCCAGGCAGTCCAAACAGCAAAATAATATCAACAGGAATGCGCTGAAAGGAATCATGTTCGTAATAGTCCAAGCCTCAAAATCGCTGCTAATCATTAAACACCCATGAAATCCCTCCCGATAAATAAACCCTGGTATAATGCAGTAAAGAAGAGAAGAAAGAAAGAACAAATCATGCTACCATATATTCCCCGTCACCCCGTTTGGCCTGCATCGCGCGAGACCAGCGGAATGCCTGGGCGGTAGAGGGACCAGGCAATTGCGATGGATCGACATCAGCCGGGTAAACAGGGAACGAAGACTCATCCGAGTGCTCGGCCCAGATCTTCTCCAGCAATTCTAGACAGGAGAGATTGTTCACAAAGCCGGAATCTTTCGAGATATCCTTGCAGCGGTTGCGGATAGTTGCGCGGTGGTCCTCCTGAACGCACTCTGACCCGACAATGAACAATGGCCAAAGAAGGTAGACGTCCGACTGTACTGCACAGATGCAGTGCATGGCCAGCTGGACGATGTGCTGGATACGTGGATGCCGCGATGGGAGCGTCGGTTCCGCTAGTCGCTCACAGTAGAGGAGAGCCGCGTGGCGGAAGCATTCAGAGATTTGAAACACATCCTGGAGGTTCTCGGGCGCCACGGTAAATGGAGCAATTGGAGATGAGGGCGGGGAGAGGTAATTGGCGGTATTCCATGACATCGTCGAGGCGTTCAGTGGTGAAGAAGGGAACGAGGGTTCAGTCGGTGGGTCGAATCGCCAGGACTCAAGCCGCTGCCGGAGCGAGTACCATTCAGTCCAAAAGTCCGGAGAGGAGGGCCGTCTCATTAAGTCTGTATTCTGGGGCATTGGGAATGGCATCCCGAAGCTGGTATCCATTGCTGTCCCGGACGCGGGCACGACCTCCTCCCAGCCGGGATGAAGCATGTTTGGAGGCAGGGAAGTGGTGGCCACAGAAACATCCGCGGACGCAGGTACCTCGGACTGTTGGTCCTGACTGAGTATGTTCAAGCGTCCCAACTGGGAGATCAACTTGAACAGGCGACCGTCGCAGCCGGCCAAATTTTCAAGTCCCCATTCTCCATCAGTCCGAGAGCTGATATCGAGACAAGCGCCACGGAGCTGGACATCACGGTCATTGGTCGTTGCCGTCAGCGTGTCAAACCAGGAAAACATGCGGATGAACCATTTCATCTCTTCTGTGATTATGGGAGAGTGGCGCATCCGGATGGCCAGTAGTCTCGTGACACCGGCAAACTGCGTGCGGAACTCGGCTACGCCCGTATCGCAGCCATGAAAGAGACACAGGATTAGTAAAGTCGCCAGTACCGAGTCTGACAGCCTGCGCTGTGGATCCGCCAAGTCTGCGTTGAGGGCCTTCACGGCCCATCCCCGGTGGTGATTTTCTTCCCGGGCATACCCTTCCGGAACTGAGATGCCATACCGGTCTTGAAAAGCTTCGTCTGTAAGAGCGCGGTGGGCCAAAGAAGACATGCGCGCAGGTAGTGTTCTCTCTGTAGATGTGTGATTGCGCAATCGCCTCTGTCGCAGGTTGCTGGTGGCCAGCGTTGCAATTGCCTCCTGCAGAGCCTCGCTTTCTTGAGCCAAGCGAAGCACGTGAGTACGAAAAGGGTTCGTTGGAGTATCAAAGGCCACGATCATGGGAGCAATGACTTCGGAATAGTAGCTGATCAGGTAGCGGAGGCGAGGCGTTCGCCCTACAGAGCGTGCCAGGAGAAGTTGGGATAGTGACGGCTGGTGACCCGCGTTCCACATCATAGAGTGGTCCAGGTCTTTTATCTCCTCTTCGTCGTTCTCCTGTGAGGGTGGCGTAACGTTTTGGACAAGCCACGGATTGGCAACCTGCCAAGCCGGGGTGGCTGCAGCATATGTCGGGCTGGATCCAGGCGCATACTGAGTCGAGGTATCGACTACAAGAGTTGATGCTGACTGATTGGGGACCACTGGTCGATTTGGTGATGGAAGCCCTGAAATCTTCGGCGGCGCGGCTGATGCATTAGACCATGTATGCGGATCCGGCATGTCCATCGTCCAAGCCAGATTGTTCGACGTTTCCGATCCGTCCGGTGCCGTTTGTTGGGGAGGCGGTTCAGCACTCGCCATGGTCGGCACAGCTGCTGCCGGTGCGGGATGACTGGATGTGCTCGAGGTCGCAGACGGCTCTGGTATCGCCGCGCTCCCTGATGGTGCAATACCCGACTCCATCACCGGCAGTTTCTGGCCCCGCAGCTTCCCCCGACTGGCAACCCCGACCCCCCATGTCAACGTGGTTTTATATCCAGAACATTCGCGGCCAAGGTCGAGACACTGCGTGCAGTACGGTCGGCGTCGGTCGCATCGAGCGCCTCGTTTGGAGCAGGCGAAACAGTCGTCGGGAGCACCGCTGACAACGGTCCTCTTGCGTCTTTTTTCGGAGCCGCGCCGGACGTCGACTCGGTGCGACGTGACTTGCCTTTGGGCTCCGGTACCTGGCGAGCAGCCTCAGAGGTCATCGTGGGTAGAAACTGAGGCCGACACTGGGGTCCATCGGTCGGCAACGTGCACCTCAAGATGGAGACCGTTCGATCGGCGGGAGGCCACGAGGGAAGACAGGATCAGGTGTGATCGACAGTCAGTCAAGCCGAGGTCGTGGAGGGCATTCTTGTCTTGCCAAGGGGCAATGAACAATCGGGGAGAGGATAATTATTAATGGGGGAAATGAAAGTGAAAGTGAAAGTCACGTTGCCGTTGGAGCAAAGTGGATCACGATCCGCCCATGGAGGATGATGATCCGCGTTCTAGCAGTGCCAAGTGTCTCCTTAACTACGACGTTAATGATGCCTAGGGAGGATGTCGTATCCCCCGGCACTTCGGGGAATAGGGAAATTGAGATTGCCGGGTCGGGAGTCCATCCTACGTACCTACATGGGTTGCTAGGATGAGGGATTTCCTCCTAGCCTCCCTATCCTTTGAGTCTATCAGACTGTCGAATCATTCCGAACGTCTTATCTCTGCTGCTATCCACCGACAAGAATAATCATTTCGGAATCCGGCTCCCCGACAACGCTAACTGAGCCCTTACTAACTGACCAGTTAGACCCCGATCACTCACTAGTGTTCGGGAATCAGTCACGTGGTCCACGCGATTCCTAACAGGAAATGAACAACCAGTCTAGTGTCTAAAATCCCTCGCTGAAAGATGGAACAAACTGGAACTGGAACTCGCGCTCCTCACAGGCAACGAGATACTTCGGCAAAGTGGTCGGTCCACAAGCCCCAGTCCCGACACCGCTGGACTCGGCATCGATTCGCACGAGCACCGTCTTTCCAGGAACGAGATCACAGGGGTGTTTGGCGGTCTCGATCTGCTCCGCGCTATAGCGCGATGCGACCCATTGGAAGCAACTCGTGTCATCCTTGTCCGTCTGCACGGGGTTGCGCACGACCCTGAGGCCCCATCCTCTATGGTCGCTGAGTTGCACCCAGCGGGTCTCCATTCGGTTTCCGCCCTCTTGAGGCACTTCATATGGCGTGTGGAGCTGCGCTGTAGTAGCCTTGTAGATCCCCAGTTTCTGGGAGCGCTTCTTGTCCGCATAGGTCTCGCCGGGACCCAGTCCGAACCATTTGGCGTTGTCGAGTCTGTCGACCAGGCGTAAATCCAGGCCCATTCGAGGCAAGTCCTCGGGCATTGGTCCCTTAGGCTTGAGGTGTACCGAGACAGTCAGTGACCCATCCCCAGCGATCGTATAGGTGGTAGTCGCTAGGAACCCCCAAGCGAGGACCGGGGATGCCAGCCAAGCCTCGGTCACGATCTTGAGGTGGGTATGGTCGACTCGCGAGATGTGCATATTTCGCAGCTGCACTCGTATATCATCTAGTCCGTATCGACGTCGCTCCTCAAGGGTTCCGGACATGGTATCATTGTCTGTTGGAGGGCGCCAGAAGCCTGGAGACAGCGCCACTCCGGTCTTGAAGTCTGGTTCGAGCAGCTGATGACCATTCACTATCCAACTCACCAAGCCACCGGTTGAACGTGAGAAGCACAAGCTAAAGTCGGAGCCTTTGATTGTATGCGTGCTGCGAGTGGACTCGAGCTGAATGGGGAATTCTGGGAAAGAGCGAGGTCTGACGGCCGGAGTCCGGATAGGATGCTGGAACCAAGCCACTTCGTGCCCACTTGGAGCCCACGGCGAGAGGTGTTTGTTTTGAAAGCTGACAGTCAGCCAGATCTCTCCATCTTCCACGTCGGGAAATTCTTGGTCGAATTGCACTTCCGCACGCTCCCCAGCCTTAACAGTTGGAAGGCTGAGGCTGCCGGTGGCAATGATAGTAGATCTAGCATTAATGTCATTAGCTTGCACGTTCAGAGAGGAGAGACAGACGAGACTCACTCTTCTCCCAAGACCTCGACCTGATAAACCGCCTGTAAATGATCCAGTCCAGAAAAGTCCAGCCGGTTCTCAATGAGGATGGTACCGTTGGCGTACCATGCATGGACGGGAGCATATGCCTTGCGCAATTCAACTAGGCCGGGAGTCGGCGTATGATTGCTAAAGCAAAGGCCGTCCAGCACAAACGTTCCATCATTGGGAGTGTCGTCAAAATCTCCTCCATAGCCGTAGAAACCCCGTTTCTCATCCCACAAGCCATGGTTGGCCCATTCCCAAATCCAACCACCCTGCAGCCGGCGATACTGGCGGAAAGCTTCCATGTACTCTTCCAGTCCGCCAGGTGCGTTACCCATTGCATGGCCATATTCGCAGAGCACAATCGGTTTGACAAAGTCGTCTTCTTCCGCAACGGCCAGTTTGGTAATCCGATTCACGGATGGATACATGTAAGAAAACATATCTACCGTCTTGGCCTCCATATCTCCCTCGTAATGAATAGGTCTGCTCGGGTCGGTAGACCTGATGTAGTCGTACATGTGCTGCTGGTTTTGGCCATAGAATGCCTCGTTTCCCAATGACCAGATCACGACACAGGCGTGATTCTTGTCACGCTGGACCATTTGAATGGCCCGATCAATGTACGCGTCTTTCCACTCTGGATTGTTCGACGTGAATTGAGCGGCCTTGTCAAAGGTTAACTCCTTGCGCTTCTCGTAGTCCATCGACTCAGGAATATCAAGCGGGCGTGCCACTGCGTCGTAAAACCCGTGGCATTCAAGATCCGCTTCGTCCATCACCCAGAGACCGAGCTCATCGCAGAGCTCATACAGTCTAGGGTGAGATGGGTAGTGGCAGCACCGCACAGAGTTAATATTGTGGCGCTTCATGAGGAGAAGATCCTCTCGGAGAAATGACAATGGCACCGCCCGGCCAAACAGCGGATGATGATCGTGGCGGTTGACACCACGGAAGAGGACTGGGGAGCCATTGACGGTGATGTTCCCTTTGACAATCTCCACCTGCCGGAATCCAACCCTGTGCTTGATTTCCTGGAATGTATTTGTCTCGTCTGTCGCAGACCGCAGGGAAATCCGGAGGTCATAAAGATTTGGCGTTTCTGCTGTCCATTTTCTTGGGGCTTCCACTGGGATATTCAACGTGACGCTTCCAGACTGGCTCTGTGTCGCCTCGTCATATCCGAGCACATGTTGCGTTTTCAGCGGATCCCGCAGAGTCGCTTCTAACAGAACAGGCACCGTGGCAGTCAGATTTACTGTCACTTTCAAAACAGCATTGTAGTAGGACTCGTCCAACTCCGTCTTGACAAAGAAATCCTCTATACGAGCCGCAGATGGGAAGGCAAGCAATGTGACATCGCGAAAAATACCTATCAAGAGATCGCATTAGTATACTCCAAGGTCTTTCAATCGGAGGGAACTCACCGGAAAGCCACCATTGGTCCTGATCCTCGATATAAGATCCATCAGACCATTGGTAGACACGCACTACCACGTCGTTTGGTGCAGTACGGCTGACGAATTTTGAGATGTCAAACTCGGCAGGATTGCGACTACCCTGTGCATATCCAACTTCATTCCCATTCACCCAGAGATGGTACGCGCTATCCACTCCGTCAAAACGAAGACGCAGTTGCGAGGACAGATCCCAATCCTGTGGCACGCTGAAGGACCTGTGGTATGTGCCGGTGGGATTTTGGCTCGCAACGAACGGCGGGTCCACAGGAAATGGGAAAATTGTATTCGTGTAGTTGGGGCTGCCGTGTCCCTGGAGTTGCCAGTGGCCCGGAACGGTGATGGTTGCCCATTCCGTTGGCTCGTCATGTCCGTCACCGGCTGGACTAGGCGCCAGCAAAGGAGAAGGAGCGAAGTTAAACCTCCACTGGCCGTTCAATGACAAAGATGTTTTGGGAATGAAATAGGCACGGGGCGGAAGTTTGTTTCGTTGGAAGATTTGAGGATTTTCCCAGTCATTGGGGCTTGTCTTGGGGGTAGTGGTGGACATGGTGATCAACTGGGAGCGAGAGTATGACTTGTTTTCACGTCTCCCTCTGTTCTAGAGATCTATGTCTTTCCTAGCTGCAAATGCAAGGGTTTAAGTACCAAAACTGTTGGAAACAACTTGATGGAGAATTTGGCACTTGGATACAGATCTGCATTTGGACGGGGATGTCGGTTCAGACAGCGTATTATCTGTCATCGAGCCCCGCTCCTTGTACAGCTCCCTAACGATCCAAAATTAGTGGACGCAGAAGTCATATAGAGCCATGTAGCTAATCAAGTAGATCTCTAGACTGCAGGTTCCCCCACCATAGCCTCTAGAATGACACTTCGCCAAGATAGATTTCGCGGCTGTACGGAGGGGATCACTGCTCCGAACGGGGAGGAGAGGTCGGTGCGCGGTCTCGTGAGCCATGGACTGCTCCATGTTCTAGTGTTTGCCCCTGTCTTTTCGGATCCAGCTTCCCCGAGGATTCATGGGATGACCCACTTAGATCTACGCGGTTAATGTCCCGACTTCTTCTTGTCGCTAAAATAAGCGGCTTTTACCCGTGGCCAAGCAGGAAAGAGGGGAACGGAAACCCCATCACATACAAATTACATTCACGGACGATCAATTCGGATACCGTAGCAGTCCAGTGACCGCACAAGTTTCTTTTCTGGATCGGAATCTGCGGGCGTGGATGCAGGTTGAAAAAGTAAAGCTCTGGTTTCTGACAAAAAGTAAGGTTCCATATTTTTACAGACATCGCATTCATTGTAGATTCTTTTCAATCTTCATAGCTATTATGGCGTAATCTGTAATCAATCTCACAAAATTGATATAAAAAACCACCCCGTCACTCAAGCTTGCATCAGGCCCCATCTCCAATACGAAAATAGTTCAACCATCTTGGATCATACGGCTTGGATTGATCGCAAAAGCGAAGATCAGTCCCCAGACGTATGATATTATCAGGGTCGTTGTTGATCGTTGAGGCATGTATGGCATGGGGTTTATGCAAGACCACATCGCCCGCTTCATATGCCGTAACCAGCCAGCGGCGCTGATGCTCTCTTGCAAACTGTCCTGGATTGGGAGAAAGAAGCCCGTTGCTCATCATATTGGCGTTGTAGGCAGATCGGGCCTGCTCCTCGGACATGCCTCCATTAATCGCTCTCTGCGTGAACTCATCCTCGACTGCTTTCCCCACGGATTCCCCTAGAGAAGTATGCTGTTAGTGAATAGGCCCATTGTTAATCAGTAACGTATCTACTGTACCGTCTTCAAGATACATCAATCCTCCTCCGCTGAGCTTGATGTCCCCCATAGGGACCCACGCCGTCACACTCGTCGGATCACCGTATCTCAAAAAAATCTGATCGTAATGAACACCAATAGGTGTGCTATTGGGCACGTTGTTCCGGAGCAAACTTCTCTTCATACCCAAGGTATTCTGGCCCCAACCGGTAAATTCCGCGATAAAGTCGAGTAGCACTGAGTGTTTGCAAAAATCCTGGGTATACCAATCTTCGTAATGGGCGTCCAGAGCACGAGTCACAAATTCTTCGGCATGTTCTCCTTTTCCAGGTGTCCCGGATCCAAAGCCTGGAAAATCTTCTGGGCTTTTGAGTGGATTGAATATGCCTTCCACGGGCTGAGTGCCGTCTTTGAGGATACCAGTGTTCTCCAGGAACTCGAAATATTTTCGTCGCGCTTTCAGAACATCCTCGCGGGGAAGAAGCTGTTTGAGGAACAAATAACCGTCTTCGTTGTAACGTTTTCTTAATTCCTCGATAGGAAGCTTAGGGTCTGACGGTCTCAGGTAACCGGAATTTTCTCCGGTGAGATAGCCGTCGGCGACAGAGAGTCGTTCTGTGAGGATTCCCACCATCTTCGTTGATGAGTAGGAGTTGACGTTGATGCAGGGAGCAAATAACAACAGATTTGAATCCTGATTATAAATTGGTACATCCACTCACATCCTCTTTTATAGGTGAAATCTTCCAGTACGTTGGAGAAATGGCCGTGATCCATTTCCCCGCAATCCACAAGCTTTGGGGTCAAAGAAATTTATCCCCAGATTTGGTAAATTTTTTTCGGAGAAGAGATCAAGATCGGCACACAGACTGGCCACGATATCTGCGCTAGGGCCGCCAAGTCAACTCACGAAGCCCATCAAGGTGGATCCTCGGGGGTATCGGGACCGAGCTTTGTCTGTCCGTGCAACCCAGACTATTGTGGAGATATTTGGGAAGATAGAGCGAGGAACCACCTCTGACGGACGTTTATTACCAAAGTCACGTTCTGAACTATATATGGGGGATGAACCATTTCTCACTGCATGCCAACACCAGCAACAAAATAGGGCCTTGTATCCTATGGGGCACGGTAGTGGACCACAACCAAATAGGGTTCAAGATTTTTGCCAATCCAAAGAAGTCTTGACCATGGGCAAATAGTAATTTTTGATGGCAGACACATTTCTCCAACCCGTCCAATCCATGTTGAGGAGACCTAGGATCCTTTGTTTTAGTCTCCATTCATCATCTTTCGTTAGAGTTCACTTACCCCATGTCTCATCGTAATTCTGGATGCCTTGGCGAGTGTAATAGCTGCCGCTGATATCCCACATGGTCCATCCAATGTGGTTTCTGGTGACGAAATCCTTGATACACTGAGCGTACAACTGCGGGTACCCCTCAGGAGCGAAGCCGAATTCCGTCAGCACCACTGGCAGTCTGTTCTGCACGCTGCTATCCGACATGTTCACGACGGAAAAGCCGTCCGCATTGAGATCCGCATCTAGCTCTGCGCAGCTGGAGAACGTTTGATCGAATTCGTAATTGTGTAGTTCGAAAACCATCTTATTTGCGAACTTGTAATCTCCAATATCAAACTGGTACCCCCCACCGAGATCCTGACCAAGTACAAGAGCAGATATATCTAGGTCGTAGTTGAGGCCGGACAAGAAGATTAGGATATCGGTATTCACAGCGTTGACGGCTTCCGCTGCGGGAATCATGTTCTCGTACCATTCCTGCCAGCCGTAGCCGGGTGCTGGTGTTTCGCGGAGTTCATTATACAAACTGAGACTGACGAAATTGGGCCAAGAGGAAGCCTACACAGCATCAGTTTGTCGAGTTATCATGCGGTGACAAAAAGGTATTCCTTACGTACTTCGCCATGTACTTTAGGCCACGAACCCAGTTGGTCACATTGAAGTCGGTGTCGCCAAACCATCCATTCCCATCGGTCGCATCACAGCACCAACCCGCTTTGACTTGATGATTATTCAGATGCACAAGGATTCCACGCTCGGCACAAGCGGCAGCAACGGCGTCAAAAACCTTTGGTCAATAAGATTGATTCAGTAACCCTCCTTGATTTTCAGAACGGGAAATCTCACCTGCAGTCGTGTGGTTGCAGGATTAAAATGAGGGTTATGCGCTAGAACGTCATGATAGACCTTGGTGCCATTGGCTTCCCCAAGAGCTTTGACGAACGATGTCTTCAGGTCAATGTCATGCCCCGTTGTATAGATGTCGTCGATCATCTCCGTTGCCCATCCTAAACGGATGACATTCATGCCTAGGCTGGCAATCTTATCCGCGATAGATTCTACCGAAGCATATTGTAGTCCTTCAGGCACCATAGCCAAGAGGGATCCGGGCCAATTGGCTCCGGCGTAGGTGACTATCTCACCCCGCGAGTCTTGTATCCATCGACCATGGCTACTAAAGGGCGCATATGGCCATTTGCTGGAGCTCCTGTGGGCCCCCGAAGATTTTCCTTGTGTCTTAAAGAGAAGTTAGGATCATTGCATTGTTTTTAGTAATAGGGGTGGAGAACTTGCAGAGGCATGACACTGAATTGTCAATGTAAGTGCGACAACTGATCGCAGCAAAATTCTCAAGAAGTGCATGATTGTATCAACAAAGTTATATGTTTGCTATTACGGAGCTTATACTTACCCAGGGCAAACTGGAAACGAGTGCATTTATAGTGGAGAGAACAAATGGTCGTGCACAGCTGTATTCTTGAAGATGAATGACTTATTGATCGCGGTGTAACCAAATCCCCAGGGTCTAGCCAGAAAACCTAGATCAATCAAAATTTACCCGCGATGGCTGAGGCTTAACAGATTACGCTGTCTCGCTCACTGAAAGTTCATCTCGCCCCTGTCTTGCCATTTTTGCGGGGTTTAGGCTAACCTTAGGAGACTTAGTGCTTACAGTCCCCACAATCTCGGGGATGTTGGAACCGGAGCTGCTGGAGGAAACTGCCGCTGCCTGGGGGAAAACCACGGTTGCACATCAGGAACCCAAATTCCAAGGCCCACTTGGGAAGTTCTGACATTCCCTTGAGGTGTCTGGGCCTCGGCCCCTGCAATCCAATCGGGGAAGCCAAACCCGGTAACTTTCTCCCCCCGCGAAAATTCTTGATCCAGATTCCCAAAACTAACCCCTAACCGATCTGGAGCATGGGCGCGTCCCCGAGCGTCGTTTACTGTATAGACTCAATTCCAACGCAATAGACCATAAATATCCCCATGCGTCGCTGATCCCCAGAGATCTACTCGACTCTGAATCCTGACCCAGTATTGGCACAGTTCCTCTAATCTTGTACGAATTCCTTCACCGTTTGAGAAATCGCCATGGAGGCCTCTAAGCCAGACCTTGAGCACGCTGAGGTTGTCGCCGAGAAGCATGACCTGCAGGAAACAAGCGAGGCGATCCAGCTGGCTGAGGCCGTCACGACGACCCAGTACAGTCCGTGGACTGCCAGTATGTTTCGCTTGTACGGGTGCTTGCTGGTCGCATACCTCTGCGGTTGCTTGAACGGGTACGATGGCTCGTTGATGGGGGGTCTCAATGACATGACCGCTTACAGGGCATATTTTCATATGTGAGTCCTTCTATGCCTGTTGGACCATTCAATCTCTAACTATGACGATTAGGAAAACCGCGTCATCCAGCACGGGTCTGGTCTTTGCCATCTACAACATTGGCTCTATCCCGGCGGTCTTGTTATCTGGCCCGGTCAATGATTTGTTCGGGCGTCGCATGGGCATGTTCACAGGAGCCGCCATTATCATTGTCGGAACCTGTATCCAGGCACCGGCTGTCAGCCACGGAATGTTCCTTGCTGGTCGTTTCATTCTCGGCTTTGGCGTGAGCTTTTGTTGTGTCAGTGCGCCCTGCTATGTCTCGGAAATGGCGCATCCCGTCTGGCGTGGAACCATTACAGGTCTATACAACTGCATGTGGTATATCGGATCCATTGTCGCCAGTTGGATTGTCTATGGTTGTGAGAGTTACGACAGCTCCTACTCATTTCGCATTCCAATCTGGTGCCAGCTGGCGTCCTCCGTCATTGTTGCGGTTGGCGCTTGGTTCTTGCCCGAGTCTCCAAGATGGCTCATGGCGCAGGACCGAGTGGAAGATGCAGTTCAAGTCCTTGCACGGTACCACGGCGAAGGTGATGTCAACCACCCAATTGTGATGCTTCAAGTCAAAGAGATGCGACATCAAATTGCCGTCACGGTCGACGACTCCAGCAAGAAGTGGTGGGAATACCGCGAGCTTTTCAATTCGCATTCTGCTCGCCGTCGTCTAATTTGCGTGATCGGTATGGCCTGCTTCGGTCAGCTCTCGGGCAACAGTCTTACAGGCTACTATCTTCCGGAGATGGCTAAAAACGCGGGGGTTGATTCTGTGAGCACCCAATTGATGCTCAATGGCATTTACCCTGTCATTTGTTTATTTGCCTCCGTCGCGGGTGCAAATATGACAGATCGTATTGGTCGCCGACCGCTCATGCTCTACTCACTTCTTTTCTGCTCGGTTGCGTTTGCTATCATGATCGGTACTTCGAAGATATCGAATGACGACAGGAGCAATTCCAACGCAGCCAACACTTCTCTCGCGTTCATCTATCTCTTTGGCATTGTCTTCTCCTTCGGCTGGACTCCACTGCAGAGCATGTATATCGTCGAGACGCTGACTACCAATACTCGTGCCAAGGGCACGGCCGTCTCAAACTTGATGTCCAACATCAGCAGCGCGATCATCTCCTACAGCTCAGGCCCTGGGTTTGAGAAGTGCAAGTATTATTTCTACGCCGTTTTTGTTGTGTGGGACTTGATTGAGGCGGTTGTCGTCTACTTCTGGTTCCCGGAGACCAAAGACCGGACTCTGGAGGAGCTCGAAGAGGTCTTTGCCGCACCAAATCCGGTGAAGAAGAGCTTGGAGAAACGTAACATCACTACTGTGCTGCAGACATTGGAGATTTCAGATAACAGTGCGGACGTCTGATCGTGTGAGGAGATGTCACTATAGTATCAATATCACTATTAGTTGGAATGCTCGACTAAAATTTCCCTAAGTAGAAATGCGTGTATCCACAGATCCATAAGCCCTAAGACGGTTAGTATGTCCTCGTACGGCCCGTGGAACCAACGTGCACGCAAAATATGCGGGGTCCCCACACTGTAGCTTCAGAAGTTCTCCCACTTTTCCCTCACTCCAAAAATGTCCTCTGAGAACGGCGACGATAGTCGCAAAAGGAAGAGAACTTCTTACGCGGTATAGAACTTCCTGTTGATAACTTGCCACTCTACTAATGCGGAACTCCTAGTGCGACCCATGTCGGCATCGAAAAGTGAGGTAAAATCTATTTTCTCTTAATTCGCTTGCGACGAGCTAACATGTAGTTACTAGATGCGATGGCCGCCGGCCTTGTGAGACATGTTCGCAGATGGCCATAACATGTGTTTACGGAACTGAGACTGCCAAGTTAGTGACGGGGTATGCAATGGTCGTTCCAGCAGTACTGACTTCCTGTTCCAGCAAAAGCAAAAGCGACTTAATTCTGGATGCCGCCCTCCGATCCGAGAATCTTTTGCGAGAATTATCCTCTAAACTAGTTCGTCTTCCTTTACGAATGGCCTCTCCTCTTTCTAACTTGCTTCTAGTCGCAGACCCCTACTACCCATATCCCATCTCAGACCTCTTCCCCTCACGCAGTCATCTCACCGAGCACAGTGAGCAATGCTCACCACAGCGAAATTCCCCAAGACCTTATCTCCAATGCCACACTGTCGGCTTTCCACGCATCCACGACCGAATCTATACTGTCATGGCCGCAATTCTCCGAGTTCCGTGAACTAATAAAAGACCGCGGCTTCTCTGTTTTCCACTTGGAAAGCAGCCGGGCGCCGCTGGTTCAGCGTCCATCTGCAATCCAGCCGTACATGACAAAGTTTGAGGTTGAGAGAATAGTCCGAAGCTTTGAACGCAGCATCAATTTTTGGTACCCGACCATGAACCAAGCGACGCTGCGAGAGCTGCGAATGCAGATCTCCTCGGGTGTCTTTGAAGAGACCACACGGTCATGTTTGGCCTTACTAGTGATGGCTTTAGGGTGTGCGGGTGAACTGGTGTCTTTATTTTCGGAACAGGAGACCCTCCAGACAGACTATGAAGAGACCTGGAACCAAAAGCGGCTAATGAGCGAGCTGTATTTTGATAGCGCATATAAGAAGATTCATCTTGCGCAGGCTGAATTTACAGCCGATGCAGTGCAGTGCCTGTTCTTTACCGGGTAAGTTTACCTTTTGACTCGTGGCGCATTCCTCCCCGTTCTGACACATCGAGGAAAGGTTATCTTTTGCGTTCCTGCAGAGGCCACTACAGGCTTGGTCATTTATGAGTGCGGCGGCAACGAAATGTCGGCTGCTTTTATCCTACGACGTCTCGGAAATGGCACCCGAACAGCTGGAATGTCTTCACCGGATCTTTTGGTCTTGCTATATTCTCGAAAGGTCAGTAATTTTGTGATTACACTTCTTTAGCGTTCCACTCATTCAGCTGCGACAGTGACTACCTCGCCGAGCTCTCCGCTCTCCCCCAAACCGGCATTGCAGGCATTGAGTCTTCCATTCCCTTACCAGGCGAATTCTGCACCCAGGAGTCTCAAAATGACCAAGAAGAATCATCTTTGTACTTCCTTGCGTGTATATCAATGCGGCGGCTACTAAATCGTGTGCACGACCTTCTGTATGCCCGGGACATGGGGGTTGGCTTCGACAATCACCAATTTCCCTCCGTGGTCTCAGAACTGGGGTACCAGCTCGAGGAATGGAAGGACCTACTGCCATTCCCTTTCCAGTTTTCTGCCGACCTAGAGCCGACACGCACACAAGAGGGTGCCTTTCTGCGCCAGCGTTACCTAACATGCAAAAGCGTCATTTATAGACCATATCTCACGTGGGCGCTTTCGAATAGTGACTCTCGAGAGCATTTCTCCCCGGTCGTTTATGAGGGATGTCGAACATGTTTGGAAGCATGCTGCATGCATGCGCTGAATCTGCGAAGTCTGCAGCATACGATCATGGTGGACACGTGGATCTGCTCGCTCTCGTAAGTTTTCCCAGAGAATGTGGAAGGTCAGCCGTTGATTCAGTGATGGACCAAAAGTATGGCGTCCGTCATACTTGTTATGCTAGCTGCATCCCGCGTCAGCGCCTTACGACGACTCATGGCGTCTCGCATTGTGGAGATCGGGCCACATGTTAACGGATTACTGACCCAGTGGATGCATATCCCTGGTCGAGGGACATCGCCGAGCGTCACGGAGAGTGTCAAGCTTATTGGAAATGCATCAACCCTGCTAAGTCTAACCTGGAACGATAATGGGTTGGAGAAGTAATAAGAAATGAAATGTCGAGCATACATGACTGAGCCATGTCTGGCCCACAATTTACCATCAAGAAAAAGTTGTGATTACTCACAAATGAAACTGATTCTTTGATAATAATTCATCTGATGCTGAACTAGAATGGGCCCCTGTTCAAAAACCCGTGATCGACTGTTTCAGGTGTCGTGTACTGCCACCGGATCGGAGGACGAGAGGGCAAAGTATAGCGCATTCAAAATCATTCCTTTTATTTGAAAAGGAAGAATGTGGTAATTTTAATGACTCTGCGATAAATAATTGTATTCTTATGTTCATTCTGCTAACTCTAGACAAGAATTATATAGATCCGTGTTTCAAACGGGTCTCTGCCAAGCACTCTTGGGGCGGGATTCAAAACTTTCTGCTCCCTTCACTTTTTCCCCCCTTCAACATCCGCCTCGGACCACGCCGGACTGTACCAACTTCTGCCACCATGGGCCTCATTCGACCCGGCCGGGCGAGGTCCATCATTCTCACTTTTCTTGTCATATGCCTCGTCAGCTCCGTTTATTTATATTGGACGCCGACCACCGCGTCGACCACGGCCTCGGTGGTGCCCAGCACGGCCTTCGAAGTACCCCTCGCAGAACGACAGAGCGCCTTCTGGAAAGCCTTCAAGCCGCTCCTCCAACGAAATGCGCCTAACTGCCCCTCTCCCCAACACCTCGACGATGCAGGCTCCGAGCACTTCGACGCCATTCACGAGCAACCCCGGCCCAGTCTGACTGCCATGAGCGAAGAAGATCAGGCAGCGATGGAACAAGCCCACGCGAATTTTGTTCAGGATATCCGAAACGCCGGGAAAGAATTGAAGCCGGTCCATACGCCAGGGAAGCGAGGGCTGGTGTCCACGGCGGGCGAGAACTATCTTCCGGTGTTTCTCACGTCGCTGCGGATGCTCCGGCGCGCGGGTTCGACGCTGCCTGTCGAAGTATATATGAAGGACTCAAGTGAATATGAGAAGAAGATTTGCAACGACGTGCTGCCTAAGCTTGACGCGCGGTGTATGGTTTTAGCCGACGTCGTGGGCAGCGACGTTATCGAACACTACCAGCTCAAAATCTTTGCGGTGCTGTTCTCTTCTTTTGAAGAGATCGTGTGGATGGATGCCGACTGTTTCCCACTGGGCAAGCCAGAGGACTTACTGACTTCAGAGCCTTTCACTTCTTCGGGTCTGGTCACCTGGCCAGACTTCTGGCGCTCGTCCGCATCGCCCTTGTACTACAAGATCTCTCGGCAGGAAGCGCCGCCCATGACCGCTCGGCAATCATCGGAGACCGGCGCATTCTTGGTATCGAAACGAACGCACTTCCTGTCCATGCTGCTGGCCGCCTACTATAACTTTTATGGCCCTTCGCATTACTTCCGGCTTTTGTCACAGGGAGGGCCTGGGGAAGGCGACAAGGAAACATTTATCCAGGCCGCTTCCGCCATGGGAGAACCATTCTACACCGTAAGCGAGAGGGTGGGCGCTATCGGACATAATAAGCCTGAAGGTGGGCTTTCTGGATCAGCCATGACCCAGTCGGATCCACGCGAGGACTATACCCTGACCAGCCAGGGAATCTGGCGCGTGAAAGACCCAGCCGCTGGCGCCGCTCCACATATCTTCTTCATCCATGCAAACTACCCCAAATTCAACCCGGGAGACAATGTTTTTGGAATGGGATGGGAAACCACTCCCACAATGAAAGAAGATGGCTCGGATGGCCGAGCATGGACAGCTCCCGAGGACGTCGTTGCACGATTTGGATACGACGTTGAGAGTGGTTACTGGGAGGAGATTAAGTGGGTGGCCTGCAATCTCGAAAATGATTTCCGGACATGGGAGCATAAGATGGGTATCTGCGACAGAGTTGAGATCTACTGGAATAATGTCTTCGCCGAGCCCCATGATGATGACCCGAAGTTCACCCCAGACCGTTGATTCCAAACCCATCTTTCTGGGGTTGAAGTTTGTCTAAAAGACTTCCCCGACCCTATTCCGGCTCAAGTCCCGACTCGGTGTCTTCAAACGTTACGCCTGAGCAGACGACCCTGAACGTCACTGGCATTATCCTATGACGCTCCGTGGACATTGGTCTCCTACCGGTTTCCCACTCTGCCACAGCTGGCTGGAGCTACATCTCCCTGTGTCCGACACACCTCCCTCTCAGAGGCACTGCACAGAACTTGACGGCCAATGCCATGTACATTAATTAGATATCGACCGACCTTCGGTATGCTGCACATAATGCATAATCCATTACATACAGATTCCTCTACACTGGACGACCACCTAGCAGGAATGGCATTCATTAAAACACAAGAAAGGTGGTGGATATCATCTATTTCTTGATACCCTTCTCGCGCAGCCGCTGCTCATCTTCCATCTGCAGCTCGCGATCGATCTCAGCGCCTTTGGAAGGCTTGTTTCCGTGCAGTTGAGCCTGAACACACGACACGTCAGAAAACTGCCGAGTACAGAGGGCTTAAAGAAACTCACCGGCTTCGTGGCATCACTCTTGCTCAGGTCCGCCTCGTTGACGGCATTGCTACCTTCCTTGCCCTCCTTGTAGCGCTTGCGCTCGTTGATGACGGACTGGGGCTCGTTGCGCTGGTCGCCGGCTTCGTAGAATGCGGCATGGCCGACGCTGGACTGGCCGGCTCCGTGGAAGGCTTTGTTGGGGGCCATAGTATTGGATCGATAGGAAATTGAAGTGTCTGGTCGTTGTTGACCTGGTTAGACCCCATATTTCTAGCTCGGTTGCACCGGGACGTGATGTCATGCTGGAGTCATTGAAATTATTGTAAGGCGAGAGCTACTATGTAAGGTGACTGTTAAGGAGGCGATATCTCTCCAAGTTGGAATCAGGAAGGATGTGAGCATAGAGCTGAGTGGTCTCGCTCGGGGCTGATTGTTGTTCGTTACATATCGCGATATACTCCTAGCCCTCATTTGCCTGAGAAGGGGATTTCGTCTGCCACTTTTTGGATTTTCCTAATACTGATGGCCACTATGCCTTTATGTCAGAGCCTCTGAAACTGTACTAATTAACAAAAAACATACCAGGTCTGATTCGAGGGCATCAAGATGGTGGTATAAGTATGAGGGTGTACAGTGGTGTTCCAAGCGAGGGGTTTCAGACTTTTGCAACACCACGGTATGTGTCTTAGCTCAGATTAACCTCCTTCAATGTCGACTCCCAATGCAGTGCGACCCGCCATCTCACTGTTCTCTAGATCAAGTGCCCACCAATTGCCAACGAAGCACCTCATCCACCATCACCACCACTCCCACCTCTCCCACCACCGCCGACACCACCATCCACCAACCGCTGCAATGAGCTCCTCCAGCTCCCCCCAAGTGCAACCCCACTTCGCAAAGCTCTTCGCCGAGCTCGAGCAGCGCTTCCAATCAACCAAGCTGGGCAACGACAAATGGTACATCCTGGCCATGTCAACGCTCGTCGCGGGGCCCGACCCCGAACGCGCCGATCAGCTCTATCTACACCTAATCAACCAACCCGCCTACACAACCTCCAGCGCACGGCAAGCCCTCGTCCGGCGTCTGCGCGAAGCTCTCGTCAAGTCCGTCCCCATCGTCGGGGTGTGTAAACCCATCGAGTCCATCCTGGCCATCAGCAAAGTCGAACGCGACGAAGATAAGGACTACACCTCTACGCGCGAGGGCTGGCAATGCGACCAGGCTAACCATGACCGCGGCACAAGTTGGTTCCAGAAACTGTATGCGCGCGATACCAACAATACATTGGATATGTTCGCCTCGCACCGCGATTTCTCTTGGATATCCACCGAGATCACTTATGGCTTGTTTCTGTCGGATCGCCAGGTGCTTGATGATATGGATACCGAGATGGTGGTTGCGCCCGGGATCATGAGCCAGAATTTGCCGCTTGAGAGTCATTGGCATATCCGCGGGATGAGGCGGTTGGGGATCCCTAAGGAGGATGTCGAGGTTGTTTGGGACTGTGTACAGCTTGTGGGCAAGTTCTTCGGGACCAGGATGGACAGGGTGCCGACGGTCGAGATGGTTGAGCCAGATGTTTGAAACGTAGAAGTATATAGAGACAACAAGAGGAACAACAGAACACATTCTCTAGGAAGGATAAATGTTTCTACATCAACATTCCCTGGTATCTTGTTCAATATAGAATCTTTTTTGTCGGTTTAATCGTAACTTAACAACGTTGAACTCACTTGATACTTCAGTCCCTCAATTGATAACGAATGATAAGCAAAAAAAAGTTCGAAAGCGGTCCGCCCGAACCACCGCCTCTTCTTCACCTCCCACCGCACCTCAAACCCCCGAACAATCATGGGAAAGCGAAAAGAACAACCCGGCGACGTCGCCATGGGCGGCACCCAGCCTCCCGTAGGTGACGACGAATCCGACGAAGTAAGTGCGCTGTTCCAATGGCCCCAAATGGCGGGACCGGACTGCTAATCGCATCGCGACCCCAACAGGACGTGGACATGGTGAACGTCGACTTTGAATGGTTCGATCCGCAGCCTGCCGTCGACTTCCACGGCCTCAAGAACCTCCTCCGGCAGCTCTTCGACGCCGACGCCCAGATGTTCGACATGTCGGCGCTCGCGGACTTGATTCTGTCGCAGCCATTGCTCGGCTCGACGGTCAAGGTGGATGGGAACGAGTCCGATCCGTATGCGTTTCTGTCTGTACTGAATATGCAGGAACACAAGGTAGGCTGCTCTTTCTGAGTGTGTCTCGTTCGAAATACTGACCCCTCCAGGACAAACCCGTCATCAAGGACCTGACCAACTACCTCAAAACCAAATCCGCAACGAACCCATCCCTCTCCGCACTCCACTCGCTCCTCTCCCAAACCCCCATCCCACCCATCGGCCTCATCCTCACCGAGCGTCTGATCAACATGCCCTCTGAGGTGATCCCGCCCATGTACAACATGTTGCTGGAAGAAGTCGCCTGGGCCATTGAGGACAAGGAGCCCTACACCTTCACACACTATCTGATTGTCTCCAAGAACTACGAGGAAGTCGAGTCGAAGCTGGACCTCGAGGAATCGCGGCCTCAGAAGAAAAAGAAGAAGGGCGGCGCCGACCACCGCGAGCGATTTTACTTCCACCCCGAAGACGAGGTGCTGGAGCGGCACGCGCTATGCTCGGGTTCCATTGAGTACACGCACAAGCAGGACGAGGGCCACTCGGACTCGAAGCGCGCGTTCCAGGAGCTGGGCATTCGGACGAATGGGAGCTTGGTCCTGATTGAGGCGGCCAAGTTTGAAGGCGCGGTCAAGGCCGTGACGGAGTATTTGAACCCATCATGATAAACGTTGATTCTTGAAGAATTTTTCTATATTCTTTGTGTTGTTGGTTCATACATAGCTCTATAGAGAGATCCCAAAAAAGAATTTCATAACTTAATGACGATGACTACTCCCATTGGGTTCCCTTCAGCCGCTGCATAAGGTATTCCACCTCGACGATCTTGGTCAACGGAATCACGCATTCCTTGTACACGGCCACGACCGCGTCGGCTTTAATCTTCTGCGAGTTCTCATCGGGAAACGCAGGATCCGTGCCATACGTCTTCGCCTTGAGCCCCAGACGCTCAAGCACCTTCTGCTCCACACGCGCATCAGTAATAGCAGCATCGATGCCCTCGCGATCCCCGGCCTTGATCAAGCGCACAAAGGTCTCTGGGTCCTTCTGGAACTTTGACTCGGCGACGAACTTGCCAAAGTGAATGCGCCGCGACAGTGCCTGCAAACAGGCTACATCGCAGGTCGCCGCCGACCCGTAGTTCTCCTGCGTCTCGCCGCGGTCTTCACGGCCGAACTGCGGGCATACAGCGGGCAGGACCTCGTTGATGTAGCGCTCCTTGATCACGGCGTTGACGTTGACGTCGTTGTCGTGCAGGATGCGCGGGTACTCCAGCGGAGCGAGGATGGGGGGTTCGAGGGCGTCGGCGAAGAAGGGGTATTCGTCGGGGGACTCGTAGCGCCGCACGCGGGATTGAAGCCGTTCTTGTTCCCGGAGGAGGTAGTCCATTAGACTGAGGTTGCTGTTGGGGATTGTGACGCCATTAGGGAGGTAGATGGTTTTGTTGAGTGGGAACTGGACCCTCTCGATTAGGTGGAAGGTGATTGTATCCTCGAGTCGGCTGGCGAGTCGAGGAAGGTGAGGAGGTAGTTAGCAAGGGTTCGTGATAGAGTTCGTTGGACGGTGGGGGGAAGGAGTGGGGGAGGACGGGGGAACGGTGTAGAGGTATAGATGCTCACATCAGCTGGAATCGGATATTGGCAAGGTCCAATGCCTTGGAGGCATCGGATAGGTCAATGGCGGTGTCCATGGCGGGCCTGGGAGGGAGGTGAAGGAGGGAAGAAGCGATGTCGGCGAGGAAGCATGTTCAACACACGCCGAAGGGGCGACCCGAGGGTCTTGTGTCACCAGTGGATTATTTCTGCAGGATACAGATAGCAGGATGCGAGGGTGTGTTTCTTTAATAACAATAATTAGTTTCAAGAAGAAGAATTCTTTTCTTCATTGTATAGAGCCAAAAACAGCTCTATGCTCCGGCCGCGTCGGTACCGCGGTAAAATACCCGTATTGCATCTCGTGCACCACTCTGATCCCGAACTTCCCCTTCCTCTTCCTCTTCTCTCCCCAGTGAAACATGGAGCGTCCTCGCGATGAGTCGCCCTCCGGCCTGTCCGACATTGTAGAGGGCGATGGCCTACTGGGCACCGGCCTCACCGTACGCATTGATTCTCTTCTCCTCCGTCATTCCGAACCCAGCTGACTGGGAATTGATAACCACTTCTAGACCCGGCATATCGAAGCTTTCGGCCGCAAAGTCACCTCGACAGCAGGGCATTTAATGGGCCCGAACGACCAGAACCACGCCAGCCACTACCACAATGCCATAACGGACATCCACCGCGAGCTGCGGCGGCCACACACCCAGCGCAAGGTGTTTTCCCTGACGCAAACCACTCCCACCGACCTCGTGCGCTCGAAGCTGTCCACCACCGAAATCCAGTCCCGCGCCATCTCCTCGCTCCCGGATGGCCTCCTCGCCAATATTCCCGAAGATACCAGCTCCTACTCCCTCTTCCAAGGCTTCCAGGCCTCCCTCCCCGAAGATGAACGCGAAGCGCGACGAGCCCACCGCCGACACGGCTCAAAGGCGTCAAAACTTTTGAAGGACAACGAGAAGGGCGGATCCTTGTCTGCTGGCCCGACGACTTTGAGGGGCGAGCGCGAAAAGCTGAGCCGCCGACTGGAATTGATGGGCGTTCGCAAGAATATGTGCAGCGCTGAGATCCACGAGATTGATCACAAGATCGCCAACCTAAACAACATGCGCAAGATTGTTCTCGACCGACTGGCCGGCTTAGAGCGGGATGAAGCGGATTTGGAGGCCGAGCGTGGGTTGTTTCCTATCTACGACAAACGATGTATATCTGACGCGAATGAAACAGTCACGGAGATCGATAACAAGTTAGAAGACGAGACACCAGAGCCTTCTGTTTCTGCCGAGAATGCGACACCCAAGACTTCAGAAGGCCTGGATGATTCTAGCACTTCTGGGGACCCGGCTATGGATGCATCCTTCATGTCCGAATCTATTTATGAGAAACTGCCTTCTCCGAGAAATTTACGACATCGATCGATAAGTGAGGATTTTGTTGCATATGGCTGAGTTTCACAGGCTTACAATGGACAGGGAAACGATCTATGCCAATTCTACACGAACATTTCGCTCCGGGTTCTCTCATCAAGGAGATCGAGGCTCACACGGACATGGTCACCGCCATCGATTTCGACTTTCCTTTTGGCACCATGATCACGGCAGCTTTGGATGATACAGTCCGCGTTTGGGATATGAATGTTGGCCGGTGCTCCGGGTTTCTGGAGGGACATCATGCCTCGGTCCGCTGCTTGCAGGTGGAGGATAATATTGTTGCAACTGGATCTATGGACGCGTCCGTCCGACTATGGGATCTGAGTCGTGCCAGGCCGTCGACTCGAGACGGGCGTCTCAATAAACACGAGCGCGATGGTGAAGAGGCAGAGCCCGAACACACTTCACCTGTGCCGCCATCTTCGAATTTGGAGGACTGTCATGTGTTCTCGCTGGAAGCTCATGTTGATGAGGTGACCGCTCTCCACTTCCGTGGCGACACGCTCATCTCGGGTTCCGCAGACAAGACACTCCGACAATGGGATTTGGTCAAGGGACGCTGCGTCCAGACCCTGGATGTACTCTGGGCGTCCGCCCAGGCTTCATCGATGACTACGGGCGATAGCGGCTGGCGTCCATCAGGACGTCTTCCCGATGCGTCTGCCGATTTTGTCGGGGCAGTACAGTGTTTCGATGCTGCCCTAGCATGCGGAACAGCCGACGGCATGGTCCGTCTTTGGGATCTTCGCAGTGGCCAGGTCCACCGGAGTCTAGTTGGCCACACCGGACCCGTCACTTGCCTGCAGTTTGACGACGTCCACCTGGTCACCGGCAGTCTTGACCGCAGTATTCGGGTAAGACCGTGTTCATTAGTTGTTTATACCTATCTTCTAACTCTCTCTAGATCTGGGACCTACGTATGGGCTCTATTTATGACGCGTACGCCTACGACAAGCCGGTCACCAGCATGATGTTCGATGCGAAGCGCATCGTCGCCGCTACGGGCGAGAACGTGGTCAAGGTGTACGACAAGGCCGACGGCCACCACTGGGACTGCGGACCAGGCGTTGGCGTCGACGACGAAGGCCCATTCCCCGCGACCGTTGAACGGGTGCGCCTCAAGGATGGGTATCTCGTCGAAGGGCGCAAGGATGGTACCATTGGTGCTTGGACATGCTAGGTCGCCTCGATTACCTTGCTTGTGTGTGTGACCACTGTATAGTATTCTATTCTCTGTGTAACGACCTGGATATAGCGATTGTAGTGCTCGTCTCATGCACACAATGAAACAAAGAATCTCCCAATAAGCGAATTAAGAAGAGCAGTCTGAAACGAAAGAGACAACCAGACATAAAGGATAGATGAGACCGTGGATCACAATGAAATGAGAAAAAAGGGAGGGGGTGCGTGAAGAATGAATCTACAAAAGGCCCCGAGTCGAGTGGTTCTCGCCCTCCGCCTTCTTTTCTGCCTCTCCAACATCACATCTTTACCAACACAACACCCCTTTACCTCACTCCATCCGGCTTCACCAGTCCTCGCGCAAGCAAAAGTAATTGATACATTGATTGGTTTCAGGCCGCGTCTTTCTCTACCAGTGTGCATCTTCGCCACGGTCGGTCGAATAGAGCAGCGCGGGGCTGCGTTCACCCTCGTCGCGCGTCTGCGCGTCTCATTTCGCGATCTACAGCCCTGACCGAACTGGACCACCTGCGCCCGTCGGGGCTTCTCTAGGTAAGCGCTCTGCATCTTGTACTGGCTGTTATCTTCGTCGCTCTGGTCATCGCCCCTTGATTTTATCTACTTCTCTACTGCTCAATCTCTCCGGCTCGTGTTTCACATTCCCCACGCACCACGGCTTCTTGTTATGTTGGCTCGCGCCTGAGCTGCTTGCAGCTGAGTTCGCTGGTAAGGGTTAATTCATCTTTTGAAGTCGTGATTTCATTCGTTGCTTATTCGTGTCATTACTTTTTGTCTCTCTTTTGACCACTTGCGCATGTCCTGCTTGAACACATTCATCCGAAATTAGAGCGCGAGCTGACCTACCTGAACCAGGCGAGTGAACTCTTGAGCTGGACTGAGACGAAATCCTTGTGCACCGATGCCCCCTAAGCGCGCTGCGATGCGTCGCGGGGCGGGGCGTCCCAAAGCATCTCCTTCGAGCCCAGAGAACTTTGAAACATTACTCGATCTATCACCCGGAATTCCTCTGCCTAGTGTTCCAACCCAAGCTGCTTTTAGCTACGGCGCTCAAGGCCCAACAGCTCTGCCGCGGCGCATGCGCATGGCGCCACGGAACATGAACCTCACGCAGATAGCCCGGTCGATTGATGCCGGGATTGACGCCGCTCAAAAGCGAAATCCAAGTCCGCAGAAGAATTCTGACCAGGAAAACATCGAACCCACGGACACTCGGCCTAGACGCTCTAACAGCGGCTCGCCCGTTCGTCGGCCAAAGCGCGAGCCGACTCCTGACCAGACCCAACTGCTGCAGTCCCTGCGCGATGTGACTGCCACTCCCCCACCTCCTGTTGCTCACACCGTCTCCACCGAGTCTAGTCCTGCTATTCCGCCTCCTCAGTTACGAATACAGCCGGATTCGCCACTATATCCGTCACCGTTGCAGCGGGCGGGATCTCCAAACCATGATGTGCAGATGGGAAGTACGCCTGATCGTCACAGCTCTGTCGATAATGCCTCCGAAATTTCCTTCAACTTGGAGCGTGAAATCCACGAGGACGACTTACAGCGAACACGGCCCAGCAAGTACCGTGGGGAGCCACACGGCCGCAATATCACAGCACCTCCTCGACGTATTTCAGGCCTAGCTCTTGTCAACGAGACCATTGAGGAGGAGGATGAGCCTGAATCCGATCCGGCGGACGAGTCCGAAAGCGTGAATGAGCCTTCATCCTATCTTGAACCTGAACCTGAACCTGAAGTCGAAACTTGGTCTGCGCCTGTGCGGACTGTGATTCCTCAGACATTCCGCACTGAGCCTGTCCATTCCAGTCCTGCATCCAGGTCTCCAAAGGAAGGTCTGATCCGTCCATGGCTTGAATCAATGCAACCCGAAACGCGTGGTGACGGTGAGGGCCAACCCGTCTTGCACCGGAACAAATGGCTTATGGCACTTGTCACTTTGCTCACCTGCGTGTTTCTCGTGGTCTTAACAACCCAGAGCAGTCTTGCAGAAAAGATCCGCTCCTCACTATCCTTCGGTGAGATTCCCCTTGTGAATTTCTCGCCCAATCTGCCGGAATCCGAACTCGTCTCCGGCCTTCGAAATCAGGTGTCCCGCATGAACGTCCAAGTGTCGTCCCTGTCCCGGGAACTGCGGTCTGCTGCAGAACATGCCCGCGATCCGTCTCCGACCTACATCTCGGACGTCGTCCCGCGGCAGCCCATTCACAAGATCAACTTCCTCTCGGAAGCATTGGGGGCCATCATTGATCCAGGCAGCACTACCCCTACCGCAGGCTCAAAAGAACCACTCTTGAAGCGTGTGTTTTTCAGCATGTTCGGGTTGACGTCCTACTTTCGCGGCCCGTTACCCCCTGCCGCGGCGTTGACCCCGTGGGAAGACTTGGGAGATTGCTGGTGCAGCGCTCCTCGCAATGGGGTCACCCAACTGTCGGTGCATCTTGGCCGAGATATTGTGCCCGAAGAAGTGGTGGTCGAACACATTCCCGCCGGCGCCGCCCTCGAGCCAGGTGTCGCGCCCAAGGAGATTGAACTCTGGGCGCGATTCAGAGTCGTCCCGCTCGCGTTGCATAGTGAGGCGCCGACCGAATCATCGTCTGGATGGCTTCCTGGATGGTCGTCCCGGAAATCCCGCCCGAACGAGCCGGCTTCGTCACGCGAGGAAGGACTCGGTGGCTACAACATTCCGGGCGAGAAATCGCTTCACGACGTGCTCATGAGCTCCCTACGCATGCACAACATCGATGAACCCGAGAGTGTGTACTCGGACGACCCAATACTCGGGCCAAACTTCTATCGGGTAGGCCAGATGGTGTATGACATCCATAAACGGGACCATGTACAGCACTTCCCACTCAACGTGATCGTGGACGTGCCGACGATCCGGGCTGACAAAGTGGTTTTGCGAGTGAAGTCGAATTGGGGAGCGAACAATACGTGCATTTATCGGGTGAAGTTGCATGGCCATGTATAGTTCTAAGGATTTTTTCGTTCAGCATGATACCTCGTCGGGAATTAGTTCCGGCATCTAGATTTAGCATCGTGGCGTTGGGAGGGGATAATTCAGATTACATACGACTACGCCTACGACCTAGCACGTCCAATGTACTTCCCCCCGTATTTTTCCCATTATTCTTCTGCTTCCCGTCAGGATTAAGTTCACTCCTTCATACTTCCCACCGCCCACCCCGATGCGGACCCGCCAACCATGACGAAGGCGGAACCTCCTCGTCTTTTCTTCCACTCACCTTCCCACGGTCACGAGGTCTTCGTGCAGCCATCCTCGTACCTTCGCCCGCAAATGGCCTCCGAGCGCGACACCATTCACCGGGAGGAGCGACAGGGCCTGGTCTGTTTGCCCTCCCCCCTCTGCACGGGCCCAATCAAGATTCTGACTGACCCGAACAGCGCGCCATCCGCAATTTCCTCAAGGTCCGCACCAGCTACGATGTGTTGCCGCTCAGCTTCCGTCTGATCATTTTCGACACCTCGCTCTCTGTCAAAGAGAGTCTGAACATCCTCATTCAAAATGGTTGCGTCCTCTCTCTCTTTCTTCCTCTCCCCTGTCTTCCGAATCGCCCGCTGACAATCCCGCATATGGAGGGGCTTCCCTGCCCCCCCCTCGTCGGGACGTACAGGCATCGTGTCAGCCCCGTTGTGGGACTCCAAGGCTTCCAAGTTCGCCGGTCTCCTGACCACCTCTGACTATATCAATGTCATCCAGTATTACTTCCAGAACCCCGCCGCGCTGGACCAGATCGACCAGTTCCGGCTAGATAGTCTTCGAGGTGCGTGTCCAAATTAATTGAGACTGGTCAGAGGAACCCAGACACTGACATGGAAGTACCGATAAAGATGTGGAGAAAGCATTGGGTGTCGCGCCGCCCGAAACCATCTCCATCGACCCGGAGCGACCCCTCTATGAAGCATGTCGCCGCATGCTGGAATCCCGCGCCCGCCGTATCCCCCTCGTCACGGCCGACAGCCAGACCGATCGCTCCCACGTTCTCAGCGTCGTCACGCAATACCGCATCCTGAAATTTGTCGCCGTCAATGTTCCTGATACGCAGAAGTTGCGTCGGCCGCTGGGGGAAATCTTGCTGGGCAGTTATGACAATGTCGCGACGGCGTCGATGGATACGCCTGTCATCGACGTGATTCATATCTTGGTCGAGCGGAGCATATCCAGTGTCCCTATCCTCAACTCGGAGGGTATGTCTTCTTCAGACCTGAAAAGATCAACACTAACGTCTCTGTATCAGGCGTCGTGTACAATGTGTTCGAGGCCGTCGATGTAATCACGCTGATCAAGGGCGGTTTCTACGACGATCTGAGCCTAACAGTAGGGGAAGCCTTGAAGAAGCGATCAGCGGTATGTGTGCCAAAAAAAGGGTCGTTTTATGGCGTTTCGACTAATACCGACATGCAGGATTTCCCGGGTATCTACACCTGTTCACTGAATGAGGGACTCGACACCATCTTCGACACCATCCGCAAATCACGGGTGCACCGTCTAGTCGTGGTGGACGAGCATTTCAAACTCAAAGGCGTCCTCACCCTCAGCGACATCCTACACTACATTCTCCTCGAAGGAGAAAATGACGAGGCATGATCCGACTCACCGTGGGCCTTAACCCGTGCGCGGGCATTTCCTCTATACATATCCTACCTATTCTTGCATGGACTTGGCGTTTCTTCTTTCTTTTTACTTCACTTCGGGATAATGCCTGAGAATTGCCCGTCTCGTGCGTGGGTTTCTTTCCCTATCTTTTTTTCTAAATGTACAGGGGGTTGGCTTCTTTCAACGGCCGATTGCTGGCGCTATGGACAGAAATAGATTTCTATCAAGACTTTGTGTATGTTCGATCATTCATTCCCAATTGTGTTCTATGATTCTCGTGAGATCTCGGTCATTCCTGCTTCTTTGAGGAGGACGGCAGCATTGTCGGCCGCCCTTCTACTTGATTCACCTTGACTCAAGGAAGGCACCTTCCCTCGAGATGCCTACCCGCTTGCCATCCTAGAGAGCTTTTGGTCTCTTTCTCCCTCCCGTGGAATCTGTAACACAGCAAACCACCTACTCTGTGGGCATCTCATCCTTTTTCCGCCAGAAAATGGCGTTCATTCTGACGCTTTTCCGGTCTAAACCAAGTATCAACAAACCGACCAAACCTCGTCGCAACTGGGGTCGATTTGGCCGTTCACAACCCAATGCAGACCCACGCCAGTCCCAGGAATTCGACCCACTCACGAAGCTTGAGTCGAATCTAGTCAAAACTCAGACAGAGCGAAGGAGCAGTGGTCACAGCCTGTACGAGACCAAGTCGGTGGAATCCACCGAGCCATTCCCTCCACTTGTTGATGAAATTCCGGACGACCCTTCTACCGTCCCTGCTGCTAGTGGCGACGATGCGAGCCAGCTTCTTTCGCGATCTCAGCATGGCTCTAAGCGACTCAGTGGTCTAAAGGCTCTCTTCCGTCAGAGCAAAGCGTCTCAGGATCGAGAGTCTGTTACTGGTACTACGGTGGATGATATCATTGACCAGCATGGATCCAGCAACGCGAACGCAGTGGAGACCTCGCTGGAAAAGGATGACTTTGTTGTCCTGTCTGAGAACAAAGCCCCTGTCGAACCTGAACCCCATGCTACCGGCGAGACGCGGAGAGCTAGCTCTCAGACGACTCGGTCCAATGAGTCGAGTCACTCCAACATCACTGTCTGTCGGCATCCCTCGCAGCGCGACCCGACGCCTATCCAGGAAATCTTCGATGAGGGCTGGATGTGGCCGGGTATTCTAAATTACACGCAGGGGATTGTGCATAGTCCAGAGGCGTCCGACCCCTTCTCGGATTCGAAAAATGCCGACGATGCTGCTGAACCCTCAGTGGCCAGTGAAGACCGAAGCCAGAAAGCCTCAACGCAGGGACCTGTCCCGCTTGAAAACCCGCTGGTCGTTCTGCCGCTCCCTTCGACAGTAGATGGTGGCAGCTTCCGCGCTGTTCCCAGCACCAACCGAACGAGCTCGGCTAGCAGCCACGCCAGTTGGACAACGCAAATCAGTCACCTTGACCCGAACAAGGCGACCATCTCGTTTAATCAATTGGCGGCACGATTGAACCTCCACATCTCAATACCGCGCGAGGCGGATGACCTGGAGGCTTTTCCATGTAGGTATACCATTTTGCTGCTAGTTTGAATCTGCTGATGGCCTTTGCCATAACAGCGAACGACGACAAGTCCCCCGTCAACGAAGTTCAGGGCGTACCTCGACGTCGTCACGGACTGCTGGGCCGAGTCCGCCCAGTTCGCTCCACTGTGGCACTAGCGACAACGGCCCGTCCCTCAGACCGAAAGCTGAGACGGACAAAGACATTCTCGAATCTCGCGCGTCGTCCTGCCCCGATGAGTTCCCTGCGAGGTAAGTCTGTAGAAAGACTGGCTCGACTTGGCGGCCATAGCTTCCTCATTCTACCAGCGGATTTGTCTCCGTTCCCTCTGCAGTTGCCCGCGTGCATCGTGGCGACGATGATGTTTCTACGGAAATTCGGTCGGTCGGCCCGCTCTCCTCTACGTCATGGCATGGGTCACTAACGCGGCTTCTGGCAGGTCCTAATACAGCAGAACTATTCGTAGAACCGGGAGATATCAAAGCTGCGGCCCGACTCTATAACTATTTCGCCAGCCAGGTCCTCTTAGCGGAGAAGGACGAACCCAAGATCGCGCTGACGATGCGAGTGATTGCCATGCCACACTTGGAGATTCGTTCGGCTGGTAAAGAGGCCGCGCCCGTGCTCAGTGTCTGCTGGGTACTCAGGAAATTGCTTGCGGGTCTGCCGGGTGGGACCCTCGGGTCTACCCATCTGTACCAGACCCTGAAAGCCATCTACTTTGCCCCCGCCCCCGACGACCCGCTGCCACACATGCAGAACTCCCTCGCCGCACTGTCTCCGAAGACTTCCGCCCGGGTGCAACTGATTGCCCTGGCAATCACAGCGCAGACGAGTGAGATGCAGTGCGCCCTCATCTGCGCGGTGTTTGGGCTACTTACGGGATTGGTTCATGAGACCGAGAGAACCGTCGAGCGCATAGAGCGCCAGCGGCAAGCCGGGACTGCCATTCCGGAAGGTGCAGTGGCGGGCCTGCCGACTGTGGATGGCCTGGCACGGGTGTTTGGACCGTTGCTCCTCGGGGCCGATGGGCGGGCACGAGGCACGGGCGGCGGAGTGGTCTTGCACAGTGAGGATGTGGAGCAGGAGGTGGAGGAGCAGCGCGTGGCGGAACTGCTGATTCTGAACTGGCGCGACGTGAGCCGCCAACTGAAGTTGTGGGCGCGGTATGGGTATCCTGCACGGATGATGATGCCACCACTGACGGACGACTGAGCAGTTAGGGCTTTGCGGGTATACCCTGTCTCCCGAGTACATATTTTATTGTCTGCATTATTAATTAGCGAATCCTTTGCTTCATTCCAAAAGCCAGTTTTAGAGGTGTAGTTCAACTGGAGTCCACTTGGCAGGAAATGTAGGCCTGTGAGTGGACGGCATTAGATCCCGTCACACTTGCTGGTTCCTGTTCTTGACCCGACCCACCTTGTTTATAGTTCACCAGTTGGTGATGTCAAACGGGGCGTTCCAGAAGCTTCACTATGCTTGGGATTATTATGTGTATTATTTACATGGTCTGCTCTATCCTGTCTTCTTTCTCTCTCCTTTCTTCCCCCACGCCAACCTCCTCCGCTTCTACCCACTTCTCTGTATCACGTCCTTTGTGCCACCCTGCCACGCCCATCGGCTACTTCTGCTGCGATTCGCCCGGATCTGTTGGACCGCAGGAAGGAAAGCGCTGTCCGACCGTGGTTTTCGTCGACCGCAAGGCGCTTCTTCAGGCACCGGCAGTCCGACCACCCGTGGTTCTCTCCCTTCCTTCACCCCTCCTAGGCCTCTCTGTTCGCCGGGTCTTGACGCCGCAGACTTTCCCCCTGCGTATGATTGGTGTGGACTGTTTGCTTCGAGTCTGCACAGCTTCAATCCTCCGTTTGTAGTCTGTCTTGCACTCTCTCCCTCTGTGATGTGAGAGAGACTCAAGACACAGAGTCCCACCTTCCCTTCCTACTGCTGACTGCACAACATACTCAACCCTTACTTACCACGCCGGGATTTAATTGGGCCATGTCTGCAAAGAGATCCAGAAACCCTGTTACCCTGCCTCCCTCCGACACCGTCGCCATCGTTGGGGGCCCCTCACCCTGCCCCAAGGCCTTTCCCTCGGGTGACCTCCTAGGGCTGCCCATTATGGAGGATGACCAGCAGCTCTGGGACCTCAGCCCCGTCTCACCGTCCATGGGCGGAGTCTGGGACATGAAGCCCGATGCTACAGTGTTTGCCAACTCGCTCGAGCGCGATCTCAAGAATGCCCAGGTGCGCAACGGCCAGCCGACTCCGCCGCCCTACGACGACCAGGCTGCGCGCGTATCCGGTATCCTGGACACAGACAACGCTACGCAACGTCGCCGAGTCCGCGAGGCCAAGACCGCAGCTGCTAGTCTCAGTCCTGATCTCGACTTCGACGATTCACCCCGCCAGGAGCGCGCGAAGCGGGCTAAGTTCCTCGAGCGCAACCGCCTGGCTGCTAGCAAGTGTCGCCAGAAGAAAAAGGAGCACACCCAGCAGCTGGAGGTGCGGTTCAAAGAGCAGTCGGAAAAGAATGCGCATCTGCACAAGGAGATCCATGAGTTGAAATCGCAGGCGCTGAATCTCAAGAATGAGCTGCTCAAGCATGCTCAGTGCAATGACGAGGCGATCAAGCTGCACCTGTCTGCCATGGTTAGCAAAATCACCGAGAATAATGTCGATCCCCAGGCCGCGCAGGCTGGCGCAGCCGCGGCCGGGGTGGTGACCGATGTCTCTGCTGAGCTGCCTGATGCCGGCACTGTACCCGTGGCTGCTGAACCCGCTGAGATGCTCCCAACTCCTCGTCCGCCTGTTCCCACGGTCCTCTCGTTCGGCTTCGACGACACGCTGCAGCTGGAGCCCGCTGCAGCGGCTGCCGCGGCGGAGGCCTTTGAGCAGCAGCTGCGCCGTGACTCGGAGGCCTCACTCGATTCCTCTTACACCTTCTCTGCCGACGAAACCTTTGACGACCTCATCAACGTCTGATGCTCCCGCTTCTTCTTTTTCTCATGTGATATGAATATTGTCTTTTCTGTGGGGTGGTCAGCGATGGCGTTTTGAATCTGGATTTTGAAAAACAAAATCGCTCCTTTGATGTTCATGCGTTGCCTTGGGGGTTCTGCTAGCGAGTGAGTACTGGGTTGGGAATGGTGGTTTATGGCGTTTTCTGGAGGGAATCACTGTGTATTCTTTTTTGTCCTCGTTTTCTTTGCTGGTTTCTTCTTACTGTTTATTGGAAGGCTGAGAGAATTTGCTTGATCTCTCAGGAAGTGTCCGAACCCGGTCGAGGTCTAGGTCCACCCATCTGGGAATGTAGTCTAGGCTCTACGTCAATTAAATTCCAGGAAGACTGATAGGCCCTCCATGTTGGGACAAAACTGCCTAGGTGAAATCCATTCCCCGGGGCCACTGAGGCATCCTAATAGGCGAATTATCTAATACGGCTACGCATGGATGCCGAACGAACTACCTGTTGATCGTTTGCGAACAGGTATTCTCCGGCTTCTTTTGTCTTTTCTCCTTCAGCTTAGAGAAACTATTTGATAAGAACAAAACACGAACAACAATTTTGTCAGCATGGTCAGACATATCTGGTGTCTGCTGGCAATCAGCGTCGCTCCTGTGGCCTTTACCCACGCCAACCCCTTAATATGCTTGCTGCGTAGTTGATAGACTCAAGGGACCAGTTGACCCAGTGTTTGCCGGTGCGTCTAGTGCCGCACTCCGTGCTTTGGAACAGGCGATGAACTCGGGTCTTAATATTGATGGCCTTTGTCAGGTCCCAGATTGAATCAGCTGGTCGAGCTGGCCTGCTTACATTTAGAGAAAGGCATTCTTTTTAATCATGGGATATAGAGACAGTGGTCAGTCATTGGCCATTGTATGCTTTATCCAGTCAGGAATCAACCAAACCAAATACGAAACCAAAAAACTAAGCCTATAAAAATGTCATTCGCATCTAGCAGTCTAAATTCACATTCTAAAAACGCATCCAGTGCATTTGTGGAAGGCCGTATGAGTATGTACAAACCCCAGGATATATGTAAGTCCAAAAAAGCCGCCCAGATCTCAAAAAATCATCTGCAAGAACAAAAAGCCCGCCGTGAAAGCAGTCAAGCCCGTCCGGCGGTCGATTCCTCGACATGTGTGTCGTTGGCTTTATCGATGGTAGACGTCTTGGCAACGGAGATCGAGTCCGGGTCAGCATCCCGGTACTGAGACGGGGAGTCGGCAGAGTAAGACTGCGCATCGTCATCCTCAATATCCTTGACAGAATGGCCGTCGAACATCTCATTGATCTCCTCTAGAGACTTGCCAACGGTCTCCTTCAAACAGAAGATGGTGAACAAAAGGATCAGCACGTCCAGCCCGCCGAACAGCAGGAATGTGCCCCAGCCGATGGCGGCCATGATGTAGGGTGTGGAGAAGCTCCAGACAAAGTTGAACAGCCACTGGGCTCCCACGCCAAAGGCCACGCCGGGCTCGCGGATGCGCGTCGGGAAGATCTCGCTGGTGCATGGCCAGGGCAGTGGGCCCCAACTGAAGTTGTATGCCATGATATCCAGGTAGATGAGTGCGACGGTGGCAATCCCCGCTGAGGTGACGGGCCCATCCTCGCTGGGTGAGTGCGTCTTCACCACCGCAGCGGTGATGACCATGCATATGGACATGAAAATAGCGCCGCCGGCCAGCACGGGTTTCCGACCAAATCGGTCAGACATGAACAGCACAAAGAGCAGACACGAGATCACCTTGATGGCACCGAAGATGCCCGTTAGCAACAGGTTCTTGTCACCGGGTCCGACGAGAATGGAAAAGAACTGCGGGCCGAAGTAGGCCAGCGCCGTTGAACCCGTCGACTGCTGGCCCAGGAAGAGGCCGCCGGCAATCAGGAGCCGCTGACGATTAGGACCCTCGAGCAGCTCGGTCATCTTGAACCCGGCCGTTGCGTGCTTTTCCTCCTCGAGTCCGTGGCGGATCTCTGCGAACTCGTCGGTCACAGCCTGCGAATCACCCGCGCGGATCCAGACCATGCTCCGCCAGGCCTCTGCTGTCTTGCCCTTGGCCAAGAGCCAGCGTACACTCTCGTCCAGCGTCAGCATACCAAGGCCCATCATCGCTCCGGGAACAAGCTGCAGGCCGATGGGTATCTGCCACTGGGCAGGGGTTGCGGCCATAAATTTGACGCCGTAGTCGATCCAGTACGATACCAGGATGCCGATGGTGTAGGATAGCTGGTAGCAGCTACCCAGCCGACCACGGATCTCTTTGGGACTCATTTCGGACATGTAGATGGGGATGACGGTGGCAGAGCCGCCAATGCCGAGACCACAAATCACTCGTCCGACATAAAATGCTGGCAGCGAGTGCGTGTCGATGACTTCTAGCACCACACCGATACAGAAGAGGAGCGAGCACAGCGCCATTGCCATGCGCCGACCTAAGCGGTTGGTCACGGGCCAGATGAGGAAACAGCCGACGAATGCACCAGCCTGCTGGATACCGACTGCAATGGAGCTCACTTTGGTTTCCTTGTCCGCAGGGATCTGAAAGGAGTCTTGGAAAGAAGAGAATGTGAGGACGCCACCTAGTGGGATCGTATGTTCAGCATATTGCATTCTATCAGACTTGGGAGCACTGTACCAATAACGCCCGAGTCATATCCGAATAAGGCGCCGCCGCAGCAGAGCACGGTAGCCAGCCAGTACGTGCGCCATCGAGCTTTGTCCAGGCGCAGTAATTCCATCTTGGGGTCGTCTTCACGCCGTGGAAGCTGGTCAGGGGGTTGGTCAAGCGGGAGGTCCGACTGGGGAATCTGCGAGTACGACTCAAACGGAGAGAGCGAGGTATAGGACCACCAGCTTCGGAATCGCTCCCGCCAAGTCGAGAAGATGGAGTCAGGAGAGAAGGACGAGGACCGGGGAGGCGATCTTGATATACCCGAGCTGGGGATTGCATCGTCCGGCATAATTGCGGAGAGCGGATACAGTGAACCACTCTGCGAAGTAGGCGAGATGGTCTTCCGGCGCGGTTCGTGGTCCCAGTGTTACCAGACTGGCCAGTTCCGCGCTTGGCTCCGGATTCGCTGGCGTATTATGTCATTGGCTCCAGCCGAGAGCCGATGTATAGAGGGGCGCCAAAGAGTGGAGATATCACGCCACTGCTGAGCTCCATTTGAGTTGATTGTGTTTTGGAACGAGCTAGTCCGAAGGTCCAAATATTCTGTGTCAGGAACACGGTCAAGACCGACAGCAAATTGAAGCCGGGCTTACAAGGTCAGGTGATCCACTCCGTACAACCAACATACGGTAACGGAGCAGCCATCAGTGCGGGCCGAGCACACCCCGCATGTACTTTTACCGCCCCATGACACTCCTCGGGCATCACGGCATCGTGTCAATGGCGCTCGTCTGTCCTGTCGATCAGGTCCACTTGTCTGTTCGTCTAACTCCAATCGCAGCCGATTGCCGATACTCGTTGACAGCGCAGCCGAGCACGAAATACCGCTCTCGGATGGTGCAGTGCCCTCGCTCCTATCGGAGCGCAGGGACCGGAGCTGATCCGAGTCGCGTGTCGCAGGTATAAGAATGCAGGCACAATGCCCCTCCTTGTCCCCGCCTAAACCCCCTCCTTTTTCCTCGCGGCTCGTGGCCTGTTGAACAGAACCCGACTCTTCTCTCTCCCTTTCTTTTCTACTCTGTCCTTCGATTCATCATGACCAAACGCCCTAACTTCCTCGTCATCGTCGCCGATGACCTTGGCTTCTCCGATGTGGGCTGCTTCGGCGGCGAGATTCGTACCCCCAATATCGACAAGATCGCGCAGCAAGGTTTGCGTTTCACAGATTTCCATGCTGCGGCGGCATGCTCGTGAGTTCTTTGCCTATCTCGTATTTTATTTAACAAAAGCTCACGTCCATCCAGTCCAACCCGCGCCATGATCATGACCGGCACCGACCACCACATCGCTGGACTGGGCAACCTCATCGAGTGGACCAACATCTCCGGCCAGAACGGTCCCAAGGGCTCGGCAATGAGCACGGCACCGCAGCGCGGCATGCCGGGCTACGAGGGGTACCTGAACGAGCGCGTCGTGGCGCTGCCGGAGCTGCTCCGCGATTCGGGCTACCACACCGTCATGTCGGGCAAGTGGCATCTGGGCCTCACCCCGGAGCGCTCGCCGCACAAGCGCGGGTTCGTGCGCTCCTTTGCTCACCTGCCCGCCTGCTCCAACCACTATGCCTTCGAGCCGCAGCTGAAGGACGAGGACCAGATCCCCACCTTCATTGAGGCGTCGTACATTGCTCTGCACATGGAGGATGGCAAGTACGTGCGTAAGCTGCCCGAGGGCTGGTACTCGTCCGATGGCTACGGTGACAAGATGGTGGATTACCTGCGCGAGTGGAAGGAGACCGGAGGCAGCGATGGCCCCGATGGCAACGGAGACCGTCCTTTCTTCGGCTACCTGCCCTTCACTGCGCCGCACTGGCCGCTACAAGCGCCCCGGGAGTACATCGACCACTATCGTGGTGTGTACGATGAGGGTCCAGATGTGCTCCGTCAGAAGCGTCTGCAGCGCCTGAAGGACCTGGGCATGATTCGCGAGGACGTCGAGCCACACCCCGTTAACGCTGAGGAGGTCAAGGAGTGGGAGGACTACTCACCCGAGGAGAAGAAGATGTCCTGCACGGCCATGGAGGTATTCGCCGGGATGGTCGAATGCATCGACTCCAACGTCGGCAAGGTCGTTGAGTACCTGCGTGAGATCGACGAGCTTGATAACACCTTCGTCTGCTTCATGTCTGACAACGGCGCCGAGGGTGCCGCGTACGAGGCCTACCCCATGGTGAAGAACGGTGTGATGCCGCACCTGCAGAAGTACTACGATAACAGCTTGGAGAACCTGGGCAACGGCAACAGTTTCATCTGGTACGGTCCGCGCTGGGCGCAGGCCGCCACCGCGCCGGGCCGCCTGTACAAGGCGTACACGACCGAGGGCGGCGTGCGCGTGCCTTTCGTCTGCCAATTTCCCAAGAGCGTCGGCGTGAACCCCGGCGACTCCACGCCCGCTACCAACGGCATCACCGACCAGTTCGCCACGGTCATGGACCTGGCCCCCTCCATCCTGGAGATGGCGGGCGTCAAGCATCCCGCCCCGACCTACCAGGGCCGCGAGGTCGTGACGATGCGCGGACGCAGCTTCTACCCCTGGACCGTCGGGAAGTCCGACCGCATCCACCCCAAGGACTTCATCCAGGGCTGGGAGACCTGCGGTCGTGCCGCTCTGCGTTGCGGAGACTGGAAGATCGTCTTCATTCCCAAGCCCAAGGGTCCCGAGCGCTGGCAGCTATACAACCTCGTGAAGGACCCCGGTGAGATACACGACCAGTCTGAGCAAGAGCCCGAGAAGCTCAAGGAGCTCCTCAAGCTCTGGGATCAGTATGTCCTAGAGACGGGTGTCATCCCGCTCTGCCCTCAGCTCGGCGAGTTCCTCGAGGCCACTGAGGCCCAGATGCCCGAGAATGCTTGGATGGAGTTCGACTATTGGAAGGAGGGTGCGCGTGATACCCCGGAGAAGTTCACTCGCCAGCCACCACGCTTTGAGCGTGTCGTCAAGCAGTGGTAACCCCCTTTTTTTTTGGATTGTTTGTAATGATACCTATGAGCAAAAATTATATATTCTTATTCCCTTTGATGATTTCTTGCTTCAGTCGTATTCACCTGGATTCTTCGTACAACACAACCCCTTAACCACCAGCGTCCGCACCAAATATGCGCCTGTATGAGGCCCTAATCCAAAGCCATGGAAATAAAACTGAATAGAATTCACGTATATAGTGCCAGCCCGATTAAAATATTTGATCAGTTGGTTTCGTAGGACATGCGCAGCATTACCAACCTAACCTAGACTAACATCTCCAGCCTTTATTTGGCCTGGAGGCAGCAGTCCTTTTAACAGGTTCGCGTCTTCAATATCGTCAAAATTTGAAAGCTTAGCCCAACCATGTTCGGCAACCCATATAGCTTCTTTTGAACCTTCATCAAAACACCCATATGCAATGTCTTGAATGAATAAGAAGCCGAATGTGTATACAAAACGTCGGGACTCCCCATAGGAATATTTTAGAGATCGCAGAATCTCACGAGCGAGACCTTGAGTGTCGGATGATATACCAAGTAGAGCCGTTTTATTTGGCACGTCCAGAACACATTCTTGATCAATTGTTCGGATCGAGCTGCGGGATAACTGGAGCGTATGCCACAACTGCAGTAGCAAGATTCGTATTGCATCGTAAGTACAAACCGTAAAGGCTGTCCACAAGGTGTCGTATCTTAGATGCGTGGGAAAGAGTGATTCGCTGGCTGCCCAATGTGAAGTGACTTCCGTAGCAGCTTGTGTATGCTCCGGTTCCCACTGGTGCCACCAATTATTCAACTCTTGGAGGGAAGTGGCAACTTGAGTTCTGAGATGAGAATACTCAAATTCCTGGCCGCCCCTGCTGCTGCGGTATTTTTTTAGTTGAGAAATGTATTCAGCAATGTCTGTCCCGATATCGACAAGATAATCAATCTCAGATTTCGATGCCGGTTTATCTTCCCATGGCACCGTTTTCCAAATAGGATCATGAAGAAATGTTCTCTGACGAGAGACGATTGCTTTCGCTACCTGTAACCTGTCAGATATTGGCTTGTCGAACTGAGATGTCTCCTACCAGTATAATACGGTGCTCAAGAAATATGCTTTTCGCAGAGTATGACTTTTGTTGCTGCGGGCCTCTCCACTCCAAAAGCCGACCAAGGCCATCTGCGTGCAACATCCAAGTTTTCTGTGTCCTGGACGCTAGTATCTGCACCCGTCAATATCTTTCTGCATTGATGTGACCCCGTGGCTTACCTCATAGATGCAAAGAGCAGTCATAGACGCTAACGTCCTTTCAGTACACTGATCATCAGGATCTGAAAGTTTATTGCGAAGTTCCGACAAAGCCTGTCCGTACAATTTGAGTGCGCTCGTTACCACATCTGGGCTGTTGTGGGATTGTCCGAAAACAACCGCAGCCAAAGCATCCCACGACCTTTGGCGCGGCCTTTGAGGAGACTTGACCAACTCTGGAATCCAATGTGTCGGTAATCCACACTTTATTTCCCGCGTAGCATTCAGTGGATGTCGGTACTCTGCTCCAAACAACTTGGAAAATAGATAGGATATGAATATGTCGTCCTTGAATGCCGTTAAAGGCAACGTATCTGCTAAGAAAGGAGTAGGGCCTGGAGGCTAGAATCGGTAAATTAGATTCGAATAAGATACAAAGTGAGAATTTCTTTGTTACCGTAGAGAATTTATGGGACTGGCCACGAGAGGCTACCGAGGAGCGTCGGATGCGGGGCGTTTCGTCCACAAATCTGAGCCGTGGTGTGAACCCAGTGCATTCAATGCCCGCCTTACAACAACGTTTGCACCATGGGCGGTTTTCATCACATTTGACCTTTCTTCTTTTGCAGGATCCGCACCCTTTACTCAGCGCTCCCATAGCATGAGCATTCGGTATCAAGAAACGCTACGATAGTGAAACAGACTGGAGGTGCGAATTTGGATATTGAGAAGACCCTGAGGATAAAGTTAAAGCGATTAAAGAAGAAGGTCGCGCATAGTACCATGTTTTGGGAACCATGAAGTTGTGGTTAAGTTAGTCCTACAGCTTACAAACCGCCAATATTCGAATGTGGAGCCCAGTGAGCTCGCACAAACACCCCTAAAAGAAGTCTAGCGCGATCGGCCCATATTCATCCGGCCATTGACGAAAGTGGACTTTCGACCAGCTCCTCGCGGATTTAATCTGCGCACCAAAGCTGCTCATCGGCTCGTCGGAATGATGAACAGAGCGAGGCTTAGAAATCCTGGTCATAATTCATCAGGTTCGGGGCAACTTCTCGCCGCGATCAATTCAGAGTCCGTTCTCGTATCTTGAGAAAAGGGTATATAAAGGTATACTGATATCGATCATGACAACCCCATCAAAATCACTTCTACCTTGATATTACTGCAGGTATTGGATCATTATCTTGATTTACAGCCGTTTGCTAAGACCGCCACTTAGGAAACAACCGATACATCGCTATTATCATGGCGGAACAGCACCCTCCCAACAGCCTCCGTCAGACTAGTCGGTTCATTACAGGCCACACCGCCAATGGCCTTGCAGTCTTCAACAAGGACATCCCCGAAACAATTCCTGCCCAGAATATACCTACTGGCGATGCTTTGTACCTCGGATATGCTACGAACCAGTTCCCGATCGACTTGAGCAAAGACTTGGGAACCTATCAGCACTATCTGACCAACACTCCAGGATTTACCATACCCGGCGGCACTGTGCTGTGTCTGATAGACTTGGCTCCCGCAAGCATTAGCCCCTTGCACCGGACCATGTCGCTCGACTATGCTGTGGTGATAGAGGGAACCGTGGAGCTAAAGTTGGACAGCGACGAAGTGAAGACGCTGCAGCGGGGCGATATCGCCATCCAGCGCGGGACGAAGCATCTGTGGCGAAACACTAGCAAGACAGAGTGGGCACGTGTCCTCTTCGTGCTACAGGAGTCGAAGCCGGTTGAGATTGACGGTGAGACACTGAAAGAAGACTTGGGGTTTTAGGGATGGGTGGTGTTCCAGCACCAGACTCCTGAGAATATCCTGTACATATGTATGCAAGAACTATATTACATCTACCATCAGACAAAGCGCAAAAGGAGACTCGTAAACAACAAACACGCTGATGTACGTCAGATATATCCAACCCAGGAACGAAAAAACACTAGATCATGACAAAGAAATCCGAAAACAATTCCCTGCGTACGGACCGCGAGTCCGCCCAAGTGCGCGAGACATCCTGCCGCCGAGTCATCTCCTCCAACAGAAGCAAGACCTTATCCACTGAAGGATGGCGGTTTATCGCTGCAGCCGGATCCGTCTCGCGGCGCGCCGCGGCCATGCGCTGCATCTCATGGACGATCCACTGTCGTTGGTCTGCAGAGCCCTCGAGGCCAGCGACGAAAAGGGGATACAGAAAGCTGACGGGCAGGTGGCCCGGTTCGGAGCCGGCGGCGGACTCAACGGTGGCGAGCTGGATGATCTGGTCTACGGCGCCGTTGACGCGGTCGGTGCGCGGGTAGATGGCAAAAGCCACGCGGTGGAGATAGATGAAGTTGGCAAGGAAGTTGGCGACGTACTGCCGGAATGTACGGCAGATTTCGTTCGCAATAGGTGCGCAAAGCGTGTCGGTTAGGGCTTCGGGTCGGCCATAAACGTCCACGACGGGTGGGCGCCGGTGCCAGAGGGTCTCAAGGTCGGCGCCGACTTTGTGTGCGATCTGGAGGACCTCGAATTCGTCGCTGAGGGTGCCTCGGCTCCGATGATGTAGATCTATGCAGACGATGCGCCGCACGACCTGCTGCGCTTGGACAAAGAATCGAAACGCGGGGCTCACGATTGCTTCGTAGACGAGGTAGCTGGGGCTGCGAAAGGGATCTTCGTAATCGGAGTCGCTGTTGCGGTCCTCGGGGGTAATAGGAGCAGGCGCAGGCGCTCTAGTCGTCCGCGGACTGTGCATCTCAGAAGGATTTGATGCTATCCCATGCTCTGACACATTCCCCAGCTCAACGAGCGGGTCGCCATCTCGGCCAGCGATCAAGGCTTTGACATCAAGCAGGGATACCCAAGATACCAGGAGATGCCCGAGTCCAGTCCATGACCGGGTACGGGCGTGAAAGCGTTGTAGGAGGAGGTAAGAAGAATGGATATATGAAGTACCCGGGGAACACAACTCGGGTGAGGAGAGAAGCTATTGCAATGTCAGTGACGTTTATCTTGCGAGAGAAAGCAAGACATCATACCTCGGATAACATCAGGAGAAAGACCGCAGCGAAAACCTTGACCAACGTCGACTCGGCCACCTCACCCAACAGACAAGCTTGGATTTCCGAGCTGGCCACCCGGTAATACGTAGGCGCCCAGTTCCATTGCTTCCCCTCCAGCATTGCTCTGTGGATGTCCGAGTAGCAGTAGACGGCATTTACGAGGGGGCTGAAATCACGCGCATGTGCCAATATCGCTGGTCGCACGTACTTCCACTCCATTGCCACAGGGCCAAATATAGCTGCTGGCGGATCAATGGTTAAGAAATGCTGCAGCAGTTGATCCTCGTACGAGGCAGTTCCGGGGTCTGACCAGCTGCCGCGCGTGTCCGAGGCGCTGCCCATCGAGTCGATGAGCGAGGACGGTGCATCCGGACTAAGCGGTGTTTGCCGGTCTGCAGCAAACGACGGTCTCTCTTCCCCGTTGTGATTTGGTGCAATACTTGCAGGAAGCGACTGCGGCGTCGGACTGGCGGTGAACGAGGCGGCAAGCCCGCTTGTCAAGTCGAGATGTTTCTGCTCCAGTTCCGAGGTGATTCCGCCCATAAATCCAAGCATATCAAATGGACCTCCCATATCGGGTGGGTAGGACTCCGGGTCCGGTGGCAATCGGCGCAGCGGGGAAGCCGCCGCGGGAATGGTTTTGTGATGTTCATCGGAACGGAGCACAGTGTTGAAAAAATTCAGATCCGGCGAGCGCTGCGAGGCGTTTGCAGCCGCAGCTACCGCCGCCGCAGCCGATGCCAGGCCCCCCAGCGCGGGCGCTGGAGAGGGTGTTGGCGGTGCGGCGGGAGTCGCGGGTTGTGAGCGAGACGACCACGGCGATCCACCAAGCGAGAGGGGCGGTTTGTAGACGCAGCGCAGGCGCAGTCGATCGCAGTTTGCGCAGCTGGGTTTGGTCTCATCGCACCGCACCTTGCGAGCCCTGCACGTCAGACAGCCCGTTCGGCGGCGCGGGCCTGACCTGCCTGGTCCCCGGGCTTTGGGCACCTAGTAACGCAGAGCAATATGGGTCAGCGATAAACGTCTCATGGGGTCAGTAGTATAGCGCACCTCCATGATGCGAACAAATGCCGAATTGGCAGAGCCAGAAGCATAGTCGAGGTTAGATAAAGAAGAAGAAGGAATGGCGAGCGTGACCTGGTTTTCCCCGCAATAATTGAGGTGATCCACATTTCGCCGGCTAAAAACTACATGTAGAGATCGGGAATGATATAGGTCATGCTGCTAGTATATCATGGTCTATAATTACGCTATACATCACTTTGTCCGTCCGCAATAGGCTGGGCCCATTTGTCGCCGCCCAGACACCGCGATCGGTGCAGTAGATGCCCCCGTTCCTGGCGCACATACGCTGCAAAGCATGCAGCCGCCACAGTGACAGCCCCACAGCTGATTAGCACGGGATACTGGAACTGTTGGGGGCGTGAGAACACAATGGTGGATGCAAATGAGAGCATCTCGAAGATATTCTGTAGTGCCATCTCCGTCGACGAGAAGCGCGCGCGTGCGTTCTCCGGGACACTCTGTATATGAAGTTTTAGTATGTGCAATAGCAGATAGCAGGGTTGAACTAACGTCTTGCACCAGGAATTGCACCGAAAGATCAAAGCCCCAGAGCCCGATTCGACTCAGAGCCACTCCTACAATGAGACTGCCCGCAACCAACTGCGAGCTGGCATCAAAGAAGATGTATGCTGCTGCGCCGCCAGCCACACAGCACAACTGCCAGTTAAGGAACCACAGCCCGGATCGAATGGGACCGATTCGGCTCATGATGAACGGCGCTGTCCAGGTCCCGGACAGTTCGGCGGCCACAGATCCGATACGCATGGCGCTGACCTCCAATGAATTGAAACCCGTGTGCAGAAGGTAGGTGACCATGGTTCCGCCAAAGGAGAGAACGGTGAGGTAGAGCAGACTGAGGGCGAATGATGCCAGAAACACCCGGCTGCTCAAGTACTCCCGCCAGGGAGCTACCGCGTCATGCCAGTGCGGGAGTATCCTGCGGTCTTCTTCATCATTGAAGACCGAGGGCGGTGCCCTTGCCAAGGCAGGGACCGCTCGATATACCTGTCAATATGTTAGAGTTTGGAGACACATGGAATAGAGAGCACTTCATGCCTGGGCAATGGCCAAGTACTCGACCAGCACAGAAGCAGTGTTCAAGCCGAACACGGTCCAAATGGCACTCGCGGTGGAGAAACTATCCACTAAGGAGATGAACACAGGAGCCAGCAGCTTGCAGAAGAGATCGATCAGTCTCATAGATGCATTTAGATCTGCAGTCAGGATGAGATGAGGCAAGATATAACCTTGCAGGAGTGGAGTTACCTTGTCGAGGAACATTGATAGATTCAGAAATCACAATCGCCTAGATTAATCATGTTAGTGACAAAAAAAAAAGGATTCACAGTACCAGGACGCACCCAATCTCGTTCCACAGCCACCGTATTAGCCGTTGCAGCTAATTTCTCCACGCAAGCCAACAAGCCCACGGCGACGAATAGGACGAGAGTGATTGCGGGGTCGTCTGTCGCCAGAAGAACGACAAAACACAAGCAAGAGACTGCGACAGAGCCTCTCTGCCAAACTAGAAATTAACCATCAGCTCTTGGTCACCACTTTTTAAGGAAAAATCACCAACCAATTGAATGCCTCACGGCTACCAGGCGATCCGCCCGATCAACCCGATCTCCTAACCACGACGACAGCGCCACGGCTGCCAAGGCCCGAACCAGGGCATAGATCGAAGCATATAGTAGTGTTCCGGGGAAAACAGAAGCTAGGAATAGGACGGCGCCGAACTCAAACATACGCGAGTTCCAGGCGGACAGGCTGTGCGAAAGATATAGTCGCAGCAGCACTGAGCGGACTCCCGTGGCAGGCTCAGCATCAAGTGAGGATGAAGCCTCGTCGGGAGAAGAGGGTGGAAGGAAAGGATCGGAAGCGTTGGAGTCTTCCATATTTTGGCCTCTAATAATATGTGAGGTTGATATTAAGAGTGGGAAAGGAAAAAGAAAGTGAGAGAAAAGTGAGAGTTTGAGGACCTTGGGAAGTATCGCTGGAAGTAAGAGTGCCGGGTGGGCCGACTCTTTTTACAACGAGAATGTGGGTCGCGCCACTATTTTGCACGATTTTACCAACACTGCAATTTTCCGACTGTATTCAACCCTTGAGCAGGTGCTTCACCGTTTTGGCCAAGACAAAATTCCAAACAAACCGAGGCCATTTTCATTCCAAGAAGAGCTACAACCCACACCGCCAGCGAAGAGCACTCCCTCATGTAAAACAATGACTTTATCTCCTCCGGGCGATGGGGGAAAAAATCAAGTGACAGAGTCTCTAAAACTCATCAATTACCTTTCTCCATGCAGACGTGAAAGAGTGCTTTGGCAAACGCCATGTCTGCCCGGCGCCAGGATGGATACCTTCGCTATCGACTGTGTCTTTTGCCGCTGTAGGCATCATTTTCCAAATGTCGCGCTGAGAGGTATTGAGGGAGAACATTTGATCCATGATAGCAGGGTGGGTTCGGAAACCTTCCCATCGGTGGGTGATAGAGTCCTTGAGCAGATTTCGCACTAGATCTTGCGCCTCCTTTGGGGCGTCGGCGTCGTACGTCTCGAAAACAATGTGGATATTATGGACTAATCGATCCTCCATGACCACAAATTCACTCATCGGTCCATAGCCTGCTTTCTGGGCTCGTTCCGTAAATGCAAGATGCATCGTACGCACTGTCGGCCAGTGATACATCGGGATGTCCAGCTGCACATCGTGTGTGTGTCGTGGGATACGCCAGATGTCAAGTCCATCCATCGGTCGATGAAGAGAATCGGGGCGACCCTCATTCTTGGATGTAGTCCCGAAGGCTACCAGAAGTTTCTTTTTCTGGGAAGCAGAAGTTGAAGTCGTCGATTACTTTGAACGATTTTTGAATAACCTCCCAGCTCGCGTCCAACATCGGTCCCTGCTGAATGACGCCGTATAAACCCCAACATCCTAGCTTTTCGTTCTTGTGCGAGTGAAGATAGTGCTGAGTCGTCCAGTAGAGTATTCGTTGGATTGAGTGACGATCTTGGAGGCATCACTGCTGCATGTAGAAGGAGGTGATGGAGGTGGATGTTGTGGTTGATCACGCCGTTAAGGCTAAGCTCTGGAGCGATGTCGATGATGCGCGGTAAGTCCTCACCCTTACTAAAGGTTATGAGGAACGGGTGACATTCCGATATCCTTGGACGTAGCTGCAAGACATACGTCAGTACAGATATGCGTAGATAGATAAGTGATGGATCTTCGCTCACGTTTACGGCCTGTCGAATGTATATCAGCGGCTGCTAAACAATTCCTCTGCATTTGGAAAACTTACGACCTTCACGACAACCCCAAGGCTCTGCAATGGGACCAGTATCAAGGTCTTTATAAGACAGTCGTATTTCGAAACAAGGACCTGAGACTTTCCCTTCTTCAACAAGGATACTATACTTATTTCGGAGAAGAATAAAGATCCAATTGGAACAAAACAAAGAATACTGGATAGTTACATGTTTATTCTTGCCACAGGAGCCCCTGCGGTCCTTGAGCAGTGCGCCGAGCCAAGACCTCCGTCACCTTCTCGCGCACGCCCTCCTTCTGCTTGTATCGCTGGACAAACTCCTCCACCGTCTTCTTCTGCGACACTCCATCTGCCCGCACAAATTTCTCAATCTCCGCCTCGGAGGGCAGACTAAAGCGCTCATGCGGGTAACGGTTGTAGTCACCCTCACTGAGCAAGGGCAGCCGGGTCTCGCCCTCGGGGATGGAGAAGAAGGCATCCACGGCCTCCTGGGAGACTTCCTGCAGCGTAGCGGGCTGCCACTGGGCCTGGCGCGCAGGCTTGGACATCAAGCGGGCCTTGACACCCTCCACGAAATCCGGGTGTCGCATGAAGTTGGCGGCGATCGAGTGCTCCCGCTGGAAGGTCTCCGTGATGCTCCATGTCTTGCCCAGACGCAGCTGGCGCAGGGTCACCTTGAGCGAGGTCGGGGAGCGGATCGACAGGGTCTCCAGCGTCTTTTGGGCCCATTCCTTCTGCTCGGTTTCGTTCTCCAGCGCCTGGAAGATCTCCTCCACCGTGTTGAACTTGAAGCAGCGGTCGATCGCCGCGCGCAGGTTAGCTGCCAAAAGGATAGGCTCTTCCTGGGTAGACGGCAGACCGAGCGAAAACTCGGCCATTGTCTTGTTCACGATGTCCAATCGCTCGGGCAGATCCATGTGGTCCGGGAACACCAGCTCCGCAAGGCGCTGGGACATGTTGCTCAGCGCGCTCGAGTGGAGGTAGTGCGTAGCAATACCGGCGTATAGGGCCTGCACACCGTTCAGGCGCTCCGAGGTCAGGGCCAGGTAGGCGCCGGTCTCGCCGTCCAGTCGGGGCAGGAAGAACGAGCCGCCCACGTCGGGGAAGAAGCCAATGGTCGTCTCGGGCATGGCAAAGACGGTCCGCTCAGTTGCGACCCGGAATGGCGCGTGCATGCTGAGGCCAACTCCACCTCCCATTGTGATTCCATCCATGAACGAGATGACGGGTTTCGAGTACGTAGCGATCAAGTGGTCGAGGCGGTATTCGAGTCCGAAAAAGTCCGTCGACGCTTTCTGTCCCTCAATGCCCTTTTCATTCTGCAGCGCCAGAGCAGCGACGTCGCCGCCAGCGCAGAGCGCCTTCGATCCTGCGCCGGAGATGAGGACGATGTTTGCGAGCTGAGATTTCTCCCATTCCTGCCCATCCAAAACCACTTTAGTATTGGGCAGACCCTGTAACCTAATGAAAAACTGACCTTGAGACGAGGAACAATCTTCCGCGCCATCGAGCCATTCAGGGAGTTGAGTTTCTTCGGCCGGTTGAGCTCGACGCTCCGCAGACCGTAGACCGAGTTGAACAGGACATCGTCGGGCTCGTCACCGGGGAGTTCTGTAGGGATATCGGACGCGGTCGACATCTAGACATTAATCCATCAGCAAGGATTGTTTTCTCATCCAGCGGACAGGACGTTGTGCATACCGGGGCCCGGAAGGCAGGGTTGGTGACCTTGGCACGGAGAGGCATTGCGGGCGCAGAAAACCGCGAGATCCTGCTCGGCGGCGAAGGGAGGCGAGAGAATGAATGCCGGAGTAACATGAAGTCGGCAGAAACAGGAGGGTGGAGGGGGAGGGGGAGGGACAGGTTAGGAACAGTTCGGTGTTGTTCACGTTCTACCGACGACATCCTCGGGATTTTTTTACGATTTTCAGGGCGCCGAGGCCAACCGACGGACAACAGCAACACTACTATTATGGTCATTGAGGTACTAAATGAGAATCTTTTGAGGTAGTAGTAAATGGTATTTATTTATACAGAATGGAAAGAGGGAAAAAAAGAAGCACAGTCTAATACATGGCCCTGGCTAGCCGGCCCGTCAGGTCCGACGAGTGTCTCTTCAGAATCCAGTCCAGCGCTCCCTTCTCAATCACCAGTCTCTTCGTCTCCAGCAAGTTCTTCACGTCCAAGTTCTGCATATTCCTGATGCGGACATGCTGTGCATCAGCAAACTTGGCCATCAGGTCCAAATCCTCCTTCTCGGTAATGAATGTCAAGAGACCGTGTTTCCGGTCCCATCCGTGCGCTTGAAGGATATTCCTCATCAAATGCGGTGTTGAGTCGGTCGGCACAGAGATTTGGTTATCGATCACAGTCAATTGCTCCTTCTTGTACCGGTAGCTCAGCGCGATGCGCCAGGCCTTGTCGTAGATCTTGCGAGGCAGATCGGTTCCAAAATCGCGAGGATGAGGGCCGTGGGCAACACCACCTCCTCGGCGGATGGGCGACTGCTTGTCACCTACACGCGCCCGGCCAGTGCCCTTTTGTGGTGCCATCTTTCGGTGACTGCCGTGCACGTCGTCTCTCCATTTCGTGCTGGCTGTGCCTTGGCGGGTGTTGTCGCCCTCGAATACAATTGCGCGGTGAAGAATGTCTTTCCGCAGAGGCATCAACAGTTGGTTCTCTTTGTACTGAGCAAGGCTCTTGGGTTCCATTGTAAGGAAGTCGTAGGTCATGACATGGACTTTGCGTGTGGGCCATTGGGCCTGGGCGGGAATCTCTGTCGTGAGGTTGGCAGTGGAGGATTGGGCCTGTGCCTCAGTCGCCATGGACCGTGCAAGACATTGGCGCTGTACATATCGAAGAATGATTGTCAATACAAGCAAACGGGGGAAGACGGCACATCGAGGATTGAACATACCGTCAGCATCTCTGGTCCAGACATGAGACCACTTGAGGGCCGTGACGCCCATCTCAGCGCCCGGAAAACTTCGCCCGGCATGGTGACAGTGACAAGCAGAGTATGGACAAGTGGTTATGGTGTTGGTAGAAGAGGAAGCAAAAGTTGCGGTTGCGGGCGGTGAAGGAGTGTTTCTGCCCCCCGGAAAAGTTCCCTCTCAAACACTGTCTATTCCCCTTCACAACACTCAACATCGCCAGCATGGCTCACTGCGAACGGGCGTCGAAGCCATTGCTTCAATGCCTTCGCTCAAACTACTCAAGAAGTCTCGCGGGCGTTCAACGCCATGGGTTTCATTCGACCACTGTCGCGGCTAGCGAAAAGGCCCCGGCCGAGTCGACGAGTGAACCATTCTACAAGTCTCCAGATCCGACACTTGTTTCGAGTCCCCGGCTAGAAAGACAACTGATGCGCGGAGGTGTTAATCCGATTGGGTCTCGTCGACGTCGTGCCGCGTTGCAGGGCTCATCCAACCTGCCCTTTGAACAGTTGCCGTACCAATGCTTCCAGGAAGCGCGCAAGATTCTACAGGCGGACCGGGAGGAAAAGCTGGCCGAAATCCAGAAGATGGAAGTAAGGATTGCGAATCTGGAAGCCACACCGACCGAGCAGATGGGGGAACAGGCAAAGAAATCCAAGTTGCCAGCGATGCGAATCCACCTGGATAAACTCAAGATTCTAGCGGATATCAACGATCCTCTCGTGAAGAGGAAGTTTGAAGACGGCCAAGGTAAGCGCTTCAATGTCAGTTCATTTCACCGAAGACTAATATTTGTGATTTCGCGACAGGCGATATGAGCAAACCCATTTACCAATATCTGGCCGACCAAAAATGGCGCGAATACCGCCGCAAGATCTTAGTTCAGCGAATCACACAGATGAAAGTGATCCCCGATGTTCTGGCGAAATGTGACCCCGTGGTGGACACCAAGCTTTACTTCGGCAAGCATCAGATTCAGCCTGGCGAGTTCGTCCCCGCGAAAACCACTACCGTCCCTCCCAAACTGGACGTGCAGCTCTTTGAGCGCGGAGAGAAACTGGTCACTATCGCTGTCGTCGACCCGGATGTTCCCAATGTGGAGACGGACAGCTTTGACTACAAGACGCACTTCCTGGCTGTCAACGTCCCCGTCTCGGCCACCGCGACCAAGGTCGATCTCTCTCAGCTTTCGGCGGATTCTCAAATCGTGCTCCCCTGGCTGCCGCCTGTTGCTCAAAAGGGCAGCCCCTACCATCGACTCTCACTTTTCATCCTGGAGCAGAGTGGCTCCAAGCCGCTCGACTTTGCTGCCGTCAAGGCCAGCGAGACTGACCGGGATGCCGTGCGCCTCCGCACTCTGCAGCGCCAATACCAGCTCAAGGCTATTGGAGCACACCTGTTCCGGACTCAGTGGGATGACACGACTCTGGAAGTTATGCAGCAGCTCGGATTCGAGGGTGCGGATATGGAGCTCCGCCGGAAGAAGGTCGAGCCCCTTCCTTACAAGCGGAGAAACCCTTCCTCGTTCAGGTGATTTCCTTGTGGTATTTGTTCTATAGTTGTACTGTACAATTCGATATGTATGAATATGCATCCCAGTCCCTTCCAGAAACCAAACTCCGGTATAAATATGCTGTAGAAGATCGAAAGCGCAAGCAGCCAGTTCCCACTACGCCTCCATTTGTGCCGGCTGCATCGTATTCTTCACCCACTCCATTTTCGACGGCGGCCAAACCCTCGCAACGATCTTCCCATTGATCAGCGCCATAGGGACGGGTCCGTAGTTTCTTGAATCCCTCGACCAGGGCAGGTTATCGCCCATCAGGAAGACATGACCTTCGGGAACCTAAATTGAAGCCAAAAACCCCCAATCAGTAAGATAATTGATTGGAATAACACAAAGAAACCCACCTGAATCATATCCGGCGTCTTCCCAACCTCCGTACTAAACGGCGCATCACGACAGACAAAATCCCCCGGCATGCCGACTACGCGCTTCGCACCGTGGACGCCCAGAAACGTTGGGTGGTTGAAGCGCACCACGTCGCCGACCGCTATCCCCTTGCCATTGCGGTGCATGCGCGAGATGAGCAGGTAGTCGCCGCGCGGACTGAAGGTCGGGTACATCGAGGGTCCCTCGCTGAGCTGAATCGTGATCAGGTGCTCCCACACGAGCGTACAGGCGCAGAACAGGCCGATACCGTCGAGGGCTAGGCGGGCAGCCCGGCGCGGAGTGCCTTGTTTTAGGGCTTTGCGTAATAGGCGCTCCATTTGCTGTGCGTTAGGAGCATGCTTGGATTGGAATGATGGTGTTGGTTTTGGCAGCTCCGGTTCAAAAAGATGGCTGGTCATGTGACCCACTCACGCTTTAAAAAAAAACCGCGTGTGGTTGATTTTCTCTTTCTTTCTTCACCACGACAAGCTCGTGTTCTGCTCCGCGCAGCCCTATGATGTTGGGGTTATCTAGCGGAGCAGCACTGGGGATTATTGTCTTGAATCTGCAATCTCAACCGACCTTTTAAATATTATGTTAAAAAACCGCCGCTTCTACAAATGCTAGAGCTTGCCGTCGCCGAAATTCAGCACCAGGACGAGCAAGTGTGGACAATGAAGCCAGATGAACACAACCGGCTTGGTCAATTCCATACGCCGTCCCCCAGCGCGTTCTCAATCTTGACCCCATTTAACTATGGGACTGGGTCCTTGAGGCGTGTGTGGTGGGGAGACAGATCGATGCTAGAAATATGAATTTTGTTCCAATTTGATTCGCAACTCAACTCTTCTGCCACATGGTATCGGCATCTATTAACAACAGCAACTATGTCAGCTTAGTTCCCAAGTGTGGATCGACCCATCAAACCTACCAGGATGCTTCTGCACCTCCGCAATGCCCTCCCTCTTCTTCGCCTTGACTCGATAATCAATCCCAAACCTCCCATCGCGATCCTTCAACAGCTCATCCATTCCGCCCGGGCACGCCTTCTCCACTCTTTCGGGTGACGTGAAACTGCCCATGAGCTGCGGAGGGCCCATCGGCACCGGATCCCCCCTGTCCACCTGCCAGAAATGGTAGGTCTTCCCATAGATGGGCGCAATGTCTTTCATCTCAGCCGTTTCGGCAGCCTCCCACGCCGCCCCCGGAACGCCTGCCGGTGCTGGCATGGCCAGCATCCCGCTCTTCACCTCGAACTCGTGCGTGTGCCAGAGGCGTCGCTCTTCCTGGGGGAGAGTAAGGAACACCCGTGGCGTGACCATGTACTCTACCCCGATCAGCCGCGCGTTGTGTTGGGGGGAGTCGTAGATTAGGCATTGTCTGACGTCTGTCCATGGGTTTTGTAAGCTATAGTCTCACACCATAGTTGCCAGTCTGCTGTGGTGTTGTATACATACCCTCCGTCAAGTGTGAGCAGTAGTGGTTTGACTCGACGCAGCGAGTCGGATCGTTCGCGTAGACGTGAAATGCGTTCAGGTGTGCACAGATCTGCTTCACTGGCTTGAACTCCTGGACCATCGCAGCGCCGGTCTCGAGGACACGACTTTTGGTCGTGCGAGGGTCGCCGATGATGTCGCTCGTATCATCGCTTGATTGGCCTTTTGCACAGGCGGACATTATTGTATACGTAGTATAGGATATCTGCTTGTCTCCTTCGTTTCCAGTCTGTTAATCTGGGCTGAGAGAATATGCAAATTTTCGGAAATAATCTCTGCACATGAGACACGTCAAGACAGTGGCAATGCGGTCCTGAACAGGATTCGTGCTGCGGTAGACTGAATGCTGTCCGGCGGGTTTGGATGAATTGACGTCACGATGATTGCTTTCCGTTTTTCTGGGTGTATAGATACTTCCATGTTGGAGCGGTGACTTGCTGGTGAGCTCCTTGATATTAAGAAATGGTGACAGCGAGAGAAGACTGCTATTGTTGTGGTGCGTGTTATTCTGATGGTCCATGGACTTCAGTGCCGTACGCTGCACATATATATTTTTGAGGCCTGTCTGTTGCCGCACTCAAATCAGAACCAACACAAATATATCTGCAGGTCTACAACAATATTCCTATTGACTGTATAATACCTATTGATTCAAATGGTGGTTTACCACATCCTTCATTGTAGCGCAATGGTTCTTTCGCGGTCCACGATGCTCCAGCGATATCGGCCGCCACCCTCAACGCCATCAACCACGCCGGATAAAATTGCCACTCCCACTTATACTCCAAGCATTCCGCTTGAAAATTCTCGTTCAGCCACTACTCTGTACTACTGCAAGATCGAGCGCAAAATGTCTTCTAGTAAAAGGATCGACCGCCGGAATGCCTGGACAGGTGATCTGTGCACATCGACTATTTCTCGAACTATTTTCCCGAACAGGGTGATCTTGGAATCCATACATACCCCACTTTCTTTTTGCTCACGGAAGAAGAAGGAATCAGGGTGAAAATCAATCATACAGAGACAATAGCTCCACTTGAGATCTACAACAGAGAACTCACATACAGAAACCGTACATCTCTAGCGGTATGTGACTCCATCATCCATGCCTGATGAGAAATGGGCACGTGGACCCTCTCACCTCAACTTTTGAGACTCCATCTGGTGGATTCTGTTTCGGCAATGATGCGCAGCACCGGTGGGGTGCGGCGCAGTCTCTAGGGGTTGGGGTGCATGATTGTTGGTCAACTTCATTCTGTTGACCTGTCTTGTACAGGGACGTAGATGTGTGTGGTAGGTTTGCTAAAGATGCACAAGCAGGAAAGAATGAAAGCGCAAGATGCCAAGTACGGGCCATTGCAGACGGATTATTGGCATCCTGTGCCTATCCCGGTTCGATCGGAACGAAAACGATCAAAGTTTTCTTAGTAGATTGTTAGTCCGCGGTGGGTCTCAAGCCATTGAGTCGTAGGTGCAGCTTTTTGCCATTTACCATCCATCTAACGGCCGACTGTAAAGTCCCCGAAATTCGAGCGAGCCCCATACGTACGTTTTTGTGCACACAGTAGTACATCGTACCGGTTTACACATGTCATAGTCAGACGCCAACTCCCAGCCCAACACGAACGCTCGGGCGATTGTGCGCCTTGTTTCACCGCAGCCTGACCGAACCTGTGTGCACTGCAAGGCATGTCTGGGTGTTACCGTGGGAAGAGAGAGCAGTTTTGTGTTAGGCCCAGGATCGGCCCCTGCATGGGGGATCCCTCGTCCTCGACGCATACATACCACGATCAACCAGGGTGTGTAGTAGTAGCCGTGCGTCAGCCCCAACACCCAGAAGGAGCAAATAGTTAGTTAGCCTTCCAAAGATTAGTTAGTTGCCAACGACTCATGGCTGATGGCCCAGCCCCTTTGCGAGCACTCAATCAATCTGCTCCGCCACCAGGCGTCGCAAGTGTGTTTGAGCTTCGGCGACCAAGCTAGGTGGACCCGGCACCCGGGCCTGCGTGGCATAGCGCCTTTGGCGTCAGGACCCAGGCGTCAGGGCTCCAACCCAACCCAGCGACAAGGCATAATAATAACAGTCGAGATTAAGGCCATAGGTGAAACCGAACTGTGCCCCAACGGGATAACCGGTCGACCAAGCGCTCGACCACAATGACGGGACACCGATTAGGCTACAGCCTTGGCTGGAAGAATCTATTTTCACCTGCAGCTCTCCATGGTCTACGTGTACAGTACCTGGTCTTGTGGAAGTGCCGTGTCTAGTGCACTATGATCCGGTGATTCTCATCCAGCTGTGATTCAAGACTCGGGTCAGCGGCGAAGACAGAACCATCTCACCGGATCCAAGATCGTCGAAGCTCCCGGGGGCCACCAATGAAGGCGCATTTCGGCTGCCTGTACAGTTTCTACCCCCCGCTTGCATTATCATCTGCCCTCGACGCACGGTTATCAGAAGCGGAGGGAGGAGGAACCGAGCATTCCCAATCCGAGGGATGCTACACCGTAAGGGGCTGATGACATGCCGCTAAGGCAAGCCAAATTGATTAGCCCGCTCCCTTCCGCCAGCGCTGGGGCTAACCCAGGGATCGGCCAGGCAATCAGAATGGCCCGACTGGAACGTCCTGGAAGATGGGAAAGAAGCTAGGCATGGAATGGGCGCTAGTGGCCAGGGGACTCTCTAGGCAGCTCGGAGTTTTCCCTTGAAGTGGGGGGCGGGATGTAAAGAGGCTCGTGAGCAACAAAAAGTGGCTGATCAGCCCCCGATCTAGCGTGGCCTGGGTCTCGGACTGTGACCGCTCCCTAACAGTTGGGATGAGATGATAATTATGATTACCTAGTATTGTGTCACCGTTTGTGTCTCGGGGAAATTTTTAACGGACGATCATTCTCTTCTCTATCACAGTCGCAGGGGTACAGTAGAAGTAGGATGGATGGGCACCACCGGGGCGTTCTTTCCTACTACAGTACCGCTCCTGCTACGGTGTACGTAGCACATACTCTGGGGATCGGCAGTTGACGATGGGCTTGTGTCAGCCGTGATGGACGGAGGGGCCAAGTAGGTCCACCAGACGAGGGGGGGAGGGAACTGCCCGTTATTCTTTGTACTATGTTTGGTCAGCCCCCTGACCTTCTGGACGTACGATAAATTAATTCATTCCCCTTCGAAGTGCAGGAAGTGGGTCTCTCCATCTTCCCGAGTTGGATCGTTTCCTGCCGTGTAATGGTGATATGCATCGACCCTCTCAGGGGTCTAAAGGATCAAGGAACCGGGCCATGATGTAGCTACAATATGATCAACGCATGATCCTAACTATATAGCCAATGGTTTGCTGGAAATATTAGCAGAGAAATAATAATGAAACAATCAACCCGAGCAGGTTTTGGCTTTGGCACTGTGGGCGCTAAACACGATCAGATCCGCCCGGCCACGTTGTGAATGGTGGCTCTACCGCTCGTTTCTGGATCGGTGACACAAAGAATGGAACAGGGAAAAAAAGAGGGTGGATCCACTTTTTTGTCCTTTGGGTCTGATTTTCCCGACATCCTAGACAGGGCTGGGACCAACCAACTTTCGACCTGAACTATTTATTGAACCTACTCCATAGGAAGGGACGGTCGTTCTCCATCTCGAGAGATCCACGTTGGTCCCAACGGCATATGCTAGCCGAGCGGGAGTTCGAACAGACAGTGGCGATACCAGACTTGATGAAACAGGCCCACCATGTATACAAAAAGCCTTGCAGATGATCGAAAATGCAGGTATCCTACGCAGCCCGAGCATTCGGATCATGATTGGCAGTAGCATTTGGAACGGTCTGGGATCGGAAAGACAAAACCCAAAAAAGGTGGCGGATGATGCAGGAGATGCATCATGTAGTCCGGGGGGTGATTATCACAGCCGGGCATGCACGGAGCAATGGCGGCGGTACATGCCCTGACTTGGAAGGGCTCCGTGACAAAGCAAACCTTCCACATTCGGGGATTCTTTGCTCCACTCATACATCCCTGCCATAGCGACACGAGAAGGGAGCGATCCTCTAGTCCATCACATTGTAACCCTTGCGTAACGAGATGGTGACGCTATGAAAGGAAGGGAAAGGCAGAGCTGTGTGTGGGGGCCCAACCCAAATTCACTACGTAAGGTCCTAATATTAAATCTAAGCATGCGGACTGGGCAATAAAGGAAGACGCAGGATGAGGATGGGATGGGGTTAGATTATTGGCGGGGCCTAGTAGCATTCCTCGGCCAAGGTTCCTGGCGCTTGGGTTCATCCAAATTACACAAATCATAATTCCACAGTGGAAACCGGAACTTATAGCCCCAGGCTGGGCCCGTGTGAGGGTCTCTGTTCCCCATGTGTGGTGGTGGCATGGACCATCTGATTCATCATCATGGATCACCTCGCCCCGTTCCATAGCCCTTGATTTGGCTCTGCCTGCGCCCTTGGCTAGGCCCGTTTCGTTAGTGTCAACGTCGTGTCATCTTTAGCATGCGATCGGCATCGTGGGCCTGGGGCGGGTGGTAGATCGCTCCCTGGATTTTTTCTTTATTACTAGTACTGGCCGTGCTATGCCTGACTGATCATTCTCAAACACACGCATCATCTATACTTGCCCGCCACCACTCCATATGTCAGACCACCCACCAGCACCTCGCTGACTCCAGACTGACCTCATCCACTACCTCCGCTCTTTTATATGGCCGATTACTGCTGGTATCCGGCGTCTTCCCCCGAGACACAATGGTGTCCTTCGGGAAATGCCCATAGCCCGTCAGCTATGCAGGATTTCTCTCGGTCTGTACCTCGCCCACGGCACTCGCGGGTCATGAAGCCCCGGAGTGCTGGCAACAGCCCTTCTTCGGCCACCATCAAGCGCCGGGCCACGATGCTGGCTCAAAACCATGTATTATTTGGCTTGCCGGCTTATCAGTCTTCCACTATTCAAGCCGCCATGCTCACTTCTGCCATGCGGGCCCGGAATTCTCGCCCGATCAGCTGGCATCCATCATCAGCAAGGCCGCGAGGACTATCCAACATGCACCGCATCCCTGATTTCATCCCGGAGAACCATCCCGGTATGGGTGCCGTACCCGATCAATCATTTGACCCGTTGCCGGCATATGGCAACGACAACATGCTTTCATATCCTATGCCGACACCTTATTCTCCATCCGACTATTTCTCTTACTACTCCGAGGAGTCATTTCCGCTACCATCACATCAGACTCATTTGCCAATACCGAACTCGCAGCTCGAACCCATGGCGTGGGATACCACACCAACCCAGCCAGATCAATCACTTGCGCCCCATCCCATGACTGATGCGTGGACAATGGACATGTTCTCGCTGAACAGCAACATTCCTCCCGCGGACATGACATGCCCCAGCTACGTCAGTGTGCCGTCCTCAGGCGAACTGACCGGCCCATCGACGCCCGATTTTCTTCCGATCCAGCAGTTCGAGAATAATGAACCAAGGCCAGTGACCGAGTCGAAGACGCCCGAGGAAGAGCTTGTCGGCATGGGTCTCTACAGCCAACCTGATATGCGCCTGTCGTCTGCACTGCAAGCAAGTCCTGGCAAGGGGTTGAAGCTGGAAGAAACTTTCATCCCGACAGACGACCAAGATGATGGCTCCCAAAGTAGCGATGGAGAGATGAACGGCCAAGACCCAGTTGTTCCGCAACAACTCTTCCCGTCAGCCGATGCCACGCCCACACCCCGACAGACAGGCCTGCCTGCTGCGAGACAGTCCTCCAAGCAAGCTCTCAACCTTCTCCACAAATCTTTCTTCTTTGAGTCCGACGATTCCGACCAGCAGACAATGCCTGCTACGCAGCCCTTTGCCAGCCTCAACCCACCATGCATGACTTATGGGTATGGCTGGATTTGAATCAATCGCTTTCGAACGCCACAGTCTTTCTGTTTTCTTTTGTTATATGTATTCGAGCGGCCATAGCGTGGAGTTTCTTTTCTTTTTTCCTGGGGTTTTTGGATTGGCGTTGGAGATGGATGGATGGATACCCTGATATGAGATAGTACACGTGTCGGGCTTCGCTACCCGTTCATCTTTTTCTTTTGGTGATGTACACGTACATAACAGTCAGTTACATCTTCAACACAGTTGCTACCGAAGCTATATATTTTTGTTTCTACAAAATTCATACTTTCCAGTGTACAAGTCTAGACAGCGTCTGTGATTGGCCAAGGCGGCTCTCGACGGAACAACCATCATCCGGCACATTTCAAAGCCGATCGAATTTCATCTTGACCACGATTTTGGAAAGCAGAAGAAGATGGCTAAGGTCATTTTCACGGCGTGGAAACATAAATCCCAGTTGCTCGAAGTGCGGAGCCAGTTCTATCCCTCGCCTTCGTACGACGGCCCAGACTTGCGCTCCCGTGCCTGCGCAACGGTACGTATCAAACGATTCAAGTCTGCTTCTGTCGCTAATGCGATATACGAAAAAGGTCGAGGCTTGGAAATTGCGCGGTAATATCCCGCATCATGTCGAGGCCACCGCCCTCCTGACAGATGCCATTCTCCATGACGATGCGCAGCGGAATTCGATCTTTTCTATTCGGGCAACATACTCTGCTGCATTTTGCCGGTTCGTATTCGTTTCCGTGAATTTTACTATTTAATTTTGTTTAAATTTGACTAACCAAAACACCCCAGCTTTGTAACCGGCCTCGTGGACTCCAAGATCCCCGGCCAGCGCAGGACCATGTTCCAGCGCGCGGTTGATCTCGGACTGCCAGCGTCCTTTGTTGAGCTTCGTCACGAGGCGACTCACCGGGAACCACCGTCATTGGTGGTGCTGCGGAAAGCAACGCAGCGCTCTTTGGAGTGGCTGTGGGACAACTATTGGGGCGGCATCGATGAATTGGGCGATGCGCCCCCTCTCGAGTCTGACGACACCGCTTCGGTTAAGAAGGCCTTACTTGATACTCTCCTTCCCGTTTCGGGTGGCTCCAACGCCACAACAGAACCATTATCCAAGAAACGGAAAAGAGATCAAGGCCTGATTACCGCGGCGCAGTTGGTATCTATCTGCAACATTTCAGGTACTGGTATCCGAGTTCTGCCGAGTGTCTTGCTCGATGAGTCTATGTTGATTCCTGCTGGACGCATGTGAGTATTTTTTTTCCACCTTGAGATACTGATTCTGAGTCAAATTCTGATGATCTTCATAGAGTCGGGGAATCTTTAAATGATACATTCGCCAAATGGGATACAGTCCTGCAGAGGGTAGCAGATAGCGATTCTTCGTTTATGATGTACCTGACAGAGGCCCTGGTGGATGATCTGGCGTTCAACGAGGCAGATGATACATCGAGCAATGCGCATGCCGAGGCCCTCTTTCTATGGCTGGATCATGTATCCAGTTCTCCCTTCTGGGTATCATACAGGCGAATGTATCCCCGCAGTTATGTTCTCCGCGCCTGCGAGGCAAGCTCCGGGCACTGGGCGAAGATGTTGAGCGTGACGTTGCAACAAACCCAGGAAGAGGACAACGCCGGATCGGCTCATGGCCAGAAACTGGTGACCCCTGCTCAAAATGGACATTCAGATGCAGCGCCCTTCGCTGAGCTGCGCCAGCGTGGATGGGGGCTGTTGGAGAAATGGGACAGTCGGCCGTTGGGCACGGCTTGAGAGATTTTCTACTGCTACATTAATCAACCACGCTGCTGGCAGCATGTTACACCACAACGCTAAGTGACGGTGGGCCGGGCGCCGAACATGGCTGCCTTGGGTACACACGTAGAATGTTTCAACAGCTGTTCAGATTCCGCCCCTAGGCAGCCAAGAAGTGGGAGGGGGCTAGCCGGGCGCAATGCAGGAGCCTCAAATCTTTGACGTGTGGTGTTGAATCGCATTTGAAGAGGGCTATAAACCGGCCGAAATAAAAAACTCATACTCGCAGTTCATCGCTTGGACTGGCTCAGACCTTTTGCAATCATGAATACCACAACGCGCACAGCGAGAGACCGGGCGATGTCTACGCCGGAAATCCTGGAGATGATCCTACTCCAACTCGATTTGCGGACTCTTCTCATCGCCGCACAGCGAGTGTGTCGAAGCTGGGTCACTTTGATCAGCCAATCAGTCCAGATTCAGAGGGCCTTATTCTTTTCCCCGGTCGACAAACCTGACATTCCGATGCATGAAAAGACGCAGAACCCGCTCCTCGCCGAGACATTTCCTTGCGTCTTTCCAAGCTCCGGTAAAGAATTAGGGAAGTGTAAGTTTGCAGCTTTGGATATGAACCAGAGCAGCACGAAAAGAGCAATGTATATGCGAAAAGAAGCAAGCTGGCGCCGGATGCTGGTCCAACAACCTCCGATCTTGGACTTTGGATTGCTAAGGGTGGTTCACGGTCAAGTTGGCGACCAAGCCAGCGCATTCAAGATTCATGTAAGCATATATTTCATTACCTTCACTTGTGAACGCTTAATTGACAATGGTGATGTGTAGGGAAGTAAGGATATGCTCTGGGAGAAGCATGAGGGCCTGCGAATGGAGAGACTATTCGAGGTTCTACTATTCAACGAATGTATCACCTGGGAGGAATGGTCCACCAACAAAGTCATGTGGGCGACAGAGTTTCCACTTGACATCCAGGAATGTGACGACATTGCTAATACATTCGATTCGATGATGCGAAAGTTTGGCTTGGTTATAAAAGCGCGTACAGTCATGCAGTGTTCCATTGGTTTCCGGTCCAAAACCGAGGATGAACATCTGAGAGGACAGCTTGTTGCTGCATACATCGAGGCGGGTCTAGATATTGACCAGTCTTCTATCAGCTGTGTTAAGATGAACAGCCTTGTTTGATGATTGGATACCAACTCTAGTGAATTGAGAGGTGAAGGATTGAAACCATAGCTTAACGGGGCAGATGCCGTTCCTAATAGCTGGGATATCTCCGATAGCAAGGAGAAACCAAGGAGAAACCAAGGAGAAACCAGGTGTCTTTTCTTCCGTCTTTGCTCTAGTGACCGGGACCAGAATCTACAACAAAGCTAAGACTACCACTGCGCATCTACTTGAGGTGGACGCATGTTGCAAAGACATTCATCTTTGTCTGATCAGCCGCAAGGTCCCCTAGCATTCTTTGAACAATAGTTTGGTTTCTTGTTATCTTTTCTTCTATTTGCTTCTTCACCGGACCTGGAGTGGATCAGAAGTTTCTGCCTCAGGCAGTCACATCCGCCCATAAAAAGCCTCCCGCGCGCCAATTTTTTTCTCTCTTTTCTTCTTCTCTCCGTGTGACGCCCTCCACCACCGAACCTGCCAGGAGTCTGATGTTGGCTCCTGCACACGGCTCACAGGGTGTATATGGACGTGACTTGCTATTTTTATTAACTAATACTGACTGGGTAAGTCGCTTTTGCCCTTCGTCTCTTTTGTGTCTCCCATGGACCAGCCAGAGAGAGGGCTCGCCAGCCCTCTCTTATGATGAAAATTTTTCCTACATTCGCAGTTTCCACGCTAGCCGTCGTCTTGAACCCATTTCAGACGGCTCTGTGCGCAATTTCTTCCTTGGATGTCTGATTCTGGCTGGTCCATTCGTTGGCACTTTGTTTTTTTTCAAATCGTGTTCTCCTCTGGAGTCCGAATTATCAGACGAGCTATGTGCTAATTGTGTCTGGTTATAGAAGCAGAGCGTTTTCATTCGGATACTGAGAAGGGTCTAGGAAGACTTTTTGGATACATGAAGACTTTTTCGAGGTATTTTGAGCTATCGCGCTGGGAGATCCTCGCCTTGAGCTGTAGTGAAATAGAGCAATGGATTTGTTGTGATATATTGTCCGTGGCATAATCCCTCTTACCCGTAAACAAACAAATAAAAATGCTTCTCCAAGCCCTTGTGTCTCTAAACGCGCTTGTGAAGCCGGCCGAGTGCGTGGAGGGGCGATGTGCTCCGCCGTACCTGAACCAACTCCCTCCATCTCCAACTACTTGCTACATATCAACCAACGGCCTCCGACAATGCTCTGCTCCGATTGATCTGCTCCTCCTCTCTTCTTATCTATCACTGCCACACTCTCTCCTTCAATTTCACTCTCCTTTCTCCCTCCCCCTCTCCCCCCGGTATCGCGCCAACCTCCTAACATCACGCCAACATGTCGGCTCCCCCCAGACACTCGGCGGTGATGTCCATCAGCAATGTCGGCCCACCTCAATCAGCATCCACCGATAAGCCGCAGACACCGCAACAGGCACAGACACCCAGCCAGCCCATGTCGGGGCTGCGCGTCCCCTCCAATCGCAAGACCATCTACGACCGGCATTTAAACCGGAGTCGCAATGCAGAACTCAGCCGGGCGAGCTTCGCGTTTCTGTTCGCGGAGATGGTGACATATGCTCAGCGAAGGGTAACAGGGATACAAGATCTTGAAAAACGGTACGCTGCACCTGGTTCACATCCAACTCAGACGGGATACTAACCGGCTTCTTTCCAGACTAAATGAACAAGGCTACCCTCTCGGCCTGCGCCTGCTCGACCTCCTCTTCTACCGCAGTACATCCACCTCATCCTCCGCTCTCTCGAGTTCCTCCACCTCTTCCTCGCCCCCTAACCGTCCTCTCCGGATAATCACTCTGCTCCATCTCATCCACGGGCCCCTCTGGCGCCTCCTCTTCCAGCGTTCCGCAGACGCCCTCGAGCACTCCGTGTCCCCCGATACCCCTAATGAATACATGATCACCGACAATGACCCACTGGTCAACACCTACATCAGTGTGCCGCGGGAAATGAGCATGCTCAATTGTGCCGCGTTCGTGGCGGGCATTATCGAGGGTGTGTGCGACGGATGTGGGTTCGAAGCCAAGGTCTCGGCTCACAATCAGCCGTCGGAGATGTGGCCCAGTCGCACGGTCTTCCTGCTTCGGTTTGGTGATAGTGTCATGGAGCGGGAGAAGGTGTTGGAGAGATCGGGCGTCAAATAAACATCTCTCGCGTTACTCGGGTTTGCTACTGGGTTCTTCTGATTATTCCCAACTATACGATACACAGTAGCAATTTACACCTCACATATATATAGGCTTGCAATTCTGGACTGTATCAAGGGTCACTGCACCACCCACCATCGACCACATACGAGCTCCCTGTTACAGCGCTTGCCTCGTCACTCCCTAGAAACACAATCACTTTAGCGACCTCCTCGGGCTCCAAATCGCGTTTCAAGCTCTGTCCCCGAAAGATCTCCGCACGATACGCATCCGTCAGAACCTCCTTTCTCTGCCTCTGCGTCGCTATCGCCCCGGGCATAACGCTATTCACCCGAATATTAGCTTCCCCAAACTCCTTGCTCTGCGTCCGCGTAAGACCCATGATAGCAGCCTTGCAAGAAGCGTATATCGGCGAGTCCGAAGACGGGAGCTTCCATGTGATAGAACCCAGATTGACAATACTTCCTCCCCCGGAACTCTTCATGGCGGGCACCATGGCCTGTGTGAGGAAGAAGACATGGCGGAAGTTGACGTTGATTTGGAAATCCCATGCTTCGGCTGTTACCTTCTCTGTGGCTACTCGTGCCGAGCCGGCTCCGGCAGCAGCGTTGTTGACCAGGACATGCACGACGCCGTGCTCTTGAAGGATTCTGGCGGCGGTAGCTTGTAGCTCGGGGAGATCTGTGAGGTCGCAGCGGTAGAAGATTGGTGCTTTGATAGACGGCGCGCCTCGAGCTGCGGCCTCTTGAGATAGAGAGACAATATGGTCAATCGTCTTTTGCGCGGATGTTTCCGCAATGTCCATGAAGAGCACTTGGCTGCCTTGCCGGGCGAAGAGCTCGACCGTTGCGGCGCCTATGCCTTCCGCGCCGCCGCTGACGAGCACGGTCTTGCCGCGTAGGCTGGGATAGATGGCGTGTGTAGCTGCCATATTAAAACCAAAGGGAGAGGTGATAAATATGCAAAAGAATGACGTGTGAGAAGTAGAAGGGAAGACGATGATGATGTAGTCAGCCCCTCTTCACGTCGGAGTATCGGTACAAATCCGATATCCTCCCGGAGTACTTCCAAGTATATCGTTAACCTCCATCAATTCCATTTTTGGTCATTTATATTACAATATTGCCCGTAAGAGCATGTTATCCAACGTAAAACCCAGATAATAGAACCAAAAAGCTGCGCCATATGGGCCATGCACCTTGTTATGTTTCTTTTCAGCTCTGTTGAAACCTCACGAAGCAGGATCCACTCGCCGCCGTTTCTCCCGGTCATCGTATGGCGATGGACTTCGCTTGCGGTGACTGCCCTGATCCGGCCACGGCCGTGCTCTGGACCGGCTTCGTTCGTGACGATCCTGCCGAGGAGAGCGGGATCTCGAGCTCGACCTCCGTCTCGACCGCACGACACTGGCATTGGCACCGGTCGGCCCAGTAGGTCCGGATCCTCGATCGTCCCCACGATCAGGCATGAATCGCTCATCTGTAACTCCAACGGGAGGGCCGTCGCGACGACCCCGAGACCGCTGATCAAATCCATCGCCAAAGCGGCCCGTATCTTCGCTTTTGAGGTCTCGGTAGCGGGTCCGACCTTTCTTGCCGAGCTTGGTCATATCACGGACCTGCATGTACTGCGGTAGGGTCTCGCGGTTGACATCATCCACAAAGCTCCTGCCCATGAGATTGCGCTGGTCCAAGCCCTCGCGCTCCTGATCGTCGCGGAAGAAAGCGCCCTTGTGGAAGTAGCGCTGCATGAAACCGGTCTGGCCGCGATTGGCCTCGCGCTCTTCTTGCTGATTGGCCAGGAACTCGCGGTCCTCACGATCCCGCTCTTCGGCTGTGAGATTGCGGCGCCGCTCGATCTCCTCGCGCTCTTTCTCAGCCTCTTCGATGGCTTCACGCTCACGCTTCAGTCGTTTCAGTTCCCGTAGCTTCCATGCGGCGAACTCCGCCTCCGGGTCTGCGCCGTCGCGGTCGTCGATGGCCCCTTCTTCGTCGGCTTCCACGAGTTCGTCGTCATCCCAAGCCCTGTGCGCTGCTGTGCGCGCAATTGCGTCCTTTTCCAACTGATCCCGTACCAAATTGTCTGCTTTCTCCTGCCGCTGGGCTCGTCGTACCTCGTCTGCAGTCGACTCTGCGCCGCCAGCCGCTGCTTGTGTCTTGTCGGTTGCTTGTACTGCTGCGTTCCCCCGCTTGTCCTTTTTTATGAAAGTAGGCCGTAACAGCACCCTCCGCGGCGCCTCATCCTCAGAGCTGCTTTCTTCTTCCGAGCTCTCTTCTTCTTCCTCTTCCTCCTCTTCGTCGCTTGCTTCGGGCCCTGGGACTGGAGGAGCCTTTTGTACTGTCGTTTCTCCCATTCCAGTCGCAACTTGTGGCGTAGACTTAGCTGGCGCCGCTGGCCGCGCAGGTTCATCTTCCTCCTCGTCGGTCACGAACCCTTCTTCATCCTCATCCTCCTCGAGCCTCACATTTTGCACCCCCTTCGAAATCTTTCCAGCCGCGCCCGCAGGGAAAGAGCTTGCAGCAGGTGCTCGTTGTTTCCGTCGTTGTGCTTCTGCTTGTCTGCGCCGCTCTTGTTCTTGTTGCGCTGCGGCATCGTCTTCCTCCTCCTCTTCTGATGATGACTCCTCGGCTGCAACTGGCTTACCTGGGCGATAGCGACCGACGGGTTTGAGGGGGTTTGCGGTCATGCCGCGGTGGTCGGAGGGGAGTGGAGGCGGCATCGTGACGGCGGCAAAGGTGTGTGGTCGAGGATTGAGTTGAGGGGGTGGGGGTTGGCAAAATGTTGTAGGATCAGGCCTTCATTTGCTTGTCCAATAGTGTGATGACTGGACAGATAACTGTGTTGCTCGGCGCCAGGCCGTTGGGGAGTTGTCGTAGTAAGGAAATGCGTCAGGGACCAGAGCTTTTGCCCGCAACGGTCATTCCATATCACGTGATGCGCAATACTGGAGAGTAAATATTCTGGGAAGCTTTCGAAAAAAAAAGAAAGGAAAAAGACACCCCATAATCAATAACGAAATATACCTAAAACCACCCAGCTAATAATGTCCGGGCCTTGAGTCGAATTGATCGAGTATCCATGCACGTGACCACGTGTTGCGCGACACCGCGTCCAGGGCGTGTGTAGTTGGTTCCCGAACAACTTCCACCCCACAAAGCAAAACAGCAGCATTTCCTTCCGGAAACACCAAATTGAACCGACACAAACCTCACAGCATCATAAACACCCATCATGTCCCTCCAAACGCCCCGCGTCCTCCCCGCCCATCTACACGCCTTCCACCCCTCCAGCGGCGGGCGCTCAACACACACCGTGCGCCTCCTGGGCACGGTGACCGCGCTCCGCGGTGACACTGCGACTGTGACATGCGGCAGCAACGGCGACGTCACTCTCATCCTGAAACCGGACTCTCACCTGCAGATGGGCAAATTGGTCGAGGTGGTGGGCAAAGTGGCTGACCTCGAGGGCGGGCAGGTATGTCTAGATACATTGCTTATCGTCACCGAGAAGATCACGATATATGCTCTGGGTGATATGGGGTGGATAATGCTAACTCTATGCGGCTCTAGGGTCTCGGTATTCGGGTGTTGGGAACGACGGACTGGGGGAATCCAGCTGATTGTGGTATGTGTTTGATATCTAGTGCTGCTGATACCTGTGTTGCGCATATTTTGCCTTTCTTCCATTAATTTGCTTTTCTAAGGCACTCATGGTGTGGTAGCTTGTGTGCTAACTTCTGTTACAGATTATAAAATCTACGAACGAGTAGTCGAATCCACCCATCGCTTCAAGTCTATCTTCTATGATGCTGAGTGAATTACTCCCATTACCGACGGGGAAAAGGTGTCGCTGCTTCAACTATTCTCATATCATTCAGTGCTGGCATATTACATACGATGTTATGATATTCTCTAAAATGGAAACAATGACGGGAGTGATCGTCCATTGGAACCCTATGTAGTTGATCGTTCCAAGGTCCGCGTGTTGGTGAGTAAAAGACTTGTAAAGAATGAATAGTGGATCGTACCCTCGGATCTTCCTGTATTGTATTCTTTTGATCGACCGCGATGCCCACAAACAATTACGATTCTCGAAAGACATGTCTACATGTTGACGATGATGCAAGGTGAAAGGAAGCGGGATCAAGTCAGCCTTACGCTCAGCCACAGCGGCGCTAAACCAACCTTCGATTTACATTGCTGCCTATCGTCAGCATCAGCGTCATTTAATCACTAACTCCTCCAGGGTCTCCTCGGATTTTGTTTTATCACTCATCGCATTTTATTCATCATGGGCCGATCCACTGACACTGTGCCCCCTTACGAGGAGCTATACGCTCAACCGCCCACCAACGCATCCACTGGGGTAAGCGATAACTCTCTCCTACACGGTGCGGGTTTGAAAACCAACCAAGTGCTCTTTTACTGATAAACCCATTTCACTCAGTACACCGCCGTACTTCAAACGGACCACGAAGACCACCAGGGTGCCCCAGACGTGGAACTGCATGCTCAATCTGGGCCAGATGTCGAGGCTCAACCACACAAGCACTGCGAGGAGTGTGACAAAGTGCTCGAGCGCAGAGAGCGCCGGCGTGGCGAGAAATATTGCTGCACGATGGTTTCGGTGACGTTTATCGTGGCGTTTGTGTGCCTGATGCTGTTTGGAATCGTCTTGGTGTCGGGCAAGAAGGGCAAGCACTAGCGCTGGAGGGAGAGGCTTTTGTTGAGAACCGTTTGTTGATGAATCAATGATCTTTTCCAAGTGAGCGTGATTGCTATGGAGGGATGAGCTGGGATTTTGAATGCAGTAGATAGAAGTTGCCACATGCTACGAGAACGGAATATCCCAATGCCAGCATGGCAAGAGACTGTCTTTCGTGATGTCAATATGTATTCCTTTGACTGCTAACCCTTCTTGGGGTGGTTTGCTATTGGAAACCAGAGTAAACCTCCGGGAAAATCACTCAAAACACCACCAGTAAGGAAAGTCAAATAACCAGCTTTCGAAGGCTAGCATGCAAACAAATGCCACTCCGTTGTACCCAGACGCCATCGCTTTCGAAACCCCAGAAACAAAAACCAGATCAAATGACAGAGAAAAACACGTGGAGTTTCTTGCTCTAGCCCTTATGAAGCAGGAGACGCTGCGTGCAAGCTGCCATGCTGTTGCTGCTCCTCAGCAGAAGACTTGGTAGTAGGATCTTGATGAAGGGCATCAGAACTGAAAAAGCCCGAGTCGGGAACACTGGCGTCGCCAAAATTAAAAGGGTTGAACTCGGAGTCGTGCATGTGTTCCTTGTCGACGGCAGGATCGGATAAGATCACATTAAAGAGATCGTCTGAAGGATGGGCAGCATCATCATTTGATCCCACAGGAGACACGTAGTCCTCTGGTAGCCAGTCCGCCCAGTTTTCGCCGCCGAATTTCGTGTTGCCCAGCGGGAAGGAGCCTTCGGTATCGAAGATGTCCATGATCATGCCATCGATGGATTCAAATGCCTCGGAATGCAGGCCATCGTCAGCCAAGGAGGGAATACCGGGGGTATGAGCCCGAGAATGCTTGCTGGGAGACCGGTTCTGTCTTGACTTTGACCGGGGGCTTCCCTGGTGTTCCTGTGCACGTTGCAGCCGCTCCGCAGTAAGACGAGCCGGTGACAGACCCAAGCCACCGTCCCTGCGCTTGTTGATAGTTGGCGAGTTACAAGGCACCGAAGCGAATTTGTCGCTGAAAGCCGAAGGACGATGATTGCGTCGACGAGGCGTCGGACTTGTAGGTAGGTCGAAATCCAATGTCGGACTCTCGAAGAGACCATCAAGATCATCGCGCGGCGTTGGAGCCATGTTCTCCTTTCCATCAATTCGCTTCTCTCCCCGCGAGGCAATTCGAGGGCTGCGTCGTGGAGAGCAGCTATTGATGCTATTGATCGACGAAGCATCTAGCGGCTTTAACGGTCCCTCGTTGTGAGCACTGTTGAAAAGCATCCTGCGCACAGGTTTGGGCGTCAGGTTGTCGTCATTGTCCGTCTGCAGGTGAACGTGCTTGGCCTCCATATTCCTCGCCGGACTGGATTGGATGGCCCGCCTAAGCGCCTCCATGGCGTCTTGTCCATGCCAGCGGTTCTCCGAGGTATCGGTTGATCGTCGAGGTTCAACGCTATTGGCACGGCGGCGTTTGTTAGGGGATGCGTCCACGTCATAATCCTGATCGTTGTCGTTGTCCACACCGGGAGTAGGCCCATCAGGCACGGAGGAGGCTTCAGTAGGAGCTGGAGATGATACCCCGACTCTGCTTGAGGGGGCTTTGCTGCGCGTCCTGGTCGCAGGGCAAGGTTGCGACAATGGTCCATCTCTGCGGCTCCTCGAAGGACGCTTCCTCTTACCAGCAGGAACTTTGTTCCACTTGTTTTCTGGACGCATGGTCTTGAATTTGTGAAGCCAGAGGCCACAAGCTACATAACAGGTTAGTACAATAATAGCGGAAAAGAGGAGCTGGACGCCACTTACGATTGCAGAGGAGGATCTGCGCCCAGTCGTTGTCGGCATCCACAAGACTCTTCTTGTAGACCTTGAACTTCGACACATCATTGTTGTCGTCTCGCTCCAAAACCTGCCAGAAAAGCATCGTGGAGTCTTTTAACATCTCACGTGCCGTATCTTCATCGCCGACGATCTCCTTCGACCAAGCCCGGCGCCATGTGGGAGTTTCGATCGATCCACAATTCTCACAGTAGGGAGGAACCTGCCCAGAGCGAATGGCTTGGTCTAAACGTGCCTGGACTTGTTTCATGCGCTTGGCCCCAGCACCACTCCGGACTTTGCCATCCTCGGGCGGCGGCGCCGGGGTTTCTGCAACTGTGAAGTCACTCATGGGGCCGGCCCAAGTTTGAGAATGCTGAAGAGGAGGGTGCGTGGGCCCGACAGGGTCGCTGGCGGGGATCGCATTCATCAATTGTTCGACTGCACTCTGCGACATGGGAGCTGGTGCCAAGGGCTTTGGTGCCATTCGGACACTGGCTCGAGAAGACGGTCTGGATCCGCCCGACGTCGATGGACGAGGTAGTGAAGGCTGTGCGTCCTTTCGATTCTGCTCTTTTGGTCCGTCGCTCACCAGGTATAGATCATTGGCAGCCCCACCAATCGCACTGGCTGGCGAGCTGGCCTGCACTGCAGACCGTACAGGACGCTTGCCGTGCCCGATATCATGAGAATCTGCTCTTCTGCAGTCATCCAAGGGAGTGGCAGCATCATCATCTAGAAGGTCCTCCAGGCCGCCGCTCATGAAACCAGAGTCGGTGTCCAGAGAAAGAGGTGGCAATACGGGACTGGACCTTTGCGGGAATCGGCCATCCATTATCGGGGGTGACGACGGCATTGTGAACGATGGCTCAAAGAGACCCTGATACCGGGACTCCTCCGGCGAATGGGCCGCCTGATCCGCTGCAGGTTGGTCATCACTCATACAATACGGCGATGTATATGTACTGGTTATGGATGACTCCCGTAGCAAACTGGAGGGAAGTCGGCCTCGACGAGGCATATCAGCAGGCCGAGAGATTGGAGTTGGCGGCCGCACAGGCTCATCGGTCGACTGCTGAACGGCAGCTACCAGGGAAGGGTTCACGGGGGTCGGACGGTGGATTCGCACGGAAGCCGCTGTACTGGCAGCCACCCGCAGAGAACTTGGTTGTCTTTCGATATTCATGTCTGACTTGCCAGGCCAGGTGGCTTGATACACCTTGGCTCTCTTCCGTGGCTGAGGATCGACAGAGTCTTCACCACCGCTGCCATAACCAGATTGCACTGAGTTTCTCCGCAAATCGTATGTTTGCATCTGAAAGTCATTGTCCCGCATGGAGGCACTCGACGATGGTCGGATGATGTCGCTCGAAGGCATGCCCTGCTTCTGGGATTGGTGCTGATTTGACGGCCGTGACCCGCCAGGCGTTGAGATTCGGCTAGGAGCATATGATTGAGCAGGCGACGTGGATCGGACCGACTCGTTCGGTGGGGGAAAGTTAGAGAAATCGCGAGGTGTAGAGCCTTCGCTCAAGAGCTGGTGAAACCGATCGATCCCAGAATGGCTCATTGAGGCCAGGGTGCGTTCGAATTGCTGACCCTTGGCAGTTTCCAACAAACCCGGGTTTTGACGGACAAAACTCGTCCATGATTGCGCATCGAACTCGTGAGGGATGACGTTGCTCAGTTCCCGGTATTTTTGCATGCTGTCAAGATATTCACTCTGCATAACGGTCGGAACCGGCACAAGTCGTAGCTTAACCTCTAGTGTCTCATGGGCGGCACCCTTGGAAAAGAGACCCATGGGGTTCTTGCACACGCGGCCGGTGACCATGGTCTTGGATTGATGTGCCGGTGCGTCTGGCGTTGGAGAGGACGAAGCCAGGACCCATGATAGCATCCCCTGCCCAACCAGAGGGGTTTCGTACTCCGAATAGTCGTAAGCATAGACTGTGTAATCCTTGCCCAGCTGGGCCACCAGTTCGGGACTGCAAGGCCAATGGCGTGAGAAATCAGATTTGTTAACTGCCAGTGACAGGGACTAACCTCGCAGACACAATGGCTTGGATGCATGTCTTTAGCTCAATGACCCCCACTGGGGTCTGTTCATCCAGATAGGCGGTCTGGATGTCCAGCACATGAGGCCACCGAGCGAGACAGTTGGTCTTGTTTTCATTGTCGAAGGTATAGAGAACCTTGACTGTTGAAGCTATTTTAGCTTCCATCATTTCACATCAACATAGGGGTAAGTGCCTACGCCTCATGGGGCGGACGGTGATTCCGTCCTGAGCTTCCATCTCACCAAACTCGCGTGTCCACCATGCACCACACCGGCCTTAAGAACAGGTAGAGTGGTAGATGAGGTCCTTGCCGAGTTATAAAATGAATCAAGTCCAATTGTCGAGATAGGAGGGTGTAGTCGAGGGTGGATGGGAGGAGGAGGAGGAGGTGAGAAGGTGAAGACCGAATATACCGACACCACTCGAAGAGGTCCTTACACTCGTCGAGCGATCAGCCAAGCATGACTGACCAAGGTGGGTTAGAAATCTCGTCGGCCGGGAGAATGGATAGGCTATGCAACAAGCAGTGGAGCAGCCTTCTGGTCTGCAGGACTGGAATGTTAGAGAGGGTCAGTCGAGAATTCCATGAGAGAGGATTGAGCGAGGGATTGGCTGTTCATACTGTAACAGGAAATGTGCTGCGAAAACGAACCAAGTGAAATGACATAAAACATACAAATGCTGCAGAAAGTCCGGGCGAGGGAGAAAAATCGAGAGGGAGACGAATAATGAGAAGAGAACGAGGTCCTTGCATGCGCGATGCTGAAGTACTGCTCCGCCGATCCCCAAACAGCCGTGGACGCGACGTGACTCGGCGGCCTGAAACGCAAGGCAGGTAACCACGTGACCGCGCAGACTTGCAACTTCGGGTGCGAAAAGACGAAGGATACCTCCATTGTCCTTTTATCCTCGCCCACCATGTCGACAGCCCCTGACCCCAAGATCCAGTAGGTCAATGTATCCGATGACTCACACGGTTGGACCTCGCTAACATTTTGCCTCCCTCAGAGATCTGCTCAACAAGCCCAAGGCCGAGCTCACGTAGGTTCCTTCCCCCTTCGAGTCTCGTCGTGATCGCCCTCGATTCCCCTTTCCTTTCTGCCTATTCGACCCGGCCTATTACGGGCCTTGCTCGCGATGCCCGCATTGCGGATACCGATGCACCGCATTGCTCCAAGGATCACCCACTCCCCCAAGCATGCACGCTGAGTAAAGACATACATATACTAACCGAGGACCCGCATATCCAAACAGGGAGTACGAAGTCGCTCTGGTCGAGGAACATGAGCTCACCGCCGGCCCGCTTTCCCTCCTGCAGACCGCCACCCGCACGCACACCCAGGTCCTGATCTCCTGCCGCAACAACCGCAAGCTACTGGCCCGCGTCAAGGCCTTTGACCGACACTGCAACATGGTGCTGGAGAATGTCAAGGAGATGTGGACTGAGAAGCCCAAGGGCAGTAAGGGGAAGGGTGTGAACAAGGATCGTTTCGTGAGCAAGATGTACGTTGCATCCCCTCCCCCCCCGGACTTGCGATCTGATCGAGGCTAATCGCTTTCGTTTTCTTCTGGGTTAGGTTCCTGCGTGGCGACTCCGTTATCCTCGTCTTGCTCAGCTGAGTGATCTTGGTCGTATCTTTCCATCTACGTGCGCATCGGCATCCATCCCACGGCCCAGGTTACATGTTCTCGGGATGGTTTGATCCCCTGCCGCTTGCGCCGCATCTCTCACCCACAAAAGTCCCTCGTGTGACTGAACGGACCTACCATGTCATCGATGTCGATACCCTTTCTCTTTTTTTCTTCTCTGTGTTCTGCTTCCCTTGCTTGTGGCTGTCGTTGCGGCTAGGGTTCGATGGATCGATGTCTGCTCTTCTTTCAAAGGTAACCTTGGCATGTAACATTGTGCCGTAGGAGGTTGCTGGATGAGTCTCTTATCTTTTGGCTTGGGAGGGTTGTACTTGAAAATATCCGGCGTTCAGTTCTGGATGTACTTTCCGTCTGTGGTTGATCTAGAAAGCATCGGGTCGGTTGGAGCAACTCGTGGCGTCTTCGCACCCAAAAATTGAGTAGTAGAATAAAACCTCAAGAGTTATCACTGCCTAGCTGCGCCCAAGCAATATTTTCTAATCACTATTCCATAGATATGGAAGTTGGCTATACAACGGCCTATATATATCCCTGTCATCCCGGACACTAACCCTCCAAGTGCTCTACCCAAGAACTGGTTCTGCTCAACGTAAGAGCGTACTTGTTCGATCACAGAACCCGAAACAAGGCATCCAATACATTCTGGTCATCATCATTATGAAATTATATTAAACATCGCCACAATTTCCCGAGGCCAAAGTATACGAGTATCTATACGAAACAGTTCTAGACCGCCTCAGCCAGACCGGTCAGGAATTCACTGAGACCGTAAGCGCCGGGGTCAGGCACCTTGCCGAGCCACTCTTCCTCGCCACCAACGTACACAGAGCGGCCTAAACTGGCCTTCATGCTCTTGGTGGACTCGGTACCCTGCTGGGAGGCGGCGGCGGCAACGCGCACGTCGAGGGTCTCCAAAAGGGTGTCGCCGAAGGGAAAAAGAGCATCGATAAGAGTGCGGTCACCGGGCTTGGCTGGGGTATACTTGCTCAGCGCGGTGATGGCGTGTTTGAGGGCCTTGGCCCAGACCTCGGTCGTGGCCGGCACGGCGGAGCTCTGGTCCTGGGCGCGCAGGCCGTGGGCCAACGCGTTCAAGAAAATGGCATAGATGGCACCTGAGGTGCCGTCCATCGTGTTCTCGACCACAGTCACGATGCGGTTCACCGTGTTAACGATGTCATCGCTCAGTGGGGGGAGGCATTGTCCAGAAGCGCCTGGATGGCTTCCGCACCGCGCTTCAGACCCACGCCACAGTCACCGTCACCTACGATGGTGTCGTAGCGAGTAACCTCGGGTTCCACGCTGATGACGCGCTTCAGGCCGGCTCCAAGAACCTTCTTGACAACGGCAGGATCCACTGTGATAAGAGTGAGTTGGTGAAGTATAACCAACGAAAGCAGAAAGGGACTTACGCTTGAGGTTGCTAGGCTTCTCTTCGGCCAGGTTCGAGTCTTTGAGCTCAACAGGAGCGTCGGACCGATTATCCCAGGTCGAGGTAGGGATGGGAGCGGACCAACCCACCGCTTCAGCGGGCGCATCCAGCAGTTCCAGCATGGACTTTCCAGCGCCCAGGCCGGTGTCAGACAGCCTCAGTAGCGAGACACTGAAGCCGAGTCCGTTCAAGCTGGTCAGGAAGGTACCCTGGATGAGGCGGGCCGGCTTGATCTGGTAGTCGCGCTCCAGCTGGCGGTAGACCTCGTCGGTGATACCGGCCAGCTCCAGCGGGCTGACACCGCCGAGGTTGTTGACGAGCATGACAAACTTGTCCTCGGGCGTGCGATTGAGGTAATTGCGGTCAGTGTCATTCTTGTCGAGCAGCTGCTTAAGCATGATTGAGACCAGCCCGACCAGGTCGAATTTGGCCCGATGGGAGCCCGGCTCGTTGTGAATACCCATGCCGATCTCAACTTCGCCGTCATGGACTGTGTCATCGGGCGCACCACGACCGGGAATGTGAACGTGCTCCAGGGAGGAGCCCAGCGTCACCAAATTATCGTTTGCCTGCTTGGCCAAGCCGTACACTTCCTCGAGCGAGCCACTGGGAAACTGGTTAGCGGCGTGTTTCGGTCTATCACAGCCGGAGCAACATACCCTGCCTCGGCCAAGGCTCCAATCATCTTGAGGATCAGAATGCCCCCGCAAAGTCCACGGCGGCCGACCAAACCGCCCTTCTCCCGGCCCACACCGACATCGTCGTTGATGGAAAAGAACTCGGTGTTAATACCGGCGGCACGGCACTTTTCCGCGGCCATACCGAAGTTCAACACATCGCCGGTATAGTTCATGGGAATGATGAACACGCCCTCCTCGGTGGGGACACGGTCCATGGCGGCCCTGCGAATCTGCTCCGCAGACGGAGAGGCGAAGATAGTTCCTGCGACCGAGGCATCACACAAACCATGGCCCACATAACCGGCAAAGGCAGGCTCGTGGCCGGAGCCACCACCAGTGACGATTGACACCTTCTTGGCCTTGCGGGGAGCATCTGGGCGACGGAAGATGATCTTGTGCGTCGGGTCCAAAGCCAAAGACGGGTTTGTCAGTGTGAGCGAGTGGAGGGCCGTCAGAACCAGGTGGCTCGGATCGGAGAAAAAGTGTTTGGCTAGCGAGAGCTGTCAGAACCATTGGCTACGGGATGCTTCCACCTGCCTGGACAATCTGGGGCAGGTAGTGGAGCGAACGTACTCTGCATTGTTGATCAATTGTGGGCAGTCAGACAAACACCAAGTGGATTCGTGGAAACCGGACAGCGCGCGCGGCTGGAGAAAGCTGGAAAGAAAATAGACAAATAAGGACCGCTGTGCAAGGTCCCGAGGTTATATATAAAGAGGTTGTCGCAAGGAGGGGGTTTCGCGATGACGCTCGGCAGAACCAGTTACAAGGAAGCAGGAATGCGATTTCTTTGGTTGATTGGAGACTGGACGCGAAGGCGGGGAAAAAAAGTGGGGAGATTCGGAGCTGGAACGGGAGAATGTAGTGTGGGGGTGTTAAGAGGTGATGGTGATGGCGATAGGAGTGAGAGGGAGAGCGAGAGGGAGAGTGAGTGAGTAAGAGGGAAGTGAGAGAAAAGTGAGAGTCGAGGGGTCCTTTATGTGGTGGTGTGCCCCTCTAGATTGGAAGAAGGATGGAAGGAATGGAAGACGACTCTTTTTTTTTTTGCAGCTCACATGAGGCAGGTCGTGCTTCCCCCACTACGTCCCGGATTACCGCCTATGGGAATCCCGCCAGGCACGTACATAGCTATCGCTATCGCCCGATATCGCCACAGCTAGAGCGGCATCTCGCCCGAGTCTAGGCTAGACCCCCTTAACCGGGCTAGCCGGTGCACCGACCACCACTTTACTTGCGCCTCTGATTGTAATATGCACCGGGAACACCACAATGGCACTGTCCGCGTAACGGCCTGCTAGACGCTGTCCCACGATGGGGCGGGCGCAGTGGAGGCATCATGAGACCAGCAGAAAAAGATCTACGACGAGCTGTGCTCCACGGACGCAGGGGCCAAAAGGCCCAGACTCCGCTGTCAGATCGGGCGCCGGTGGAGCCAATACTGGCCGCGCGGTTACAGCAGCAGCACAAGACAACTCTGGCAGTGGTCTGTTTCTTACTGATCCTGGGAATAACTCTAGTAGTTAAAGATGAATGATCGGCCGTCTAGGCAACTCGTTATATATTTCCGTTATCCGTCATTCTATGGCCTGAGCAATACCCAAAATATTGGCAACGCCTCTAGTATGGAGGAGAAAGGGAAACAGTTCAGATGTGTGGCTGTGTGGAAGTGCGAGATTGGATGTTGAGAGTCAGCTTGGGGGTTTAGCTTGACAGATCATCACTAGAGCGCTATTAACCGCGCTTGCTCAAGAATGAGTCTTATCCTATCGGTCATCCCTACGAGATTGATTACTACGATAATCACTACGATCTACGAACGGTGGTTGCTGCTTGGCCTTGGGGGTCTGGACAAGGGCCTGCTAGTAGTCCCGCGGCGCAAATGCCAGGGCTCAGAAGAGGTAGAGCACAAGGTTCGCACCGAGCGCTCTCCACAAAACCATACATCAGTAGCGTCAGGCTCAGTAAACCTAATTGCACGCAGAGATGAGATGGCCAAGAGTACCAGAGCACTCCCTGAAGATCCCCAAGAGATCTTGAGCAAAGCGCCACGGGCAGTTCCCAGGGACCAAGCAGCAAACCGGACATCTACACAGCAGCAAGCCGTTAGTAGTATCTGCCCAGACTTTCGGTCAAGGGCAAGACACCAAAGTAGGAGAGAGGAAAAGAGGCAAAACGTGCATGTCCTTTCGCTGGTATTGTCCAGATCAAGTTTTAACGGTAATATCTCAGAACGAGATTTACTCCGTGGAGTAAAGTCTCGAACACCCGTCATGCATGTTCCTCAAAAGGAAAGTACTCACCGGGTTTCCGAAGACACGGAAACCAGCATCAAGGGCATCTTGGTAAGCCGGCATACTTGCCAGACCAATGCGCTTGGAATATCCATACTTCAAACCGCTGCAGCCTCAATCTTTGCCCCCGATTGCCCATGTGGTTCAACTGAGGCATCTGTTTCGGATTCCGAGTCGGTAGGCTTCAGGTGCTGGAACCACTCGTCCTTCGATTTGCGCCACCACTCCACCAGCGCAATGATCGTGACGCCTCCCATGATGACGATCGCATAATTAAACAGGCTGGAATCCTTATCGATCAGATGGTCCGAGTACTGCGGGGCGCAAAGCACTGCGAACAAGAACCCGTTCCAGATAAATGTAACGACGGCTGCCACCAAACCAAACCAGCCCATATCCCAAAAGCCAGGGCGGAATGACTTGCGTGTCACGAAAGTGCGACCGAGGCCGACGAGACTGTATGCCGCGATTGAACCCACGGCTGATGTCGAGATCAGACTGGAGAAGGCAACCTGGGACGGTAACTGGGTACACAGTAGAAGCGCGGCAATCACTGCAATGAAGATGACTGCATTGCGAGGTTGTTTGGACCTCGAAACCCTTGACAAGACATCACTGAATGGGAAGACACCATCACGAGCGACGGCGAAGACGAGTCGTGACACCGCAACCAGTGAGATGGAGGTGTTGAGAATCGCTCCAACCATTGAGATGACGGTCATCACAACATGACCCCGCCCGAGCGCCATTGAGTACATATGGATGAACGGCTGAGGCGCCCTGGTGTCGTAGAACTTTTCAATGGGCGGCATGCAAAACAAGAACAGGACAATAATCGGAAAGCCACACAGCGCCGAGGCGACAGTCGCCCAGAAAACACCCTTGGCAGCAGCCTTCTTAGCCGAGATAGTTTCCTCGGCTACATGGCCGGAGGCATCTTCTCCAACAAGACAAGAACCGACCAAGAACCATGAGAGCACCCAATTGAGACCGGGACTGGTATCACCGCCATTATAGGTTGAAGTGAAAACAAAGTCGGCGGACTGGAATCCGTACGTCTTCGAAACACCAATAGGCAACCAGATAAAGTTAAGGAGCATGTCAATCACAATGACGATTACACCAGCGCGGAACACCCACGAGTACATCCGCGGGGGCAGGAAGTTCAAGGCGGTTGCGATGGCGAGGAAGAGCAGGGAAAAGGCCCAGGCGACGGCGCGAGCACGTACATCCGAGGTGGCGTGGGGGAAGTTTGCCTGCGGGTCGAACACAACAACCTCCGAGATCAGGTAGTTGGCCACACCAAAGGAATCACTCGCGAGGAAGGCCGTCCATGCCACAAGTGTCCATGCCGCAACCAGAAATGAGATGAGCCGTCCCAAGCGTCCACCACCCCACGATCGGAATGCCCAGTAGTAAATAGACCCAGCGGCCGGGTAGCTCGAACAAGCCTCGGCAAGACAGGCGGCAGTGATGGTAGAGAGGATGCTACCCGAAACCCAGGAGCTCCAGCTGCAGAGGTTGTTAGTTCAAGCCCGGAAAGTTTGGTGTGAGACACCTACATCGCAGCAGGGCCGCCTCCACTCAGAGCGATGTAGAAGAGCACGCGGATGCCTCCGATGCAGTACAACGCAGAGAAGGAGCAGGCGAAGTTATCGAAAGAGCCCCATCCACGCGCTAGAACAGAACGATAACCCAGCTTCGCCAGATCGCGATCGTCTTCATTGGCCACAGCCGAGTGGTGGCTGTTCCTATCCGAAGCCATTCGTTCAGGGTATGGGATAAGTCTGGAGAGAGATTCTTAAGTGAGAAAGATGAGAGAGATACTCAAGTCGCAAGTCGAGTTGCGGGAAGGTGCGCAGAGTTTTTTTTAAGTTGGGTGAACATGGTGCCGGTCCATGATTAATAATTTGCTTGATGAGTGGGTCCAACTATATACAATCATGATGGAAGGCAGAAATAGTCTCTTGTAGTTATACAGTCGAAGCATCTCGGGCCGCCTCTCGGACCTTTGAATTCCATAACACCTTTGCGGGCTCATTCAATTGCCGGCTCACAAAGAAAAACCCCTGCAAGATCGATTCGGCACTGCGCCAATCGTCCACCTGTAACTGTCGCGCAGTTTCTTTGAGATGCTGCAGAAACCATGCAAAGCAATCGGGTTCGTGGGCTGTAAGGCTCCCCATAAAAAGCATCCAAAAGAGCAGATCTAGGTCTGTCCTCTGGATGATATCAAGGTTTTCATCCAGGCACTGTCGAAACATACCAGCAGTGACCTCTGAGCAAGCCATCCCATCAAAAACCCACAGCCGGTTCGCCGTATAAACCTGGATTGACAGTCGCACGGTTTCTTCAAAAGGAGAGAGTGCACGATCACGTCCTATAGTAAACAGCTTATGACCCAATAAGACTACGTAGCCATGTTCGCTTGGTACCGGCTGCGAGGGCACATCGTCCGCCTGGCTCTCACAATAGAGAGCGATTGGTTGTAAACTCTGGATAATTTCCATAAGTTCTGGATCAAGATCTCGAGACCACGAGGAGTTAACGAAACGGCCCCCAAATAAGGTTGTCCTGCAGTGATGGGGAGCTTTGAAAAAAGCCGACCTTTCTCGGGTTTCGCGTTCCCATTTTGCTGATAAGCAATATTCCAGAGGGGAGCCAAGAAGCCCTCTTATAAGATCACAACTGTGAAGACATTCAGATTTGTAAACTTACCTCTCGGTTCGGCTCATGATTGACCTACCAGTATACTAGAGTTTCTGCGCGATATCCTAGTTTGTCAATGCCCCCTTGAGCTTCAATCATCCTTTTCAGACCTTTCATGTGGGCATCGACTGCTTCCACATTGCCTTCGGCACCCTAGTAGAGTTTGTTAAGCCAGAGTACATCGTTCTCAAAAGGTGTAGCAGAGCAGGGAGATATTCATCAAGAGTAGGATAGTTTAGATTCTTACTTCGATATAAAGGAGATGTACCATGGCCATGAGTATGGCCTCTGAATAACGATAGGATGGCCGGCCGATTACCTGCCGGAGTGATTTGATGGCTTCACCCCGCAGCTGGAGACCATCTTGAACGGACTTTTGGACAGTTTGTGGAGACGCATCACGGAGCGAGAGGCCAATAGCCCGATGGAACGCGGCGATTGATAAGAAGGTTTTCAACGTGGCTGGCTCAGCAAAGGCCATCTGCAGAAGCGACATTTTTAGCCCGTCCGAATATAGAGGAAGGTATGCTTTTGATGCATAGAACTTGACTAGGTAACTGTTAGCTTTTTACCAGAAGCATCATTTGATATTGCCAGCGAGTTGTCAAAGTGGCAGTCTCGCAAAGCATATTTGCAGTTCTCACAGTGGTGGAAATACAGGTTCGTATTTTGGTCTGTGCGAAGAGACAAAGAAAGAACACCGTCTAAAACGTCCAAGTTGGTGGCTTGTCCCAATACCGGCGTATATGCGACAGGAACAAGAGCTTCTTGAGAGCGTACAAGGCGGTTCTCGGTCGGAAAGGGTTTCACGGAAGACTTCAAGTTCTGCAGTTGGGTTTCCTTTTTCCGTCGGTGATATCGTGTCCTTATAAACGCTTGTTTGGCCCGAGCAGCAGTGCGGTCTTGAGGATCCTCATCTGGGCCCACCCATAGGAAGTCTGTCGACGTCTTCGATGTAGGGGCATCGTCTTCGACCGCTCGTAACAACGCACCATGTGGGATCGCCCCCGAAAGTGCACCAGGCTGGTCAGGCACCATGGCTAGAACAGATCACAAAAGATATGCTACTGCGAGAGCAAAAGAGGGCCCGTAAGTATGAGATTGACAGGCCCTGAAAATACGATCAGCCAGCCGGCCAAGCCCCTCCGCCTCTTTTTGGCCCCCAGTCCCCACGATTGGCCATCCCGGGTTGAAAACTCTCATTGGTCCACGTCGTGATAGACTAACTCGTTAAGTAGCTAGGGCGATTGTTGCGAATCAGGTTACATATTCATCCAAAGATGGCAGCGGCAGTGTTGCAACAGCCTTCTTTCCTCGAAACACATAACAACCAATTTCCGATGTTCACGCACAACATGTGTTTGGAAACATTAGCACAGCGACGTCGAGTGGGCTGGGAAAGGGAAAGGAAACCAAACGTGAGATGGAAAGGGCGAAAGAGATAGTTAGGCGCAAGAGGTGCGTAGAAAAAGAAACTTTAGACGGAGAAGGGAAAATAAAAAAGATTGATAAAACACTCCCTCAGTCCATCAACCGGTTTTTTGCGATTGACCTAACCTGAACTGCGGCCTTGCCTGCTGGTTCATGAAGTGATATGATCAATCCTCGACCTCGATCCCATGCTTTTCGTGAGAGCCGAGCACATCTTTTATGCTTTCGACGCCCAGGACACTGACGGAGGTGCCCCGACGACTGCCACTACCAGCACTGTTGGAAAAGCGAAGACGGGTTTGGGAGCCAGTTTAGGGATCGTTTCGTCTCCTCATAGGCGGCGCTGGCCGTCGAAATGGTACAAAACTCGCTTGTTCTTCTTTCTCTCCTTACTTTTCTTTATCCTGCTGTTGGAGCAGCCCCACGTCTTCAAACGTTTACGACGGGTTGGAAAGGCGCGAATCCTGCCGATCTTGCTTGCGATAGCGGCGGAAGAACGCTTGGGAAAGGTGTTGCCGTTGCCAATAATCGGATGCGATGTTGAGGTGGAGGCTTTGCAATTCGCGAACTTAGGGACTTCATGATATTTCTGGTTGATATCCTGGGGAGACTGCTCCTGCTCCACAGCACGGAGCACGCATCCTTCCAAGTGCTCGTAGAAGTCCAGGGCGTTGCTGAATGTCGCTGAGCAAGTTGAGCACTTTCCTGTTGTATTTCCGCTAAGAATCGTGCCATTTTCAGTGGATGCAGCCGGGACGTAATTGCGGCATTTTGGAGGTTTCTGCTCCACACCGTGGACGGCGGTCAAGTGACGCTTGAACACGTCCACGCGGTTGAAGCTCTTCTTCATTGGGGGCCAGGATTCTGCGCAGAACCCGCATGTCATATTCCCCTTGTAGTGCGTCCAAGTATGCCGATCCCTGTCATACTTACGGGCAAAGCCCTTGATATGGTATGCACAGGTCCCGATCGGACACTTTTCTGGCCGTTCGGACTGGTGGGTAAGCAAGTGGGCCTTCAGGTTCTTGACGACTCGTCTACAATGGGGTTCCGGACATCGACCTTTCTTCTTGAAGCCATAGTCTTGTTCACTGTTTAGGGAAATTTGTTGCAGCAACAGGGATGATTCGATGGAGGTGTTGAAGAACGGCCTGTCGTCGAGCGAAGCCGAACAGAAGTGAAAGCCTTCGGCTATCATCGCTGTTGACGGATGCTGCGCTGTATGGTCACCGTAGGGAGAAGGAGAAGCAGTGTCAGAGCGAGGAAGAAAGGTAGAAGGTAGGCTTGAAACGATGTCGGTAGGATGGTATCCGAGGCCGCACTGCACAGGATGGACACGAGAAAACCCTAAAGTGTTCAAGTTAGGCACTGCTTGGAAAACCAGTCATGGAAAAATGTGTAAAAAAGCCTACCATCAAAGTTGTCAGGAAGCTTTTCTTGATAGAGCCTGTTCAAGTCGACGGTGTCCGCCACATAGCCGTTGGAGCATAAGTCGTTCGTCAACTCAGCCTGCAGGACAAGCTCGTGGTCTGTATCCGCCCAGTTGAAATCCTGAAACGCCTGGGTGGTCTCGGGACATGGGGAACTGAAAGCAGACGAAGATGCACTAGCGGTCGAATACCCAGATGCAGAAGCGTCTGTTAGGGATTCTTGCCCCACAGAGTTTGACGGAGATACAGAGAACGGGCAATTAGGCATTGGAGAGAAATCCGAGGCCATTTGAATATTTGCGGACTCGGCAAAGAAATGGGATGTGGCGAAATTAGATTGAAGAGGGACAGTGTGAGTGCTTTGGTCATTCGGAAACACGTTGATCACTGGAAAAGAGAGCATGTCCACAAAGCTAGTGTCCGCGGTCATTTCGGGGGGAGGGCGGGTATTATAAAGATTGGCATAGCAGTAGAAGGTGAGGAGCGCGGCCCGGCAAGGGACTGGGGAGGAAAGAAGAGCCGTTTATATACACCCTGGGGATATTTCCTCCGGTGTCCGGTCAAAGATCGTCCCTCATAGTTCTCGAAGTGGACCTGGAGAAGAGGAACACCGCCAATCAGGGATTATGGTACCGTATTCGTTTTGGGACTAGCGCGGGAAAATCAGCCCCAAATTTAAGGGTGCATAGTTACATCTCCAGCAATAATTTTTCGAGTTAGGGCAGTTTCGATGATGAGAAGCTAATCCCAAAAGGAACATTGTAGCCTAGTCCTTGATTGGCTGTTTTGGATTCTTGTCACTGTCGAGCGACTGAAGGAAGATCACATACTCTTCGGAAACACCACGCGCTTGTCCTGGGGATTATGTGCATTACGAGAATTTAATGGATCCGATTTCGGGTGACCTGCTTCGGCGGTTCGCGTTTCAAGTCGTTGTAATCTCGAATTCCGGGCCTTGTAGAAAAAATATTCCACCTAGGCTCTTGAACAATAAGACGCGAGAACTGTTTGGATCATAATGAGATGGAACGCTGGGTGAGGTCAAGCGGGGTTTTATTCAAGACATAAGGTTATCCAGGGTTTCTGCAAATGGGAAGTCACACCTCGCTCTCGGATGGTAGGGTGCTTCTGCTCGAGAGCAAAAGAGAAATAAAATGCCCCACTTCACTGCAGGAAATGCTTTGGAGCGCTCTCAAAAACCTTGATAGCCTGCTCCAGCCTTTTCTCATACTCTTCCAACTCAGGACTATCCTGATCGTCTTCTTCGGCGCTTTCTTCCATTTGTTCCGGCCGACTCTCAGTTTTCAATCCCAGTCCAATAGATTGGCTGCTTTTCCCTCGAGCGGTATTCACGGACATGACATCACGATAGAGACCCATTGACGCGGGAAGCTTGACATTATCAACACCATCCCTGCCCATTTTGATGAATTGTGCATCCAGCAAGCGAAACTGAGCAGCCCAGACATGTGGCTCGGATACCTGCATGGCCATCTGCCATGAGGACTCGACCCCTAGCTTCACGAATCCTCCCACTGGTACACCGGACAGGGCACCCACTATGGAGGATGACACGCCGGTAGAAATTCCGACCGATTTACCGCGGGAGACCACTGTACGGGCTTCCTCTAATACGTAGAGTCCAGTCAGCATCCAAACTTTTGGCCGGCGTGCGAACTTGAAGTTCAGAACATAGGCGCTGTGGGCGGCAGAAAGCCACAATTTGAGTTTTTTTTGTGCGAGAGGATTACTCAAAACATTCGTGGTGAGAAAAGATTCGGGACTGTAAAAAGCGTCGTCAGAGCAGGAACACTTAAGTGCAGTGTAGACGGAGTACTCTTTGAGTATAACTCGGGTGCCTTTTTCGGCAACCACAACGCGCTCTAGATCCTTGTTGTAGGCAAGGTTGAGATTGACAATATCTCCACCCTCAAGACCGACAGTGGGTGCTAGACGAGAAGAGCCATGGAGAACTGCGTCCTTGATATTTGTGGAGAAAGCGTGTTCGCGCAGAGCATCGTCGCTAACGAGGTAAATTAGATCCGTATCCGAGAGACAATGGACATGAAAAGACAGAAAAGAAGAAGTACCCGAGCAACTCGTGAGTGTAATGTCGAGCAACCATCGGCTTCCAATACTTTTCTAGCACCAAGGACCCTAGAGTCAGGGCCTCGGGTTTTTCGCCCATCCCATAGAGGAAGAACGACGAGTCATCACCAGCTCCCATGTTGATTGCAGTACAAGGTTACTGGTAGATCGCCAAGGCTGATGTTCACACGGTCCATGAACCACAAGTTGGAACAAAGAGTTGACGGGTGGCATTTCAGCCACTATTTACCGCTGTTTATTTTTCTCTTTGACTAAGTGGGGATTCTTCGAACGCTGACCTACTCTAGCTTAACGCTAATCGGGCAACTTTTGGCGAGAACCAGTCAGGGGCCACGAGTGTGTTAGGGCCAATAGTATAGTTGCGGTATAATAATCCATATGCAAGTGCTTAGAGTTTAGGTGAAACTATTTCTTGCGTTCACAGCTGCGACGAACACTTCGGTGGCTTCGTGTAAGAGCGACGAGTACTCCCCATCTCCCAGCTCTTGCAAAAGTTCCAAATGGACTTTGAATGTCTTCTTGGTCTCTGCGGCCGATCTCTGTTTTCGGAGGAATATAGAGGAGAATTGGATGCTGCGTGGGGGTATTTACAAATAAGCGGGACCCGACGCGCTTGTGGACATGTCTACTATCCGCAGTAACGTCAATCTCTTGGTTTTTTGCTGCTTGTCTGAATGGATTTGGAAAAGCAACAATCGGAAGTCAGGTCCTGGGGTTCTCGCATGTCGTCTTGAGTACCGGATGTCAGGCCTATATCGGATCACTCTGGAAATTCAGCGACTTTGCTTCCATGTTGCTCATGACGCTCTTCTATCAACATTTAAAACGTCAGCCGCATCTGTCCGTGGCCGAGGTCATGAACGCGGCCCAGATGGATCTGCTACAGCTGGACAAAAACAAGTGCCCTTCTCGATAGTATGGTAAAGAATTTGACCTCCTCCGGAGATAACGAGGAGAACCCCGCAAAATTGTGCCAGACGGAGAAATCCTATTTCTGACACTGAAAATGACCCTGGACCAGCTGGACTGGTCGAGTCCGTTTACTGGGCCCCATTTACCCTGGTTGGATATGGAGGTTTCCATTTTGTACATGAGCAGGCTTAGAGGGGCTGTCACACACTAAATCCGAAGTATGAATATGAAATTGACAACCAAGAACCACGAGGGAACCGACAATTTCTGCTGGCGCATCATGATACCTGCAAGTTAACCACTATAAACTCTAGCTGTAGCTGGGGTAGCGCCTGGGAAGAACGTGGTAGGAACTGTTGGGATTGCAATGGATGTAGTGATTCCAAGCCCAGCAGTGAGCTGACCAGGCATTGTGGGCGCTGAGTACCCCGATGGAGCGGATGTCAATGTCGAGGTCACTGTGCCGTACTCAGTATGTTCAGATCCTCCGTGTAAGCAGTAGCCTGAGCCCCAAGCATCTGCGCACTTGTAGTACTCAGTGCTTCCTGACTCAGTCCACATGGCAAAATCCTCGATGATGATGTTCGTGCATGGCTGTGTCGAGGGGCACAATACGTACAGCGGAGCCCGTTGGGCTCCATTGGCGCAGGTTCCCTTCCAGTTGCTGAAGGTGATGGAGTTGTAGAGGACACCATCCCCTGCGGCCAATGTTTCCTGCGTCCAGTATGCGTCAATGTAGAGAGAATACGCGTTCTCATGACCAATAAAGTTTTGCAGAGTGACATCGGTCACTATTCAAATGTGCCGTTAGTCGGTGTACTTCACATAGCATTAAACAATAGCCCTAGTAGAAATGAACTTACCCGATCCGTTCCCTCCATTGCTTCTGCGTAAAATGTCAGTTTTAAATCAGTCAAGTCAAACTAGTGCGCGTACTTGAACATAAACATCTGGTTTGAATTTACAGTGTAAATATTGTTGTAAACCACTTTCGTAATATCTTGAAAGTCCCCAGTCAGCCTTTCTGCCTCGCATCTGTTCGATTACTTACCGGTATCCGTTCCTAGTGAACCCATTGCGCAACCACCAGACCAGTTGCAATAGATGTCCTCAACGAGGATGTGGTTCGCGGGGCTTTTGACAGTAACACATTCGTCTTTGTTCGTTACCTCAACATCGTGAACCCAGATGTCAAACCCCCACAAGTCGATGCCATCAAGACCTCCTTTATTTCCACCCCTGATGATCATGTTGTAGACCTCGCCCTGGTTGCAAGTGTCGAGGGTCAAATGGAAGGCCGGAGAGTCAACAAGGGCAATATCATGAATGGCAAAATTTGTCACTTGAGAGTGTCAGTACACGTATCTGGCTTCCACGAAAAGCCAGTACACATACCATCATAAAGGCGCAGAAGGCGTGGGCCATACTCCCCCTGAGAAAGGAATTCGTAGCCGTAGCCTTGTATTGCGCCCTCACCACGGGAAGAGTAGATCTCGAAATCAGTGCTGTGCTCGATATAGATCATATTACCCCCTGCAGTACCCGTACGGACGATGATTCCTTCTAAGTTAATAGCCCACGCGTTTCCACCACTTAGAGTAACCCAAGTGGCTAAAGCAAAAGTTCCTAGAGGGATGTTCACGACACCCCCTGAAGCACAGGCATTAAAGGCGTCCAGGATTGCAGGTCCAGCATCTGTCTTCCCGTCTGCCACAGCCCCATACTTAGTTATATCACAGACCTTGGTGGCCCATTTTGCAGCCGACGAAGTTAATGGTCCGATTGGGTAGTCCGAGGTATCCGCAAGTTGCGCCCCTGCGACAGAGAAGTAGCCAAGGCCGAGCAAAAGATTCTTCACTTGCATAATGCTGGTAAATAAGACTTACAAGGAAATGGATCAAGTGAAGGGATAAATAGCTTGACTATTTGAAAGCAGGGGAGCAGCCTCCTTTTAATTCTTCGTTCAGATCAGAGTGAAAATTGCCAGCTTCCATCCGTTCTAGGCAGACTGATAAATTAAATAAAATATGCAAGCCCTCATGTGTATACAAATCATTTTTTCCTATAATCAAATAGCGACGCCAAGTGTGTTGGCTGACGATAATACATTGAACATGCATGATCACCGGACACCTGAATATTATTCATGGGAAAATCAATGCAGTTGTTTCATGGGACACCACCATCATCTCATTTCTACCTTAAATGCCGCGGGGTTATGCCACTTCCCCATGTGTTTTCCGTTTCGCAAAGAGCGTAGCTCCCTCATTTGAGGATCGACATTTCTCCAGACGGGACCCCGCAAAGTTTGAAAAAACTCGGCGCATCGAGGCGCACCAATGATCGTTGTTGTTTGAAAACTCGCAGTTGTGATAAGGAAGAAGGGAAATTTTGCTTACGAGCGTAGGAAACAACCAAAGCCTTGCCATTCCGATACTTATTACTCAAGAGTACCTCGATGTATCTAAAGAATGAGATATCTCGGCATTCATCTTGCTTGTTTTCCCCACGCTTTGTGGCATCAACGGCCCATGGGGTATGAACAGATATCTGAACCGCTGAGTTTGCGCTACTAAACGTCATATAATAGCCACCCTTGAATTAATTAGCATAATGTCTACCGACCGTGAAAACCATAATCTCGTAAAATTCGTAAAATAACCTGAAATCCGTAACTTCCATTTGAAAATTACTTAGAGCTCCAACTATCTACAGGCAATGATCTGGGTTACCAGATGGATTCCCCCACCAGGTTGGGAAAGCATGTTCTTTTCCGCTTGCCCCAAAAACCGCAAAAGAGAGAACGAAAATGATTATTTGGGCACCTCCATCCAGCGCAGCCCCAATGAGGTAGTTGTACTTGTTGTAAACCCGGGGTAGCCGGCGTCGAAGCCAGAATTGCGAAAAGACCCCAACTGCAATCGAAGACCAAATCCACGAGGTATTTCCATAGTACGTGTACCCGGCATATGTTGAGATAATCGCGGTATTGAGCGGCCAGTCGCGGAAACGGGGGAAGACTTTGATCAAGACCCAGTGCACAACAGGCAGGGCCAGCCCGATGACAATTCCGAGGGGAACAATGAGATAAGGGCCCTTCGAGCCGTATATGTCCTTCGCCAGGGCCCACGTAATTGCCTGTGAGTTCAGGCTTTGCATGGTGGAGCCGCTCCAAACGCTGTTGCCCTCGGGGTTAAGGAGAATATCCCGCTGATTGGTCACGATTGTGGTCATGACTGCATAGTTCAGACCGGCTCCCAGCAGAGTCGCATAGATCTGTGTAGCAAACATGACGCGGTGGGGCACCTTAGTGTACTGTCCGACTTTGAGCCAGTTCGCTAGGTTGACAGCGAGGAGGATCACCTGGTGGGACCAACTAGCGAAGTATAGGTTTGCCAAAGGCCGACCCGGATGGAGGGCACCTCCCACCATCTTAGAAAGTTGGTTGGTTGAAACCCCAGATCCGTACAGCCCATAGAGAATGCAGGAAAAAGGGGCAATGAAACCTCCCAGTAGCAGAGAGACGACATAGCCCCAGACAGGAAGAGTTGTTTCGCCCTTTGCATTCACGATTATTCCAGCCACAAAGCACAGGACGAAGAGAACCAGATACCACCACATTGGGACTTCCTTGTACTTGAGCATTCCTTGGTAGTGCAGGTCGGGCTGAGTTCTGCTCCGTGCCTGCTTCCACGCAAGAACCATATCCTTCCCGAAAAAGATGAGGACATGAGTGATCAATGCTCCAATAGCCAAATTCTGCGTAAAATAACCCCAGACTGTAGTTGCTGTTAAGGATGGCAGTCCAATTTTGGCGAGCTTGGTCTCATCTATAGTGCCCTCGTTACTCAAAAGCGATGTCGTGGAAAGTGGCTCGCCGTTGCTCTTAAAAAGAGACGTTGACATGAAGGGAAAGTTTTTCGCATTGAAGGCATTGCTGTAGTACAACCCAAGCATTGCAGGATACCATATCACATAGGCAATCCACGTGTTGACCTGTTGCTTGAACGGTAATGACAGATAAGTGCTCTGGATATACTGCCAGTCGAGAGAGAAGTTCAGCAGACCCATTCCTTCGTTGGACGAAGAACCACCAAAAATTGTCCCAAAAAGGGTTCTAGTATGTTCTGGGGCATTCATTGATGCCAGACAGAAGATCGAAATGCCTCCGAACCATGTCACAATATAGGCAGGGAAGATTTCCCAGACAGCAGCAAAGGCAAGAGCCCATCCAAATTTGATGAGACGGCCTCTGTTTGCGCGCCGATCGAAATGCAGCTTTTGGAAGAGAACCACTTGCGGTAGGGTTGTCCAGTATACCATTTCAGCTGGATAAACGATCAGCGGTCGTAACATCCCTGCCAAAACAAAACCACAAAGTGACATTGAGAAGGTAGCTAGGACCGCTGTGCTGGCTGAGACACTTCGATCATAAAATAGTCTTTCAGCGGCATAGACCTCCACCCCGCTCAGACCGTTGTTGCCAGACGATGCAATCAGCGCTGCAATGACGTGCTCCTTGATTCCGAAAGGCTGCCCAAAATTGAAGAAGCGAAGTGTAGCCTGTAGCCAATTCCATTTGAATCGGTCTGGGTGAGGAGTCAAACGTGCCCAGGCTTCAACGAAGACGTATATCAACACTGACAGAAGCATGAGTGGAAAGCCATCAACCAGGTTTTGAATGAGGAAAAAACATACATTGCAGAAAGGTCGCAGAGACTTGCATCTGAACTGGCTTGAAGACATAAAGCATGGTGATTACACTGGAAAGGGCAGTGAAGGCACTACCCAAGACGATGGACCGAAAGGTCAAGGAAGGATCTCCATCATCCCGATCCGAGATGAGAAATTTGGAAACATCCGCACCTGGTTACTCAAGTCAGAGATAGGAATGGAAAGATGTATGCAGCAAGTACCATTTTGAATAACAGGATGACCATTCACGTATACCGTATCATCCTCGCCTTGAGATGTTGAAGAATCTTCAGCATCTTTTTCACGGGGCAGTGCGCTGGCTGTTTTCTCATCCATAGCGACTACTGGTTCTTCGGCAACGGTCTCTGCTCCTGGAATATTCAAGTCGTCCCCTGAATCCGTTAAAGCTCTGACGTCCTCCGTCATTTTTGGGATCGGCTTATCCGCGCAGGATACCGCTGGACAAGGAGCAGCGAAGGAGAGAGAATGTTGGTGGCACACAGGGAACACAGGGATGGCATTCAGCGGCGAGAAAGCCGATGTGAGAGATGATCTTAAGGACGAGGTAAGAGTTGATGTCGCAAATCAAACTGTAATTTCATGGGGTCGAGGAACAGCTCCAGACCGGTCAAAGACGCTATAATAATTGTGCTATCTGCAACGCAAATGGTGCGCTATCGGTAAACGCGTTTCTTGGGCTAGAAGGAGCAAGATTGAGAGGGGTAACAGGGACTATTGACAAATGGGAATTGCGCAATTGGCATCGGAGATGCCTAAGGAAGTTGTTAGGAGACAATTTTCGAACTGGCCAATAACATAACGGGAAAAACATAAACATGCCGAGGTGGATATACCAGCCGATTGCGTGATTCGCGTGTTCGCTAACCAAGACATGTTGTGGCAGGATAGGGTTGCATCGGGGCGTTGTGTTCTACCCCACCCACTTAAGTTGCTTGTTTTGACTTTTATACATAGTCATGGTGCTACGTATAACTATTGTCCAACTGGCGAGCAATAAACCACGCAAATCCTTGTTTTGATTACGACACGATACCGAGCAAAGGAATCATTGTTCGTCGTTGTTGACGCGATGGGAAGCTTCCATTCCACCCCAGCTCTCAAACTGCTAAATTGTGATCAACATCGATACATAGTGAATGTCGTCCGAATGTTCGAAATGAATAACCTCTGCCCACCCATTGCTCCAAGCAGGCATTATATCAAATGTCGATATGGGGGCACCTGCGAGGAAATTAAAATGCCTTCCTTGGGGATAGGCACCACACTGCGCTCTTGTTCGTCCGCAATTTTGAGATTGGATCCGAGAATCTGTAGTGGTCAAGAGTGTTGAGCAGTTCGGACTGGGGCAAGGGGACTTCATAGGACGTCCCTTCGACTGCCATCGTCGCAGGATCTGAGCACCGCGACATCTTCAGAGACCTGCGAGCCGAGGCAGCGCGAGACGATCGCATTGACAAGTTGATTATCGGAGCGAAATGGTTGATATACCACGTAGTACCAGCTGTCGATACCTTGGTTGATGTAAATAGAACTTCCCATCCTCTACTTCCGGCATTTCGCAACTTTTGCTTTATCTCATTCGGCAAAACCAGCCACTGCCCCTGCCCCCCCCGAGTTCAGAGGCAAGCAAGCGTTCAAGGTGGTCCTTGTCGGAGGATCCTTGTTCGGTGCTAATTCCGAATGATAAAACAATTTTATTCCTGGGACCCAGCGCACCGGAGTTTATGGGCTGTCTAATCGCTCTTTTGGTAGCTGGGACTGCAGTACCGGGCTCTCGGTGTGTCACAGGCTACACAGACAGAAGCGCCTTCTTTTGGGCAAGCGTTGGCCGAGCAGGGTGCTGTTGCCATAATGGACGGAGGAAGTGTCAATAAAGAGGTTGAGTAGGTAGTGTGTGTTTGGGGAAACCAAGATTAAATGTGCCACTGTGGGGCTGGCTATCTACGAACGATAAGCCAATCAATGAAGGGCTACGATGGCCTCTAAACCGATCTAGTTAGTGAGTTAACTAACTGGTTAGTTACTAGTTAGTGAGGGTGAGTCACTGGCCGTTCATTTTTTAACCTATTTATATCGGGTGCGCAGAATGAGGAGTTTTGTTTCTAGCTCTACGGATCATGTCTCTGACAATACTACCACCAGAGCTGCTGCACCTGATAGTCGACGAAGTAACAGATACTTATGAAGCTCGAGTCCAACCTTTGGCAATCCTGAAGGCTCTCTATGATATCGCTCGAACGAGCCAAACCGTATGGAACACCGTGAGCTGTCGGATGTACTGCCATGATGTCCAGTGGCTGCGAAGCTCGGCCCTCGTCTGGGCAGCAACAACAGGCAATATGTCAACTGTAAAGAGTTCTCTTGCTCAAGGTGGAAACCCACGCGCAACCAATCATCACCTCCAGCCCCCGCTGTGGCTAGCCGCCCGAAATGGCCACAAGGAGGTAGTTGAGGTGCTGCTCAACTATGGAGCCGATATCGAGATCAGAAGTCCGACAGGGCTCACCCCACTTGCAATCGCTTCGCGGGAAGGGCGAGATGAAGTTATGGAACTCCTACTTCACCGAGGGGCAAAAGTTGATACCGAAACCACTGACCATTCGACGCCCCTCCTCTGGGCCCTTCGAACGGGAGCAACAGATGCAGTGACAATCCTACTCAGCCATGGGGCTAAACTTCCGAAGCCGCGTACCCGGCAATGCCGACGATGGGCCCTAGCTGCACTGGCTGTGGGCCCTGACCGGTGGACTCATATTCCTGAGATCAAGTTGCTAATGGAATCGGGACGCAATGCGGAAATGGAGAAACACCTTTGGAATAGCACACTGCCTCTCTCCTTGCAACACCAGCTTCTCGCCATATCCAGATTCCTCCTTCTCCCAAAAAACGGAACTCCCACAGAACACATTGCGGCACACTGTGATCGGTCCGTTTCTGAATATGGAAGATGGTTTGACACCATTCAAGACCTGCCATCCAGATGGTCAAGGAGCCCGAAGGGGACCCCTTTATGGTGGGCTGTTTACCACGGCGAAGAGGATCTTGTTGAGCAGCTACTGAAGATCGGCGCCCCAGTCAATGGTCTGGTTAGGTCCTACAATCAAACCAGGCAACCTAATCGGCTTCTTTCCCTTGCACTAATTAGAGGCTTTCCTGGCATTGCAGAGCTGCTGGTGGAGTATGGAGCCGATCCAAACTATGAGCTGCGAGCTGGCGACACTCCTCTCATAAGGGCGGTGCAGACTAATAACCTGTCCCTGGCATCGACCATCTTACGACAAGGAGGTAAACTGGAGGCTAATAAGTATTATCACCATCACGCGGAGCCACTGAAAATTGCAGTTGGAATGCAAAATGTCCAGATGGTGAGACTACTTCTATTGTTCGGTGCTTGTCCGAACGTCGAGGTCGTGGCATGGAGAAAGAAACTTCCACCAAGGCTTTCGCCGCCGTCTCGAGGTAGAGGCAGAGGCAGGGGTCCAAGACTGGCGACTTCTCATCGTAGGTTGTGGCAGACAGTCGAATTGGGCTCTATGCTCATATACGCCACTCGGCGAGGAAACAAAGATGTGGTGGACATCCTAAAAGAATTCGGGGCCGTTGAAGACATCGATTCCTTGGAGTACGAAGATTAGGGCTTACAGCTGACGGTATCTTGCCCAAAGTTTTGTGAGTCACATCAGTCCTTCCACCTTGCCGGTATCATTTACAAGTAAGTCTAAGTCTCATCGACATACTCTATCTACAGATTTCCTTGGCTCTAAGGTTTCCTGCTGTCTACTACGTTATGCCCAACATGGGGGAATTCTGCACACGAGCAAAAGTGTCGTCTGATGTTTTATGTCTTGCAGTAGGATATAGTGTTTAGTACCTTTTTGTAGCATACTAATAACGGGTCTGTCGAGGATAGACGGCCGCTAACTATAAACAGCCTTCTATCTCCTATGGCTAACCACGGCTTTATGCGTATCTCGAAAGGCTTGGGCGTTAAGGGGTTGAAATACCGATGAGCATAATCAATGAAGCCTCTTGTATTTCGCGGTTGTTATCGTCATGACGCCTGCTGCTGCTCTTTCCAGGCGGCCCGCTTGCGGTAGATATCGCGGCGGAAGGTCTGCTTTAAGGCACTTACCGCCTCAATGTCCACTGGTAGCTTCGCTTGGACGGCGCCGATGCCACACAAACCATTCTTGCGATCAATGAACCAGGCGAAAGTCATGCCCCCACCCCAACTCAGCGTACGCTCACCGTACCAGCCATCGATATCCTCCAACGTCAGCAAGCCGCTCAGGCCATAGCCCATTTTCGCTTCCGGGTTGACACCAACGGTGAAGAAGGTACCCATGGGGCTTGCTAGCGCGGCTTGGTGTCCCGCAGCCGCTTCGGAATTAAGGCGTTGCTGAAACATCTCGTCAACGGTGGCGGGATTGAGCAATTTCCCATCATTTGCCAGCAGCGAGCGCAAAACCTTGATGTAACTAGCACCAGACATGAATAGACCGTGGCCTCCAAAATCTCCACGGCCGGTCTTGTTCATGTCGCCGCCGCCACCGAGCACAGCACGTCCGACGGCGTCCGGGTCATCCGGGTTAAGGTCAACTAGACGAGAGCGTAGGTCCTCGCGCGTGACAGGGTAGAATTGAGCGTCATTGATACCAAGCGGGTCGAAGATCCGCTGCTGCATGCGCTCACCTAGAGTGCGGCCAGTCACCCGCTCCACTATGCGGCCAGCCCAGTCGAGTCCCGATCCGTACATCCAGCTGGAGCCGGGATGGAAGGCAAGCGGGTAGCAGAACAGCTCCTCGACCGACCGGGGCCGACCATCGTCCGAAGAAGAGAACTTCTCGCGCCACCGGGCGATATGTGGGTTACAGAAGTGGTAGCAGAGGCCAGAACTGTGCGAAAGCAGCATTTCGAGCGTGATTGGCCGGTTTGCCGGCTCAAGCAGAGGGGTTTCGCCGTCATCCGAGAAGCCAGTGATGACCTGCTTGGCAGCCAGTTCCGGCGCGACGGACGATAGGTCGCCAGTCAGGGACAGTAGGCCCTCATCGACGCACTGCAGGGCGGCGATAGTGGTAATCAACTTGGTGGCGGAGGCTAGGAAGAGCACGTCGTCAAGTCGCTGCGGGCGATTCTCGCCTGACAGCAAGGTGCGCTCGCCGATTGCCTTGTCGTAGACAAAGTGACCCTCGGCGTCGGTGGCACAGATAACGCCGCCGTTGATCTTACCGGCATCGATGGCGGCCTGAAAATCTATCTCTATGCCGTGGGCCATGATGAACCACCGTGTTATTTGAATTGCACGAGGTGAGATGGACAGTTGATTTTCGTGCCTACGCGCCGTGAACCGTGTCATTGCGGAGTCTGGTGGGGCCTGAGCCGCCTCTCCATTCTACTGCGCAGCATGAGACCTATTAGATCAAACTGTACTACCATATACCAGGCCATCAATTGTGTAGCTTTTCTTTTTTTATGGATGTGGCGCCTAAAATTTCTGTTTGTTGCCCTGATGGTAAAACTTGTCATGAATAGGGTATGTGATTATTCGAATCTTATGGTCGGAAGCGGGTCGGTCTTTGTAAATGCGCTGGGAGTCACATCGGACTCCTCAGAGCCAGTTCCACTCCCCATCCTGCCTTGCGATGTAGTACATCAGACCTACAGACGTGGCTGAGGTGACCACTTAACATACGGATGATCTGCACCATCCGGGACTAAGTGGTCTATGTCCGAAGTGTTGACAAGCCTTGGATGTACCTCCGAGAGATTTTTGATACCGATGAGCTTCATCACGCCTTCAACCTCCTCTTTGAGGACTGCGTGGATATTTTAGTATTTTTATCACAAGTGCAGTAATGTAGTCGACTTCACTTACTTTGGACAAGATGCTCCACGCCCTCCGTCCCATAATGTAATGCATAAAGGAAGGTACGACCGATACCAACAGCTTTTGCTCCAAGGCAAAGTGCTTTCACAATGTCAGCTCCTCGCCGGAAGCCACCGTCGACGTATACTTCCATTTGGTTAAAAACCTCGGGGCAGTTCTTGTGCATTTCCAGTAGCAAGAGAATCGCTGGTGGCGAATAGTCAAGATTGCGACCTCCGTGGTTGCTGAGCAAGATACCATCGACATTGTGTTGCATTGCAATCTTCGCATCTTCAGCACCCGTAATGCCTTTCAGGATAATTGGAAGACTGGTAATATTCCTGATCCATTGGATATCACGCCAGGTCATTCCCTGGTCAATATAGCTCCCCATAGTTCTTGTCAGTCCGTTGCCTCTTTTCCCCCCTTCGGCCCGCTCGCCGGTAACTGGGTTGATAATAACTTCATTATCCGCTTTGAGCCGTTCATCTGCTTCTCTCTTGCCTCTTCCAGCCGCATCAACGGTCAAGAAAATCGCCTTGATCCCGAGAGATTCGACCTTTTCCAGAAGCTCCCTGGTTTTTTCGCGCTGTTTGTTCATATACAGCTGAAATAGAAATGGGAAATCTGGAGCCTGTTGGACAATCTCCTCAATTGGATGACTTGCCGCAGTAGAAATCTATGGCTTATTAGGACCAGAGGGATTTGTTTGGAGATACCGAAACTCACTATCTCCAAAATTCCAGTCGACTTTGCACCACGTGCCAACCCCTTCTCAGCTTCGGGATTGATCAGCTTTGCTACGCCGGTAGGACAGATAAAAAGCGGCAACGAAACGGGAATGTTGAGAACTGTGCTTGACGTGTCCACAACAGACACGTCTTTCATCACTCTTGGTCTAAACCAAATTCTCCTGAGCATCGCATTGTTTGCGTCGCGCGTCCAACAATCAGTATCGGCTGTTGAGTAAAATGCAAATGCTTTCTTAGGCGCCGAGAGGGCAGCCGCTTGCTCAAAGTCGTAACTATACATAGGAGTTAACACAATTGCGCCCCCATATTTTGAATTGGAGCCCCGACCTATTGATGATTGTGTGTAAAGGGGGCCTGTCGCCCTCGGGACGAATCGCTGTGGGCGAATTTCTAGTGGTAGCAATCTTCCAATCTTCCGTAATTGTTGATCGATCAAGATTACCTTTGAAGGAATCCTGAGAGAGATTCTCTCTGATCAATGAGGCACCATGAATTTCCGAATAAGCTTCAGTGGCGTCTCGCCCAGCATACTTGAAGATAGCTTTGAGCCACCAAAGGAATGTCTTAGTATCTCGATATGCGCACCCAATTTTTTTTCCAGGTTGGAAGGTAGAGACGAACACGTACTGGCAGATCCCCCGGGATGTTCGTGTGCGAAATCAGTTACATCCCATATTTCATCATTAACCACAATCCAGCAGTCCTCGGGCTTGTTGTGCTTGGAAATGTGACTTGCGGGGAGGAGGCCGGTTTCCCGCATTGTGGTGTTGTAGGATGTTCCTAGATTTGGTGCTTGGCTGTTCACCTCGATGTAGGTTACAGGGACAGTTGGAAAGGGACCCAATACGGTTCGACTGAACGCAGTTTGCCTCCTAGTGTGAGTAGACTCCTTCGATTCACTCGAGATCTCGGGAACAACACCGAGGCGTTTGTCAGCAGAATTAATGTGAGGGGCCTCCGCAGATCTAGTGGTCATTTGGGGAGGATAATGGCCATCATCCAATAGTCGGGGTCTCCCCCACCCGCGAGCATCAGCGACGAGAAATTAGAAGCTTTTAGAAGTCACTACGATAGATTTCCTGCCTTTTCTGTCTCGGTATTCATTTAATTGTTGATATCTATATTCTAGCTCGGCCCTGCGTCTTGCTTTCCAGGTTTCGAAATTGCCGGAAGCATTCAATAGCTTCTGGGTTTTGAACTGTCGCACTCAATTTTACATCCTTTCCACTGATCATCTGTTTAACCGCTATTTCGACCCGTTTACCGTTGATGGTCATTGGTATGTCCGGAACAGCTAACACGAATTTGGGTACATGGCGGGGAGATAGCCCATTTCGGATCGCTGTTTCAATTTGGTTGCGCAGACCTTGTGTAAGTAAAACCCCAGGCTTCATCACAAGAAAGAGGAAAACCTGCTCGTCCACGTCAGTCGGTCTTCTGCGACCAACGCAAACGCAGTTGCCAAAGTAATCGGTGAATGGGCGTTTTTCAATGATGGCATATATTTCACCGCTCCCAAAACGGATACCCGAAGGATCTACAATGATTAGCAATCGGTACGTCGAAGGCAATAGAGACGTAACTCACTGAGGATACCGTCGCTCCTTCCTTGCATGATATAGCCTCCCGTGTTCGGATTTCTCCTCAGCCAGTCACGCTGCGCCCAGACGTCGACATTATCAAAGCGCTCGAAGTAGGCCGATTTGTATATCTTGCCATTGGAGTCACCCCAGAAGAAACATGGCATACTCGGGAACGGCTTCTTCACTACCATCTCACCCGCTTCTCCCGTATGTGCAATCGACTCCCCAGTCACTGGGTCCAGAATATCGACATCCATTCCAAGTCCAAGGATTTGCATTTCGCCTGCGTTGATTGGCCCAGATGGATCCAGAGCAATGAGAGCAGTGCCCGTCTCAGTTCCCCCAGCAATGTTGCAGATTTGTACCGAAGGTGGAAAGCAACGGTAAAACCACCTGTATTGCTCTATGGACAATGGAGCGCCGGTAGTATGGAACGTTTTCAATGGCGAGAGATCAAAGTCGATTTTCGGGACTGTTCCAGACATTTGGATTTCCAGCAGCAGACGCGGAGACGCACCCAGAAGAGTCACTTTGTATCTCTCACATATCCGAAGGAGTTGTTTCGCGTCTGGAAACAAGGGACTGCCATTGTATACGACGAGTGTAACTCCAGCCGTCAGATGACCACACATCCCATAAAACACAATCCACGACGTGCTGCTGTATTGCATGACCACGTCTGTTGGAGTTAAGCAGTCGTGGATCTCCGATATCTTTTTGAATTGAATAACGGCGCCGTGCTGGTGGACAATGCATTTTGGAGCCCCAGTCGTTCCCGAGGAATAACATATCATCAGGGGGTGGTGAAATGGTACCCTGGTAAATGAGAGTTTGTCGGAAAGAACGGACTTCCCCAAAAAGTCGTTCATGGGAGAGAATTCGCCGATGTCACCGGTGGCTACCGGTATGACATACACTTGAGGTCGCGGTTTGAGCCGGAGCAAGATCTTCTCGGTCTTCTGTTTGGTAGCCAATGCCTTGCCCTTGTAAATGGCGTGGCTATCGACAAATAATATGCTGGGAGTGACCTGCTGTAGTCTTGAAATACATCCTTCAAGTCCAAGCTCTGGACTGATGGAAGTAAAGATGGCTCCGATCGATGCCGCCGCATGGAAAATAATGATCGCCCAATTTGACGTAGCGACCACGGCAGCAACTCGATCCCCTTTCTTGATACCACTATGCCTCAACGCACTTGCAGTCTGTCTGACACGCTCTCGGAAATCTCGCCAAGTAAGAATTTCTCCTTCGTCTCTGTAGATGTCCTGTCCTTCCCTAATTCCGATCAATGCCACCGCGTCGGGGTCTGGGTTGGCAAAAACCACATTTTCCGCATAATTAATCTCATGGCCCAAGAAAAACGGTGGAATGCGGCTCATTGGAAGCGTATCATCGTAGGCCTTGTTGATGGTAGACGGCAGGGGAGGCACAAGCTCCAAGTATTTATAGAGATCGAGCCAGAAAAGATGCGGATGCTTAATAGACCATTCTTGGAGGTCTTTGGTGTTCTGATGATTCAAGGCAAACAGTTTGTTGACGTGTTCACGGTACTCATCCATGGCCATCTTTCCTTGCCTCTGCGAAGGTCGCCATACAATTTCCGGATCGGGAGTGTCGGTTGCCATATTTCAGATCAGCACAGTTAGCTTAGTTGCAGTGGCAATTCAGGTACTTGAGCTTATTACTTAAATCAATTTATGTTTCACTCATATTCAATTGTCGGTATTGAAGACTCGCGCTATGGAAAGTACCCCGCCACCGACTCTACCGAATGCTTCGGTAAATTCGGCGAAGTGGGGGAGAGAGACCCTACCGTTCCCAACGGAGTTCCCGACGATTCTCTGCCAACCTATGAGGATAGCTGAGAGGAGAAATATCATTATGATAGTACCCTATAACAGATATGACGCATATTGAGACGCAGTTGGCGCTAAACGGAGTAGCAGGTCCAGATGTAACTACTATCGAATTCTTCTGGGCGCAGCATACTAATTTTCTTCAGAATTTTCAATATAGAATAGGCAAATAATCACCATACGGACTGATCTCCTTTGTATATCATTTATAAAGTATAACGGAATCCAACTACTCCTTCCAAAACAGCCTCATCTTGACTCGCCTTTCTGTTCATTCTTGCAAGATGGGTTGACAACACGCCGACTAAAATGATAGAAAAGCCACAGCATCTAAGGCATGTTAGCACAGTCGACTGAATTAGAATCAACTTTTGACTTACCCAAGACAAGTATAAATACCTGGGAGATACTCAGGCGCATCTTGGGATCGGAAAACCAAGGCTCCAATAATACCTCCCGTGCCTCCTGATGTAACAAGGGTTGCGCTTGCAAATGCACGCTTCCACTGTCCGCAAACATTGTTCGCTTGGTATGCCATAACGCAAGGTATGGTGCTTTGTGCAGCTGCAGTCACCAGAAAAACACCAAAGTATTGAACTGCTGCAGAGTCAACCCAAACCAGAAGACATAGCCCACAAATGCCCTGCAAGCTATTCCATAAGATAAATGGACCTCTAGTACGATACTTATCTCCGATCCAACCCTGTATATACATATACACACCAGCAAAGAAGAAGGGTGGCGTGCTCAACACCTGCGATAAACCAACATTGAACCCCATCCTGCTGTTCAAAATGATTGGTAGGAAAAATGTGATTGAGTATGAGATTACAGTGTTGGCTCTAAATTCAAGTTAACTTTGTCCTTTTAATAGCCCTAGACGTTTGACTCACGCGAAGATAAGGCCAAAGCCCCAAATCTTCAGATCTAGAGCAGATGTTAAGAATGCACGCCAGGTGAACGGCTCATCCTCTATATCTTTTCGATCCTTTTCCAGCATGCTCATAACATATGCAATCTCCTGGGCCGTGAGGAAACCTCGGCGTTTGTGCGCATTGTGAGGAAAGTCGACAATTAAAAATGCTGCAACGAATGCAACCATGCATGTTAGTACTCCTTCCCAAATGAATATATACCTCCACCCCAAGAGTCCACCAACTCCACTCATCTGCATGAAGCCGTAGGCAAGAACACCAGAGAGTGAAGAACATGTGATGCTGATAGAGTAGAATGCAGCATATCGCTTATGTACGTCATCTAAATTCTGTTAGCAACTAAAATTGGACCAGGGAATATATGGCGTACAGCGACAATACCAGACCTGCAGCAAAAAAAGGGTCCCGGGAAGTAGTCCAGCCTCGAAAACTCCAACAATAACACGAAGACCAACGAGCTGGACCCAGGATTTCACGAACCCGAAGCATAACATAACAATTCCCCAAGCAACAGCGGTTACAGGCAGGAAAATCCGGGGGCCCATCTTCCGCACAAGGATCGCACTTGGCCACTGGCAAAGCACATATGGGACAAAAAACATAAGAATACTCAATGACTTTATTTTGTCAGTTTTATTGTCGACATCTCAATTGGCATGTGTCCACATACGAAGCGAGATCCTTTTTCTAATTCCAACTCCTTGGCCATCCCGGCAATGTTAGCGGAGCCAAGGTTGGCGCGATCGATTAATGACACTGCAAACATGAGCCCCAGGGCAGTGATCAAACGTCTGTCAATCTTGTGGAGGATTTTTTTTCTCTCTGACGGCAATAGGTCGTCTTCAGTTGGCTCATGATGGAGTTCATCTGCTGCCTCCACGTGTTCCATCGTAATCTTCTCCCGGCTTTCAAGATTTGACATCAATTTTGACATCTTAAAGCAGAATTAGATCTCACGATTTTCTTCTTTTTGTTTCAACTATGGAAGAGACGGGAATCATGGCATTTTCAAGTTAATTGATTCGAGTCTCGGCAAATTCGGAGATCAGTTTCTCCTCATCTGCTTAGTGTATGCGGAGTCGCCGAGACAAAAGGCGCTACTACCGAGAGTATAATTTGCCGTTCGGTATCCCAAAATTAGCGCCGAGGATAAATACTGGCAGTGCTATATCCCACGCGGGTATCTACAACTAAAATGATCTGATGAAACGAGTGCGTCTAGCAGCAACCAACAACGACGGCACCCGATACCATGGCAAAATACCAAGGTCTTAGCAACATGTCACCATCTTTTGCTGATACTGCAGACTTTGAAAATGCAGACCGTGGTTTCTTATCGTCACTAACGCCATGTGTGATCAAAAACGCTACTGGAAAGATTGTCTGGAACAATGACGAGTTCAGTTTCGTCAACGAACAGCCGTGTCCAGCCACTGTTAACCCTAAACTTTGGCGCCAGGCTCAACTGCTATCAAAGCAAGGGCTATATCGAATTAGCCCATCCATTTATCAAGTTCGCGGCTTTGACATTTCCCACATCACCTTTGTCGAGGGCGAAACAGGCATTATTGTCATCGATCCTCTAGTCTCCTGTGAATGTGCCAAGGCAGCATTGGAGCTTTACCAGTCCGAGCGAGGAGTTCGCCCTGTCAAAGCAATTATCTTCTCACACTCGCATATTGATCACTATGGAGGAGCGGCAGGAGTATTACCGACTTCAAAGATGGGTCCTGCGACGGACAATATCCACATCATTGCACCTGAGGGATTCATGAAGGAAGCAACCTCAGAGAATGTTGTTGCGGGGCCTATCATGCGCCACCGCGCAGTATACATGTATGGCTCAACTCTCCCCAAATCTCCTGTTGGCCAAATTGGCGTCGGACTAGGGATGGCGACTTCACAAGGCAAAACCAGCCTTATTCCGCCTACCATCGACATTGGGCATACCGGACAGACTTTGACTATCGACGGTGTTCGGATTGTTTTTCAAATGGTGCCAGATACCGAGGCACCTGCTGAAGTGAATATGTACTTCCCCGATGAGCGGGCTCTCCTGATCCCAGAATGTGCAGTCCACTGTATGCACAACATCACTACTCTTCGTGGTGCTTTGGTCAGGGATGCGAGGGCATGGAGCAGGTATCTGGACGAAACTCTTATGCTGTACTGTGGGAACAACAGAACAGATGTTTTGTTTGGGAGTCACAGTTGGCCAACATGGGGAAAAGAGGAGGTAAAGGGCTTGTTAGAAGATCAAAGGGACTTGTATGCCTATCTGCATGACCAAACTGTGAGGCGGATGAACGACGGCTGGAATGGCACCGAGATTGCCGAGGAAATGATTTTACCTGCCGGACTGAGGCGGGCATGGCATGCACAAGGATTCTACGGGAGTGTGAGCCATAACGTCAAAGGCATATATCAACGTTATATGACATGGTTTGATGGATATGCCGAGAACCTCTGGAAGTGGCCACCACATGAGGAGGGTTGCAGGTACATCAAATGCATGGGAGGCGTGGATGAAGTTTTGGTCAAGGCCAAGCTTTTCATCGAGGAAAATGATTTGCGGTTCGCCGCTACTTTGCTAGGTCACCTTGTCGCAGCAGGAGACCAGGCTGGGGGTTCTCCGGCCTCGCGAGCTGAAGGAAAGACAATGCTAGCAGACGTTTTTGAGCGCCTTGGGTTCGGGAGTGAAAATGCAACATGGAGAAACTTTTACTTGTGCCAAGCATTGGATCTGAGGAAAGGGGATCGACCTCGAAACAGATATCCGTCCGGGCTGGCCAAGTTTCCAGTAACTTTGTCAGTGGAACAGTGGCTTGGTGGGTTGGCCCTTAGAGTTGATGGTGAGGAGGCCGGGAAAGACGAAAGGCGCATATGCATTGATATCCGCGTTACGGACATACAGGAAACGTGGAGGCTGATCCTGAGCAACGGCGCCTTGACTTACAGACAACAAGATGACGGTACAACAGGCGTGGAATCCCAGTTGGATCTATCTCTGTCTCTAAACAAGCATGAGCTGCAGCAGATTCTGTCTGGCAGGGATGCAAGAGAAGCCAAAGTGCTCGGCGGCGATGTTCAGGCCCTCAATAAATTGCTTTCATTCGCGGGTATTGCTGGGGTGAGAATGAAGTCAAATAGTCATCTCTGAATCCCGCAAATTGCTATTACATGGTAGTCGTTTCTAAATGCCACAAATTGTTACTACTTGCTATAAGTGATCATAATGGTAATATAGTACTTCTAGGTAGCCATGCTATATGTGGATGAAGCTGTGAAGTCCTCTGTGAGCATGTTTGTTTATTTCTCACTCCTTTCTCCGCCCTCGCCTCTGAGATGAATTCAATGTTTAGAGGCGCCTAGAGCGAGAGAGCTTAGCTTTCGGTATGTATTGATCGGTTATATCGTGCGGGTCCCGAGATACTTCGGCAGCGGGGTAGACAGCTCGGTGGCTATCACATTAAAACTACCGAGGATGCTCTGTATATATTCTCATCATTATAAATGTATGACTTTCTAGCAATCGCATAGATACCAACCACTTCACTGATTAGGCAAAAAAGATGGCTTCTTCACCATTTGACAGTCCGAAAGAAAGGCAACATGCGCTTAATTTTGCATATATGGTGAGACGAAGATCGATGATTGCGGTGATGAAGACTGACATGTTGCTCTATAGTACGGCTATCCTCTCTTGGAGTACGGCAAATATGTGGCACAGTTTCCCAATGCCTGCACCAACACTCTCTACCATGACCGACGACTTTCGACTTCAGATGACCTCAAGATAATTCGTCCCAACTCGGACACGTTGTATTCCACTATCTTCGTGGATCTGTCCTCAAATGACCTGCAAATTACTATTCCAGAACTTCCAAATCGTTATTGGGTTTATCCCTTCTATGATCTGTACGCGGCCTTTTCACTTCTCGTTAGGATCCGATCAGCTTACTCTTGGTTTCCACTAGTTATGGAAACGATATAGGCAATATCGGCAGTCTTCAAGGTCACCAGGCGGGCACGTACCTCATCCGATATACCAGTGAAAAATTTGGTTTCTTCCTCGGTTCCCCGCCGGGATATGAAGGCGATCGCGATATTTTGGGATATATCAATTTGCCCACCCCCTACGGTATATGCCTTGCACGATTTGCCACAACACAAGCTGTCCAGGACCAAGAGGCTGTTTGTAAGTATCAGGATCAGATTCGACTGTCATCTATTCCACGGCTTGCTAGGCGTTCAGCTCCTCGGTTGCAGCTCTCCATTTTTATAGCCCCTAAGCATCAACCATCACGGAAAGTTTCTCCTGAACAAGCCACCTTGAACTTGACCGCATCCCTGGCTCATTTCAATCCTTCCCCTGTCTTAACGGACAGACAGTGGATTTCTGACACCCTCGCACGAAGCGGAATAAAAGATGGTGTTTTCACTTGTCCTGAGGGAGTTGATATCTCGCAAGTCTCCGAGTTCGCAGACACTCAAGCTCGAAAAGGGCGGCAGGCTCCTGGTGGCACGATGGACTTTGGCAATGGATGGATCTCTGCGTATCCCAGCTGTATGGGGAATTTTGGATCCAACTATGCTGCAAGATATTACATAGCCAGGTTCGGCTACCTGGGCGTTACGAGCGATCAGGCAATCTACCCATCTCGACCGAAGGCTCTCAGGTTTAAACATAACGAAGCTGTTCTATTACGCTTCTCTCGCCGACCAGTTCTCTTCAAGACCGGGTTCTGGAGTCTAACCGCTTATGATGCAGACCAGTATCTCGTCAAGAATGACATGAGTAGGTACGTTCTCGGAGATCGAGATAATATGACCTTTCCCGATGGAACCCCACTGGACGACGAAAGCAAGGATGGCGAGTTTTTCATTCTGTTGCAGCCCGCGGACGTTCCACCACCCGCCAAATGGAAAAATAACTGGCTACCCTCACCAGCAGGGGGTGGAAAGATGTCAATCACATTGAGGTTTTATGGCATCAAGGAAGAGATGATGCCCAAATTTTACGAGTATCCGAGACTCGAGTACGTCAAAGCAATCACTGAATCACACAAGTCATTGCTCTGAAGAGGTCACTGTGGGTCTGTTTTCTTGAGTTGGATGCCATTTCATGTTTTCAATCACTTGCATGGCTTGAAATTTGGGTGCAAGCGAACGTAGCGCCCGTGCCCTTCGAAGAAGTGGAAGGTTCCAGAGATTTAGAAGCGTGAGGAAAATCCATATTAACCCACGCCTGATACATTGACTTCATCTCAATTCATTTAATTCCTTCATCCGCGTCATGCCATATCAGACAAACGAGTTCAAGATATCTAGATTCAAAAGATTCTCTATTGACCAGTCTGTGAAACTTTCAAAAAGTCCGTTTGTAAAGTCTTCCGTTTCCATCGTGGACAGCAGCTCCATCCTCGGACTCAATTCCTTCTTGAAGGGAAACAACTCGTATACCCTCGGCACAGTCGTGTATGTTCTCCACGTGGGGTCCCACGAAGCTCTGCTTGTGTCTTCAAGCCCCGTTAATGGATTTAATAAGCCACCATGTGATAATACCTCGGCTTTGCAGCGCAGAATTCTTTCGACTATAGCCTTGGCACCAGGGAACTTCAGTATTCTTTGAGTGAGGATCTCCAGAAGAATATCCAGTTCCTCCAATGACAGTGGATCAGGAGGCCAATCTTTGTCTCCGGAATTGATGCCGAGGTTTTCGTTGCGGAGGCTGCTGAGCTGTGGAAGCGAAGCTACCATCATGGACCAATTGTTAACTGACATGAGGTAGTTAATGTCATCTCGGTAGTCCATCTCTTGATAGAGGCGGATGGTGCATGAAGACGCCACCAAGGTTATTGTGGATGTGGCTGAAGGATGGAAAAGTCGGCCATGAACATGGAAAAATGTGATAATACAAGTAAAGTACCAAGTAAGGATCTCGTAGAAACCACGTTCATAGACCCTGTTGCCTTGGTCATCAAATAGTCGAATATCCGGTGGGATATTTGTAACCCAATCCTTTAAGTCTGAGAGAACAGATAGAGCTTCATCTGAACTGGTCGAAACTCCCCGATTCTGAAGGGGCAACATCTTCTCCAAAATGGTAGTCAATTTTGCATAGAGAACGAACAAACGAGCTTGGCCATTCTCAGGGTTTTCAAAGTCTGTGACACGCGGTGGGCACAAGTCAAAGTCTTGCGACTTGATCATTTGGGGTCGACCAAAGCAGGCCGCATGCAATTTGTCTTGTGCATAGAGGAACCAGGCTATTCTGCGAGCACATCCAGGGGCAGACCTTTGCGAGTACGTTGGTTCCCGATGAAGTCCAATTTGGAAAGCGAAACGAATGGCAAGACCCAGCCAATTCCAGCTGTTGTCGATCGTTACCACGGCAGGAGGAGTGACATTCCACAACGTGAGTAGACACAACGCCTTGAGTATTGTGATCGGGTCGCGTTCGTGGTTTGTGTAGAAAAGGGTTTTTGCTCTCGAGTAGAATTGTTCGCTCTCCACAAGGCTTTTTGTCGACTTTGGATGCCGGAGAATGGATCCCGCCAAACACAGAGATTGCAGAAGAAGAGTGGATGGACATGTAGGGGCGACGTCCTGATGATTCACAACTGGAATTCTGTGGTAGAGATATTTGAAATAGGCCCCAGTGAGGGCCACGATCTTTGATTGAGCTGGTAATTGGTCTGCTCCTGTGGCAGCTAGCGTCTGTTCCTCGATTGACCTAGCAAAAGACCCGACAACGGTGGAGGCCTCGGAAGGCAGCGGTCTATGATTTGAAAAGACCGAGAATTCTCCAATATATCCCAGGTTGTCTGATGCAGCAGATGTTAAATTTGCCGACGGGGTCGTGTGCGCACTCTGCCCAACGCCTCCAGGCCCCGCTGTCCCGTCAATGAACGAAAGATCTGGCGGTGTCGTACCGAGACCACGCTGTGGGGATAGATCGGTTTGTGTAGGGGCTTGTGATGGCGGGATGCATTCGCTCTGGGCTTTTTTATGCTCCCTGCGTTGACAGGGCTCAGCGCGTTTTTCACAATTCGTGCACGTGCCACCCTTCTGGAGTCGCAAGAACAAGTCGCACTTGACTTTCCGAGCGTGACAACGATGGCATACGAGCCTTGAGCGGTTGCGCGGCACTCGCCCATTTCGGGGTGCTTGATCCGCGACCATTATGCAGCTGGAGACGGTAAATTCGGTGCCCGGGGATACCGAGTGGTGGTTGTTTGAAGCCGAGGTTGGGGTTACCCCGGCTAGTTACTAGCTACCCCACACGGGACCAGAGAGGAGTAAAGAGGTTTGGATTATTTGCGGAGATCTCTTAGACAAACTATAACGGCTACCATGACCAACAGCACAACTCGGATAGCCGGAAAGCTTTACTTCACAATGTTCCGGAGAATGCGGAAACGAGCCCACGCGCAATTTAAGCCAAATAGTTGTACTGGTTGTTTTCCGTGCGCTCCATGTAGTCCTTCTCAATCAACCTGTCAAGAGGTTAGCGGGGCGTCCCATGCAGTAAACTTGAGAGGGGAAAGAAGAGTCACATACTTCTCAATGTTGGTCTTAATCTCGGCGGGCTGCAAAGTGCCACGACTGCGGGTGGCCTCGATCACCTCCGCAATGAGCTCGGAGTGCTTGATGGTCTTGCGGCTCTTCATGATGCGCACGATTGCCGCCTGGGTCTCATAGTGTCGATCGGCTGCCACACGCTCATGTGTTGTCTTGTTCTCTTCTTTGGTCTCTTTAAGCTGGATCTGATTGATCTTGATGCGAAACTTTGGATCGGTGAAGCCGGCGTTGTAGGAGAATTCATCTGTCGACGCGACCTCCCTGCCTTTGGGATGCTTCGTCAAAACCCGGTACTTGGCACACGCGAGAGATTGTAGAGTCCGCGTCAATTCTGCATCGGCTGCAGATTAGGTCAGTTGAGGTTCCAGGTCACCTATCCCATTCGTTCAGGAGGGACTTACAAAATCCAGTCGCTTGCTGGATCTGTGGATATTGCAGGGTCTCGCCATCGGGAACATCATTGAATAAAAGCAACACGATCGCCTGGAACGAGCTGACTACCAGCTCCTTGGGGCCTTTGGGGAATCGTGCGATGAGTTGACAGTGCGCCAGCTGGTGTTTCCAGTGCAATTTGCGGCCGGTGTGTTTGCTCTGATAGAAATTCTCAAAGCTACCAATGGCATCAGAAATGATCGGCGGAATTTGCACCGGAACATCAGGATAGCTCGGCCACGACGACGCTGAGATCACGTTGACATGCAGATCTATCGGGGGGCGGGCGCCTCGTTTCTCTCGATACATCGAATTGTAGGCTTTCATTTCGTCGTGAGCCACCCCCATGTCCTTGAACATCGACTCCAGGTTTTGGGTGAAGTTCGATCCACATTCTAGTAAAGAGATTAGAAAGCACCGGACAACAACGAAAGGAGATGGACGAACCTGTTCTCAGACGAGTCAACATGCTTCTCTCCGCATCATCGCTGGCACTGCGGCCCATCAGTAAGCGCCGAGCGAGGTCGTTTTTGTAGAATGCTTCAAAGACAGCCTTCCCCTGCACGAAACGGAAAAGATCGAGCACCTGATCGAGCTGTCGATTGATTTCAGCATCCTCATCGGCCAGCGCCACGTCGTCCGGTTTTCGTCCCGGAGGCACTTTCCAACCTCCCTTCAACAATCTGTCCACGTATTTGGCGATCATCTCGCCTGTCTTGGCGTTATCAGTGCCAGCAGTGGATGCGGTCTTCTTGCTCAGATTCATGAAGTTGCCAAATGCTTCACGTAAAACGTGACCTAGATCTTCGTTCCGATTGAATGCATCCCTCCAGATATCGTCAAGCTGCTCTTTGAATTGAAGTAAACGGACCACCATATCGGCTTCTTTCTCTTCGTCAAACACAATGCTAGAGCCTTCGTCGACAATGTAGCGGCTAAAAGCAGTTTTCAATTTGGTACCGTGACCCCGCCGGTCGAGAAGACCGTAGAGCTGTTTCAACGAGGTCTTGTTTCCTGCTCGCATTAAGCCGACGATATCATCCTGGCGGAGGAGAACCGCCTCTTGTTCGGTGATCAAGGTCTCGTCTAATATACCGAACAGCTCCTGCTTCGTGCTTCGATTGAGAGAGAATAAACCGCATCGTTCCACCTCCCGTGCAATCAGGCGGTGGCTGTTCTCGACATAAGAGGGCAGAGACCCTGACGCTTCCCTCTGGGCCCATGTGGAAACAAAGGTCCGTGATTGGGCGACAAAGAGCGGCTCAAAGCCACTTGTATAAACATCAAGATCGTGGAACAATTCAATGGCATTTCGAAGCAAAGTCGAATCAGCCACAGTGCTGGTCTCCGCACCCCGATCGGCAGCGATCAGGTCGCACGCACCTTGCAGGATCTTGGGTTTGAGACTGCGATCAGCGAAGATGTAGGAACGGAACTGAATCAAGCCCATGTCACGTATCACCGGATGCTCCTTGGAATGCAGAAGGAACGATTGATCGAGGTAGTAAAAGATCCAGCGAACAGTAATCTGTGTTAGGAAGGTCAGCCGAGGGACAATTTCGTGAGGATGCCCGGCACATACCAGCCTCGATTGCCATGCTGACCACGCCTCGAATACTGCCCGCAAGGTATCGACATCATTGCCACCTCCGGCTCGTGTGACGAGATTCTCGCGCAGCTTTCCAGTCACATGCTCTTTGCATCTGTTCTGAAGCTTCTTGGCGAGCACAGGTGCCCGGCCTTGACGACACATGTTCTCAGCCCCTTTATATAGCTCTTCCAACGAGATATCTGGTTTCTTGCCATCAAAGATAGCCGACAAGGCCGCATCAAGCTGCGACCAGACCTTATCAAAGTAAGACGCCTGGTTCAACCGGGATCCCGTCCGCAGGTTCTTGACCACGAGTTTCTTCGTGCTGGTCTGGGGAGCGACGTTGTTCTGGCGAGCGGCAGCACTGAATGCCTGGGATTTGGTGGAAGAGTCCGATGCAGGCACCCCCCGAGCAAACGCGGTGCCGTTCGTGGGCGGAGATCCGGAAAAGTTGTACATCTTCGAGGGTGGGACCAGGGAGTCCGCGTGGGATGATGAGGACGAGGAGGGGCGTGACAAGCGGGACCGTTTGGAGGTGGGAGACGACTGCTGCTGGGGAGAGGGCGAGGAGTGCTGAGACAGAAGCTGGGAGATGGTCCTCTGCTCCCCTTGATCGGAGAGCTTCCTCTTGCCGATCGAGTTGCGCTTACTGCTCCGCTGCTCTTCGCCTCTCTTGGTCGAGTTGTGCTGCATCTACCCGGTGCACGACCCTATCTTGAGCAAATCCAGCATCTGAGGGCGCGATGGGTCGGGTTCGGACGGAAGGAGGAGGATGTGAGAAAGTGAGGGGAATTGGGCCGAGCGAGAGACAGGTTACGTGCTGCGGGCCGATAAGATAAGAGCTCACTACAAAACGATCCAGAGTGTATTCATTCCGAGGAGAACCAAGCAAATCCACCAACACTCCAGCTACTATGATACACATCAAATCACCTAAAAATCATGAGAACAACGTCGGTCGGGCAAACTGTTGCACCTCCTGATCCTCAAACTGCAATGCGTCAGTCACAGAGGATGATCGAAATCGAGGGAGACAAACTCACGTCTAGGAAATCGGTGGCGGTAACAAGAACCATAAAGGCCTTGACCAATTCACAGAGAGCTTCGTGGTGGTCGGCTTTGGTGTCTCCGATTCGGGCGAAGCGCTTGAAGATGCCCACCATGCACGGTCGATTCTCAGCCATGAATGTACGGGTCTGCTCCTTGATCTGCTCGTTGTGGATCCCCCGAGAAAACACAGCAGAGACGATCACTCGGATGACAGAGAGCAGGAGATCATAATACTTTCGAAGGGCATCCGGGTTGTCAATATCTGGTGGTGTCAGTAAGGGCACGACCACAGGAATAGAGGATAATAGGGAATACTAACCGATACCAATGTCCGGGTCGGCCGCAAATAATTGTGAATCCCGTACCGCTTCAAAGAGGCCAGATTTGAGGACGTGGACGGCACCACTCTTGGTGCATGAAAGTTGCTGAAGTAGAGACAACAATGATTCATAGTAAGCCAGCAGAACAGATGTGTCTAAAGAAAAGTAGCAATTAGTACCCGGTATTTACGAAAACACAAAGCACTTACCGCTTCCCTGCGCGTCACGCAGCTCCAGTGGGAGAGACCGGATCGCATCGAGAAAGAGGCTGAGATAGTTGGACTGTGCGACTAACTCTGCCAAGACACAATCAGTCCGGCTGTCCAGGACCGCCAGGCAGTTTAGCAGTAGCAGAGCGGATGCGCGGCATGCCTCCTGCCCGGTATATGCGTCATCGCATATGGTCTCGATAAGCCCAGGCCCAGCTGTCTTGATGACCTGTTGACTGTGCCGCCGTAGGTTCTCGTGGGCCGAGTCTGAAGAGACGATGCGTGTGATGTACTGCGCGCAGATAGTGTAGAGGACTTCTCTCAGCGACACATTTCCGGTTGCCAGCAGAATACCCCGGGCACAGATTTGGAAGAGTTGATGGAGCTTCTCATCGATGACATCTCCGCTCCGAGAGCCGTGCGTTGCGGAAACGTCGGATGCAAGGTGGCTGATCAATGTTTCGGCCAACCGTGCCAATTCGATAGCTTCAGGGAGATCTGCCTCGACTGCAGCCTCAAGCTTGGGAAGGATCAACTGAATGGAATGTAGAATGAAGGTAGGCCGGCCTCCATCATCGATCGCGGAACAACTGATGATGGTAGTGATGAGCTCTGTCCAGGACCGGAGAGCCAAGAACCGGTTGTGTTGGATTCGACGGCTTTGGTTTGTAGCAAGAATGTACATCTTCAAGCTGTCTGATTCGGCCAGAAATTGCTCCTCATCCTGGGGCCGTGCTGGTCCGTTAGCAAACAATTCTGCTTTCCGGATCTGAATCAACTCTTCCATCTCAGCGACGTTGTAGAGAACCAGAGACTCCTCCTCTTGCTTTGCACAGACATCAAAAGCGATTTGATCAAGGAAGGATAGTGGAGGCAAGTTGAACTCGCGTCCAACATCCAGGTCGGCAAAGTCAAAAAGATCGAACACAGAGGGGTTAGAAATGGAGTCGCCGTTGTCCAGCACCGAGTTTCCAAGTAAAGTGGACAAAATGTTTCCTTGAAGAGTTGGCGATCCAACCTTCGCCGCTGAACGGATCTCGGTTGCGGCATATGCAAATAAATGGCTGCGATAGAGTAGAAATTCGGCCAAGGCGGAAGTGGCATCGGTGAGCCAAAATTCCTCGGTCACAACGGGAAACCCGTTCCATGGGGTGTTTGGTCCGATGATGGGCTGGGTAGAAAACATGTTCAACAGGAAGCCCTGGGCGCGCATCTCACCCAGTGTGAAATAGGATGCGAGCTTCGACGACCACAGGTGCTTGAGCACCTCGAAGGCCATACGCTTGAGGTGTACCATCCACGATGTAATGCTCCCGTCTACATCGTTGGGATAAGTCTGCAAGAACCCAATGATTGCATGCAGTAGCGACATTTGGTGTGCGAATAGACCATCCGCTGACACATCAAGAATGTTTCCGACACAATCGAACCCCAGAAGAAGGTGGGCCACGGTTGGCCGATCAGTGATCATCCCGAGGCAGCTGTTCAAGAGAGCAAGCAAGCTTTCTCGAATGACATAACCCGCCGATTGAGAGCCAAATTCTAACTCTCTCGAGTCGGGGTCCATTTGTGATACAAGTGGACGTGACACGCTGTCGACATCAACCTCTGTAGCCAGTACCTCAACGATCTTATTTGACGACTGCCATTTGGTGATTTCGGGTGACGACATCTTGTTGAGTTTTCGGGAGCTCGTCAACTTCTCCAGCAGTGCCATAGAAGTGACAGTAAGCTGTTCGTGTCCGGTTCCACAGTAGAGGCACAGCGCTGGTATCAGAGCCAGGTTGTTGAGTACGCTGTCTTCGAAAGAAGCGAGAGAAGAGTTCGCCACGGTTGTTCTTGGACCTCCGGCTTGGGTCTTGATCAACGGCCTAACGATGTTGAAGTATGTCGACTGAAGATCCATGACCAAGTTCATTACCTCAATACTGCGGAGCAGGGTAAGAACCAAGACCGAGTCGGAGGATGCGTGTGCTACTTCGGCAACATCCTGCTTGGCAGTCGCAAATAAGGCCTTGAGAGCGTCTTCATTGAAAAGCCATTCGATTACTCGAGCAAATGGGTGAAGACGAACGTAAGTAACCAGTGACGAGGCTTTCGTGGCGGAATCAGAAGAAACAGAGGGTTGACTCAAGACAGTGACAAGGTCCTCGTTGAAAGTCCTCAGGCTCGACACCACGAAATCCAGACAATGATAAGTCAAAATGCGTGACTGATAATCGTTGAGATCCTGAATTTTCCGAGAAAATGCGTGCCCCAATATGAAATCAATGTAGGGCTCAATGCCAGGCATACGATAGGTCCCACCGAGGGACTCGGGGAAGGGCAGGAATAGGGGGTTGCCCGTCACATCAGAAGTGGGCGCTACCAGAGAATTAACAAGAACAACGAACGCATTCGTTTGATCAAAGCTCTCGCCAATTTTCTGGAGCGACTGCTGCTCGTGCCATACAGGCGGATTGGAGACCAATGGCACCTTGCCCATGCCCGAAGCACCCATAGTCCCGCCGGACAACCACTGATCGATTTGGATCCACATTTCGTTACCATTCCCAGATGTTCTCTCGGTCATGAGTGCCGAGAGCGTGGCAAAGGTAGTTGCCCGCAGATGGGTCGGTATTGGCCCATTGCACAACGTCAACAAGGTGGTAACCACGCTGAATGTCTGATTCAACAGCATCCATTCTCGGATAGTGGCGCTCTGTCTGCATAAGTGACCCATTAAGCGAAGATAGCATGTCAGCATGACTGGGCTCTCCGGTTCACTCATCTCCACAGGCTCCGGCTTCCTAGAGCGCAATACTCCTTGCGAGGTGGTCGTACTCGATGGCTTCTCCGTGACCCGAGTAGCATATAGGCGGAGTTCCGCAAACATTTGCGTCCAATTCATTGACGTGGATCGCTTGAATTTCGAGGACATAAATTTGTCTTCTTCTGATAAGAATCGATGCACTGCGGTGGCATTTTCTTCGCCACCGGAGATGGCGCACAGCATTTCGCAAAATGCACTGACTCGAGGGACAGTTTGTCGTTTCGAAGCCCACTGGAGGAAGCCGTAGAGGTTGCCATCGGGATCGGCCCAAAACTCCTGGGCAGCATCCTCCCGGCCCTCGAAAGCGAAAGACATAATCATCAAGAGGGACTCAAGATGAGTACGTGCTTCCACCAGGCCGCGGTGAAGACTGGATGTCAGGCCATCTCGAAGAGCAGTAATCTGGTCCAATCGCTGAGTGTCCTCCTCTGACTTGAGCAACCGAACGGCATCAGGCATGTTCGCAATGCACGACTCCACAAAGACCTCAAAGTTCTCCATCAGAAGCTGTTTCATATATTGAGAACAAGCTTCGGACTCGGGCAACGGCACGACGCTCTCTCGCAACAGGAGAGTCACCAGTTCGCTCCGCGCTGGATCAGCCCACTCTTCGTTGTTGACTCCCGAACAAATCGCAAGCATAAAGTCCAGGGCGCCATCGTCGAGAGAAGACATGAACATTCTCGTTCGTTCTTCAGCTTCCTTCTCGGGGTCGACGCCTTGATGGGGAGAGGTTGGCCCCATGTCAAAATACCACCCACTGTAAACAGACAGCCACAGGGCAATAATTGCAGCATGAAAGTGTGGGATTTTCCATCCCTGTCCATCCGTGGAAGAGGTGACGACTGGGTGAAGACTCCGGGAATCGTTTGCGCCAGATCCCTCTGGAGAACCATGTTGGACAAAAGATGCGATCGTGACAGGAACGTAGTGGATCAGTAAACTGTCGAACCGTTCCAGCTTTTTCAACTGAGAGATCAAAAGGCGGAAATCTTCTGGACTCGTGTATGTACCCTTGAAAAGATAGTAAAGAATGGCTCCAAGCGACTCGTGCTGTTGCTGTAGGCTGTGACGCTGATATTCGATGGCTTCCATGATGTCGCGATCCTCCTCCAGGCCGACAACAGAGGCTTTTTGAACTTGATCGCCCAGAAGTGATAGCCATTTCTCAATGTCCCCCATGGAGTCCATGCCTTTCCGTGTGAACAGCGACGCATTTCGCAACGGGCTGTTTTTGATCTCCAAAATATGCGCCAGTGTCTCCTGCATAATGACTTGTGTCATTTCCCGCTCCACTTCGAACGACTCTCGGAATATTAGGCGTAGACATTCCAGCAGAAAGTGTCGGCGTTCGTGGAATCGCATGATGGCGGTAATGAGAGGGGGCCTGTCCAGCACTTGCGAATCTTCCTGGGCGGCCAAAAACATTATGGCTGCTTCCAATTCATCAATATTCAAGGCATCGGCTAGCTGTAGCGATCCCTGCTGGAAGTCCTGGTTGATTGAATACTCCACGTCCGCAATAGTGACTTTCCCTAGATTTGTCGCATTCTATGTTAGTCACTCACTTCACGTCAAAAGCAGACGGACAAGATCCGGGACGGGTCTCAAAATATGGTATTACCCACCGGAGAGGACGGTTTGCCGGCTGGCATTGTTTTTTCCGGGCTTTTCAAGGAGCTTCCTGAAATCCTCGATATGCGTTTCCAGTTCGACACAGAGGCGTTCGATGTTTAGAAAAGATGAGCTCGAGAGAGCAGAGAGATCCTGGTAGAGGCCACGAAGGCCAGCCAGGTTATCTTGAAGCTCCATGGCAGAGCTCTCTGCACTTGGGGGGTGGTGGAGGAAGGGAAGGGAAGAAGCAGGTGTGTTTGGATCTTTCGCGTTTCTGCCAGAGATATGATGAGGCGGGTGGCTGCCTGAGGTATCCGCGCCCACCGCCCCGATCGATAGGCCTTCCCTTTTGGGAGCTCACTTCGTCACATAAACAACAACTCCCAATACAATCCTGCCCAGCCGAGTGCGCCATGGGTGAGGTGAAGACCAACGCGATAAAACACCATGGGCGAGGTCTTCTTGGACAAAGCAATTGCAGCAATCACTTCAGAGAGGCAGAAGGAGCGCGCTGATGGATTGGCAGGTCTGTCCGAGCTCGAATCCATGATATGATTACTGCTGACCCCCATGCTAGACTTGAAGCATATTCTTCAGCAAAACAAACAGAGCTCCAAGTTGTACGCATCATCCAGTCCAAAGCCCTCCAAGATTGTTGTGCTCAAGTACTGACCAGCGATGCTATCATTCTAGACAAACATTAAACGACAAGGCCTGCCACAAGATCTTCGAGTCCCTATTCCGGTTCATCGCGGTCGAGAGATCAGTCTATAACCGTGTTCAACGGTCCGCTACTTCCAAGAGCTCGTCTACAACTCGGCTGTCAACATGTGCGTCGGTAGTTCGGATAGCGGTCGATGTGTTTCTGCGGAACCTGCGGACCAAATCCGTCCGAGCGATCATTGATCACATCACGGAGACCATTCCACTCCCAGGGGAAGGTCTGTGGGAGGCTCTCAGTGTGGACTATACCAAATGCTTGTCCGCACTCCTCTGCTACCGCCCTCACACGGAGCATCTTGGCGACGCAGAATGGGAAAAACTCATGGAATTCTGTCTCGCAGGCATTAGCACTCTGGATACGGATGAGAGCCAACTCAGTATTCGAAGTGGACGTCGATCTGCTGCTGAAGACCCTCTGGATGCTAGTGACAGCCATTCAACTCCTTCACGGGCGACACCCGCTCCGACCCCCAGAGAAAAGTATGTGGGTTATAGAAATGCCATCGGAGAAGTTGTAGTGTGTATTCAACTTCTGACCGCGAGCTCCAATGCTCCAATCTATACATCAGCCGAGAACATCCTTCGCGGGTTGGCGGACTTCGTCAAGTCTGCCTCGGTCATGGCAGGAAACGCGCAGCAGCTTGCATTCAATAGCATTAATACAGTCATTTTCAAGGTGTTGTTCGATCAGTGCGAACTAGCCCGGTCATCTCTGTTGGGCCTGGTCCCAGTAATCCGACAGTTGTGGGCCACCACTAAGCACCATGGCCTGAAGGATGAGCTACTTGTCAACGTGATGCTGTGCATAGTAGCGCTGGGGGACACGGCCCAGAGGAAACCCTCTGACCAGCTAGCACGCTCGATCGAAGGGCTGGCTGAGACGCTGTACTCGGAATATGTCAGGCGATCTGAAAAAGAAGTCCTCCAGCTCGACGAGTCAATATTCTATCCCAGAGGAACGCCGCAGGTACAACAGATCTACGGGCCATGCCTTGGAAATAGCAGATCCGAGCATAATTGGACAGTCGTCTGGGCTATCGCCCAGTTGTTGAAATTGTCAAAAGCCGTCACTACTCACCTTTCCGTCGAAGACTCCGCCAGCGAGACCCCCACCAAGAAACAGCGCATGAATTCTGGGATAGAAGATGTGTTCAGAGACTCGGTTTCTGCAACAGGCTCAAGGAGAATCTGTGCTCTACAGCTGATTCCTTTCCTCGAGGCTGAGATCGATCTTGAGACAAAGGAGTCGTTCCTTCAACGGCTTGTTCTCAACATCCTAGATGGCAACGGTGCGATCTCGTCATGGACAATGGTGGCGCTGGAAAGGTATGTGTTCCCGTTTCCGAAAGTATATTCCCAACTAAGTCGGTGTCCGCCACCAGCATTGCAAACGGTCAAGATGCGAAATTACCGACTTTCAAATTGTACTGGCCAAGGGTTTTGAGTCTCACGGTCCGCGCGTTCTCTTCTTTCGTTACTTCCAGGGCTGCGTGCCACCTCATGAGCTCAATTTTCCAATGTGACCTGCTGGAACATTCTCTTGTGACAGAAACAGTGCGCTCAATGTTATCTTCTGCCAGCTTGAATGGTCCCTCTACAATATCCGATACCTCCTTGAGTCTGTGGACATTGGTAGCCCAGATGAGGAACCAATTGAATCCAGGAGCGACGCAAGATGCATCGAAGCAGATCTGTAGTTGGTTGAGGGAAGTTTGGACAATCGGTATGGTGCTCATATCCATCCTTTGCCTGCTTGCGGGTATTGACAACAATATTTCAGGTACTATGACAGATCGGGTCCAAACGGCTCACATTGCCTCTTTCGCTCGGCCTCCGGAACTGCTGGGTCTGTTGTTGGCTTGCACGAATCGGCCCTTTACAGTCCCGCGCTCCCAATTTAAAGGATTGACTGGTGTCGTGGCTAGAAAGTGGTATTTCTTCCATGAGAACCGAAGATTACTGGACTATCTGTTCGATATCAGAGGCATTATGGATCATGTTGATCCATGGGAGCTGGAGGCAATAACATCCTGGCAGCCATCTGCTCGACAAGATCCCGATGATACAGTGGTTTTAGATCTCTTGCGAGTCAAATCCGAGACGTTCATACAAGCGTGGCAGGCCATGACTGAGGACAGATCACACCATATTACTCCAGACATTTTGCAGGTACTGTGTTCTTTTTGCATAGTGACGGCGATGTATGTATCCTGTCTTCCAGCTCAACTTGACTCTCGCGTACAAGATTTGCAACAGAATTCGCAACGGCTCTGGGCCTCCATATGCACCTTTTTGGCGGCTCGCGACGAAAACTTTACCCGGCCTTGCCTAGAGCTTCTACCACCGCTTCTTGGCCCCGTCGCCCTCTCCAGTTCCCATCCTGTCCTTCGAGCGAATCTTTTCGCACTCTTCACTCCACTTGCTGGGATACTAGAAGGCATTCGACAGAGCCATAAAAAAGACCCTCCGTCAAAAGACTTGATGGATTTGGATGATCGATTAATAGTCACGAGGGACCAAGTATCTCCAGATGAGTCTATGGTGGCCTTGAACCGAGAATCACTGCCATTACTTTATGATGCCGCTTCGTTTCAACGTCGTGTGACTGTTCACATGTCTATACTTCTGAGATCCTCTGTCGAAAATGAATCATCTGAGCCTTTGGCCAGTTCATCTCTCCTTGATTATCTGGTCAGCCTTGATGAATCGGATCTTTTGGCTACCCACGAGATATTGCCCGAAGTCTATCGGGCTTGTTCAAACATGAACCGATCTGGTCTACTCAATATCCTCGAAGACCTGGGTGAGAAGTGTTTACAATCCTACGAGATGGAGCGATGTGAAACTTCTTTGTGTCTGTGCATTCAAATGATGGCCAGCTTTGTTGATTCTTGGACAAGCGAGCAGAATGACAACCTGAGCGAGTCAGCCATGGATTTGTACAATTGGTTCATGGACGTGCTCGTGGCCCGCAGAAAAGCTTCGCCTAGAGTTTCCGTTGCGTTGACTGGCCTCATCCGAATGATCCTTTCTTCACGTCCATCTTATGGTAGTGACCAAGGTCTCCCTTCGCCGCGCACCTCCCTTTTTACCATTCTCCAGGAAGGGGATATCCAAGTCAAGTTCAACACCGCAAGCTTTATTCCCAGCCTATTCCAGCGCTACATTCTTAAAGATCATGACGCCATTTTCAATGATGTGTTGGAGAGCCTGCCTAGAGACCCAGACTGGGTTGAAGGAATTGCACTTCGCTTGTTTGTGCTGTCTCGTCTTGCCTCTGAATGGCATACATTATTGCGCAGAAGCATATATCATATGTTCGAGACACCCGCTCAAGTGCCGTCATCTCTGTGGTATGCTGGAAAATGCATGGCATTCGTCTCGCAAAATCTTGGCCTGCAAGACGCAAGAGAGCTTTTCCGGCTTTTCTCTTCTCAAATTCTCTACACTTGGACTGAAACACAGACTGTTCTGTCTATGCCTTTCAGTATCTTTGGGTATCCCAGTCTGAAAGATATGCTCAATGATGCCAGAGATGAGATTGTGGGCCAGATGATTATGCGCGGCAAAGATCAAGAAACGTCTGAGCTTGGCGAATACCTCGGCGAACCTCATCTTGACCTTCTGAGAGCATCTTTCTACCGAGCTGAAGCATACAGCATCGCGAGAGATATCAGCACTCCTCCAGGCCAGGGCAGCCAACCCAAAGGCGTGGAGATTCGACTGAGAAAATTGCTTGGCGCCGACGGGTTTATGGCAGAGATCGAGAACCAGTTTCCTCGGATCATTGCAATTCTCTTCAAATCACTCGACCACTACGATCAAATCGAGAGGGCATTTTCAAAGCGAGAGAGTTTCCGGTATGCGCTTGACATCCAAACACTCATAGCCAGCAAAAGTTCGTCGCACAGTGTCCTCCCAGCAAATCAGCAACCGTCATTCAGAGCACGATATCTACTGGATGAACTCGAGTTTCTATGTAAGCGCACCGGGTTTGAGCTTGAGCAAATATGGACCCCCACGCTGGCCTCGTTTATCTGTCGCTCGCTTTTGGAAACAATTCATCCTGCTCTGGGCTCTCTTCACGCATGCTCTGTCATTCGGAAAATCAGAATCCTGGTCTGTGTGGCTGGTCCCGTTATGCTCCAGGATTACCCTTTTGAGATGGCCCTTCATGCTCTTCGGCCCTTCCTCGCCGATGTTCATTGCTCGGAAGATGCCCTCGGAATCATTTGGTATCTCCTTGAGTCTGGAAAGGCTTACATGATGACAAGGCCTGGGTTTACGGTTGGGATCGCTGTGTCCATTTTAGTCACTCTGCGCAAACTTTTCTTGTTATCACCCGAAAGTACGACTCAGGATAGCCAGTTCAGAACAGTGCTATCAAACTCCAGAAAATTTCATCAATGGTTATCTGGGTTTCTGGGGAGCTGTTGTTCCCCCGCCTGGAGTTCTGAGATTCAAGATTCGTTTAC